GTGGCTTTCCAGATGTTGGTTTCCCAACTCCTTTTTAAAATTAATTTTTAAAAAAGTTTTTACAAATATCATTTACATTCAGATACAGTATGGTCAATTTTATACATATATAGGATTCCCTGAATCCTTGGACTTGACTCCCCCCTCCCCCTGTGGTTTCCATAGTACTTCATTTTATACTACATCTTATAATATTATACAAATTGTCTTCAGATTTCCATTCGTAACCATAGAATTATTATATTACAAGTGTTATATTAATCCTGCTAACATTTTTAACTGTGTACAGTGTTCTGTAACAGAATTGATAAATGTTTTCCATTCTTTATTAAATTTCCTATCTTCTTGGTTTCTGATCCTCCCTGTCAGTTTTGCCATTTCGGCATAGTCCATCCACTGGCAGAGAAAGAGGAGTGCGGGCGGCACGCCACACCCCCAGGGCGCGCGCCAGCCCCGCCCTGCCTGCTCTCCGCCACAGAGTCCTCCATCTTGATTATCTATTCTTCTCTGGTTGGAACTTTATCTTCCTTCCATCTCTGGGTGAAAAGCATGCTTGCAGCTGTCATCGCATACATAAACGGTCTCTTCCCCTCCTGCGGTATTTCATCACCTATAATTCTTAATAGAAAAGCTGCTGGTTTTTCCACAAAGGTTATTTTAAACATTTCCCCCCTCAACTCATTATATATCATTTCACAGAATGCTTTCGTTATTTTGCACATCCCCCACATGGATTCCCGGCTCCTGTCTGCTCTGGCCCAGCATGTCTGGTGGCCAGGGGTTATGGAAGCCATAGTCTAACAATATCTGGAAGGTGTCAGACTCCCATCCCTGTTGTTGTCTAAGCCAAAATGCTATTCAGAGAGAAAAGAAAGTTAAAAATCTCTTCGCTGTTTTGACTTACTAAAACACAAGAAAGCTGTTTCATTCCTCTGAGAGCGCCCCCTCATTAACATTGTGTGCTTGTTTTGAATTCAGACATTTGTAATGACTGCTGCCTCTGAGGTGGTTCTATACATAGCTGAATTGTGAGTCAATCAGAAGAATTTCTAAAGAATTCTTTACAAAGAAATTATGCCTTCTGTTTTTAGAAGTCTACCGAACTACTTTCATGTCTCTGTAGAAGGGCTGTTTCAATTTTACATTGCTGTTCTTAAATTTTTAAGAAGATCGTCAATTTTTTTGATATAATGCAGATTTATGCTTTGGGGCACTTTCCATGCACAGCCCCATTCATGTCCTAAATCAAGGACGGATGGGGAACCTCTTGACGCCTGGGCCTAATTAGGCCCACTAGGGGCCCTTATTTGGCCTGCTAGGCTGTTTCACTCAAGCCACGCCCACCTCTCCTACACCTGACATCATATGACATCAGTTGTGGGGCTGGTAAAGGCAGGGCTTAGATGAAAGGGGTTTGCAGCCACCACTGATCATCTGATTGGTGGTGCCTGCAAAGCCACGTACACAGCACTTTCCAAGCCTTGACTATAAGCTCATTGTCTGTGCCTGAGAAGCGTGCTATAGGGATCTGGCTTGTGGGCCAAGTTTGCCCACCCGTCAGAATCCTATCTGATGCTTAAAAGTGGGAGGAGACTCACAAAGCCTTTCCTCAGTCTTCCTGTGATTCCCTTTTAAGCCCCCATAGTCTTGTTTGAGCCTCCAGAGTCTCAAACATGGGCATAAGGGCTTCTTAAAGCTTTCGCAGAAGCTGTGGGTTAAACCACAGAGCCTAGGACTTGCCGATCAGAAGGTCGGCGGTTCAAATCCCCGCGACGGGGTGAGCTCCCGTTGCTCGGTCCCTGCTCCTGCCAACCTAGCAGTTCGAAAGCACGTCAAAGTGCAAGTAGATAAATAGGTACCGCTCTGGCGGGAAGGTAAACGGCATTTCCATGCGCTGCTCTGGTTCACCATAGGCTGCTTAGTCATGCTGGCCACATGACCCGGAATCTGTACGCCGGCTCCCTTGGCCAATAAAGTGAGATGAGCGCCGCAACCCCAGAGTTGGCCACGACTGGACCTAATGGTCAGGGGTCCTTTTACCTTTACCTGTGCACAAGCTGCTTCAAAGGTTGCTTTTGCACAGGGCTTCAAGCTCAGCCGGTGAATGGGGATGAAATTCTGCTGCTTTGGCTTAATGTGGAATTAACCCCTGTTCTCCTGCCCATCAGCTGATGTGGGCCTGGTTTGGGGATAATGGCCTCATTGCAGAGGTTCCCCACCCTTAGCATAGGGGTATGTGTATGTCTAAGGGGCATATGCAGGGAAAAGATGTCTCCCACCCACACTAGTCTAGAACAAATTTCTTTTAAAAAGAATCTGACTATAAATTGCCAAGTGTCCCATTAATGTTAACAGACTCACAGCATGCACCACTAATATTCTTCTGAGAAATATTATCCATTTGCATTTTAATAAGACACCACAGTGTAATTAAACCAGAGAACTTCAATTTATAAGCTACTGCAGGGCACGTTCAGCCTTTTCAGAGCCTGTTGATGTGATAAATTTTATCAAGTGAAAGCTTGAGGAACCATGATGGCCTAGGTGACGATTAATAGGGAAACCTGATAACCTGCAATGGCTGATGGCCTTAGGCTATGACAGACTTTTTAAAAAAGTATTTCTACTGCAGAAGTATTATGCCAGAGGACACTTCCTAGCCTTGTGGCATAGTTGTGGTGCTTCAGCACAATTTATTTTGGACTTGGTGCTGCTCATGCCTGCAAGTTTGTCGCAGTGCCCATATAACATTAACCTCAGAAAGATGCCAATTCAAAATCCCCCCCCCCCGCCATTTAATCTGGATTTACTGTTTTCCACGGGGTGGTTCTTTTGAGTGTGTGTGTGTGTGTGTTTTCTTATCAGATTTTCTGTGGAAATGTTAAATCTGGAGCAAAAGGGAAAATACTGGACAGTCTTTTTGATGTAGACAACATTGCATGGATGCTGCAAAGAACATATATACATGCATGCATAAGCAGCAGAGTCTGCAGTAAACTTCCCTGCAGAAGTGCCCCTGCATGCATGCCAATGTGCACACTAGAGAAGTGGTTTGCCACCCCCCACCCCCACAACTACTTAACAATTGCTGAGGGTCTTGGTAGACCACTTAATCATTTTTCTGCTGCTTGTAGCAATTGCATTGTCTTGTGCTAGATGCTGTATGGTTTGTATTGGTATTTTACTGCTGCTTTTATTTATTACATAGTGGACTTTATTGTAGAATTCAAATTGCAACATAGTAAAATACAATATAAGAAATAAAAGCAGCAATAAAAATATAATTAAAAAACCTATATGAATACGTAATATGGCGTACCATCTGCCTGCCTGCTTTCTCCAGCTAGACTGGTAGTCCAGTAGGCACAAGTCTGGATCTAACCCATAGTTGCCTGTAAGCAATAATAGGCCATGACTGGAGCCCAAACTTCAGCAAGTCTCAACAATACAGATCAGATTAGCTAATTCAGCAAATAGTGTTTTGGGGACTACTGGCATTAAGAACAAGGGTGGGGAGCCTGTGGCCTTCCCAGTTATTGTTGGGCTACAACTCCCAATAGCCCTGGCCAGTGGTTGGGAATGATGGGAGCTTGTATTCCAGGACCTCCAGTTTCCTCAGCGCTACTTTCGGATGAGACTGGAAATGATACCTTTGCAGTCTTGAAAATGACTTCAAATTGCATTTTGGCAACAGTTGTTGCAGTTTTAGGTTACATACAATGCCAACCTGTCTTCAGTGTGAATCCTTCTGAATGACCCGTTTATCATGCATTCATCCTGACTGGCTTGCAAAAAACTTAGTTGTTGGTTTGATTATAGCCGTTCTTTATTGAGCATTCATTCTGATGGTGACAATGAGTCCAACATACATCCTGATTTGCTTGCAGTGTGTTTACATGTCTGCATGTTAATGTTTTGTTCCATCTCACACTTCATATATTTACCAATCACTTTCCTAACTGCAAAAAGTCTGATCCCCCTCCCCCAAACTCAAAACAATTTCTTGCATTAGGCTGACAGACTCCTTTAACTGTGCAAACCTAAAATTCCAGTATGTGCTTGAATTATATTCCCACAAAAAAAAATGGCAGTCTGGAGGTGTCATACAACTGTTAGAAAGGACAGGAGGATCCAGCTGTTGCAGGAAAAGGGCTTATTGGGAGAAATTTCTCAATAATCTGCCTCTTAGATATCCCTTGCCTCTTGTGCTTGAGTCAGAGGAGCTGAAAAAACGATGCAGTAATTTTTGGCTTTTTAATTAGATGTTAAGTCAGTAAAGCAGTGTGAAAGCATGGCTTCTGTCTAGAAAAGAACTAGTTTTGCTTTTGAAGTTTTGCCACCTAAATGTCAGCCTACGATAGACTTCAAAGGGAAGTGTACCGTGTGACCTCTTCCTGCAGCAGCCCAATTGCCAAATTTCTGCAGCAGCTGGAAGTCTAAGAAGTTTAACAGCAAAAGAAAATCCAATTTATTTATCGGCTCGGTGCTTATTGGTAATAGCCTTAACTACATATATATCAGACCTGTTTGGAACAAATTGAAGAGTCTGAGCTGGCTTTGCTGTAATGTTGTCACTGCAGGGGACCACAGCGCAGGATCAAACTAGGACTGAGAGCCCCCAAAGGGATTTTTTTTTTGGCAGTTTTGTTTGTTCAGCACCCTGGCCCAACTAGGGTCAGAGTTTCAATGATGAAAGAGCCAAAAAGGGAATGTTCTGGGAAGCAGCTGTGATCTAGTGACCTAAACCCTCCCAGCTGCTCACCTGAACCCCAAACTGGGTGGAAATGTGGACATATTTGTGAGCAGGTTTAAACTCACCCCTCACTTCCCCTTTTGTTCCAGTGTCCAATTAAAGAAGTAACTTTACTGTTCTGAAACAAGGAACACACGCTATGTTCCACAGGGAGCTTAAAGTTTAGAAACAGGGACAACCTTCTAATTCCCAGTCTTACAGCACTGGTGAAGCTACAGTGTAAAATGAATACAACAGTCAAGCAAAATAGGTCAGTAGTTATAAAAACTATTTTTATTAAACACTTTTTTCATATGAAATAAGAACAGTATTTTACAAATCTTATCATCTTCATGATCGGTTGAAACATTATCTGGTTAAAAATCTTTCTACCCCACCAACCTCCCTACGCAAAAATAAAACCTGAACAAAAGTAGTATAGTACAAGTCCAAAATAAAATGTAGTTATTACACAAATTCAAAACATAGGTGGCTGATTAAAACCACCACCACCACCACTTCACATAAATATACTAGTTGTAAACCTGGAGGCCTGCTCATTCGTGATTTGGATAGACAGTGTTTTAATCACCACATTGTATCCCTGACTGCAGCAGGATTGCTGGCGAAGTAAGACAGCACCAGCTAATTCTGGCACCATGGTCAGAAGTTGTTTGTGTCTGCCTTTTGCACCAATACTTCAACTAGTTTCCATAGAAAATCCAGCTAGTAGGTTTAATAGACTTGGCTTTAAGCCAACAGGATCTCAGCAGCTGAAGCTTAGCTTATTCTTCCTTAAATGATATGAGGGTCGCAGCCTTTATATTCGCCCAAGCGTCATCATTTTCCAAAGCTAGAAAAAGCACAAAATGTTAACTGCTGCCAGTGTAAACATATCTATGCTACCAAAAACAGAAGTTAAACACTGGCAAGAAAAATGAGACATGAGTAAAGAAAACAAGGCCAACAATGGGCAGTGTTGTTGTTTAAAGCAGCTGGGTATTTGTAGAGCCACATTGTTTGCTGAACTTAAGGAGTTCCTTTGATTTGGGTGCTTTCCTGCACCCAGCTCTTCTCAAATGAAATTTATGCTGGATGCTGCTTCATCTGGGTCCATGTTGGATGTCCTTGGCAGAGACAGTAGTTTAGCGGCTCCCTCTATTGTGTCACTGGCAAGGCCACATTCACGGGGACCTGGCTAGGCTGAGGTGCTGGAGACACATTGCTTATGGGTTGCTGAGGAACAGTTGCAGACTCCATCTTGCTGATGTGTATGAAGCGCAGACGAAGCTTCAAAGCAGGCCTCAGGTTGCAAATAATCTTTTCAACCTTTAACGAAAGCCAAAGGGAAATAAAAAGTGGTTATGAAGCAATAAAGGGGTGGTCCATTTAAATATAAAGATATATGCCTTGCTATCACCAGCAGTCAGCTAACTTGCGGTAAAGCAAGCCAGCGGAGATTGGCTGGGCCATGGTGAATGCAGAGTACAGCTGATCCCAGTAGAAAGCGGAGATTAAAATCTGTTTCTATCAGCTCCGTGGGTTTGACCTCACTAAGGAGTTTCCCATGGGAAGCTTCACGGTCAGCATATTCTTGAAGGTGCTTGCAAAGAGTGCTTTTGGCATTTGGAAGTGGCAAAGAACAGCTGATCAGCAGGGCTTCAAAGCAGTGTGCAGGGCTCTTTGCAAGCCTGGGTTGTGCGTTGAAATCTTGATGTTCATGCAGACTTCAAAGCACCCCCATTACCTGATGTTTCTGTAACATCAGGTGACTGATAGGTGGTCAGCACTGCCCACCTGTCAAATGTGGCCTGCTGGTTAAAAGTCTAAAATAAAAATTTATAGGTCTTCATTTAGCTTCACAATGCTTACAGAAGAACGCTTGTTAATTGAATCAGGATAACAGATTTCTTTTATATACAGGTTTTAATTGGCTCACTAATGGCAGGATGTCTATTGCAAAAAAAATCTTTTTTTGTGAATGGCCACCATTAATAATGTAATTAACACCATCTCTACTGTTCTGCATTTCATTTCTCATTTCATCGTTTATAATTCTAACTAACCCCATGTTATTGCATCTGACAAAGAAGACTCAAGATTCTTCATTGGTTTTAAACAGTTTTTATGCTATTTTCATTGACTCACTTCAAGATTTAAAACAGAAAACAAAATATAATTCTAGTATGTAAAATTTCTTAACTGACATTTTCCCATAATACAGTGATATTAGGGCTACGAAATATAAAAAAAAGAAGAATAAAAGAGAGGGACAATAGAAATAAAAAAAGGAAAGAGAAAGAGAAAATAAAGCAAAAGAAGAGAGACTTGGCAAAAAATACAAAAGAGGAACTTCCGGTTTTCCATCACTTACTTGGTCTTTTACACTGTCTCCAGTAAACATGTACTTCACATGATACAGGAAATCACATATTGGATCCATGTAGTTGAGATGTGTGTTGCATTGGTCCACTTCCAGAAGCATTTCATAAAAAGCTACTCCAATCTATTGCCACACAAACAAAAACTCTACTGAATATGCATGGTATTGGTGAGCTGAGGATGGTGAGCAGTGCAAACAGGGGCAGAAGCCTACGGTTCAGTGGTTCTCAAACTTTTTTCTCTGGGTCAAGCTTTCAGAATAAAAATTTGCTCGCAACAAGCCTAAAATTTTTCATGGATAAAAAATTCATTGGAAAACAAAAAGAAACAACTAGCAGCGCTAGATTTATAACACAACTACTTTATAATAGGTAAAGGACCCCTAGACGGTTAAGTCCAGTCAAAGGCAACTATGGGGTGTGGCGCTTATCTTGCTTTCAGGCCAAGGGAGCTGGCGTTTGTCCACAGACAGCTTTCCGGGTCATGTGGCCAGCATGACTAAACCTTTTCTGGCGCAACGAAACACTGTGACAGAGCGCATGGAAACACTGTTTACCTTCCTGCCGCAGCAGTACTTATTTATCTACTTACACTGGCGTGCTTTCGAACTGCTAGGTTGGCAGGAGCTGGGACAGAGCAACGGGAACTCACCCCGTCATGGCAAGCCCAAGAGGCCACAGCGCCACCCACATCCCCACTTTATACTTTTTGGATGCCTCATGATCATATTATAAACAATGTAGCTAGGTAAGAACATGAATCATTCCCAAAATATAATATTGATTTTCCTTGAATCTTCCCACCACAGTGGCATGTGACACTCTTTGAGAACCACTGTAGATCTTGTAAAAGGTTATTAAAAACAACAGATCACATTCTTTCAATTTAAAATAAAGTGACCTGAATCTTGCATACAGATATACTACTGAAGCATTCTGCAAAAGGACTGAGCTTTGATGATGAGAGGTAATGGGATAGACAACTGTATATAGTTTTTGCCAGATACACTGGTGTTCTGTGGTCTACCAAAGAACCACGAGGACATTTCTTGTGGAAATTTTTTTAAATTAGTCTTTTATCTAAATTTGGGGCTGCTTTTGTTTAAGATGAACTCATCAATCCATAACCATATGGGGGTTTCAGAGCTGACAAATGAAAATTGGTGGCGCCATGGCAATAACCCTCACTTCTAGGAGATGAACTCAGGAATTTTTATTCTTCAAAGATGACAGGAAAAATAGAGAAAAAGCTAATTATGCACTTTTCATATCTCTTGTTCTGCCTGGCTTACTACAGAAAGCAGAGTTTAAAAGGCACAGATGTTCCTTCCTGTCTTCAAAGACAGAGCTTGAAGTCAGCTTTGTTTAGATACTTATGGCATAAGCATAATTAATTTTAGGACACTGAAAATGTCCTGGAGAGTTTATTTTAAAACTCCTTTGTTGTGCTTGAAGAGACATGCTGATGAATACTGTAATTTGGTTTCTGCTGTGACTGAATGCAAAGTCCATATAATTTGAGGCTGTGCCTGTGGTGATTTCGGGAGAACTGGGCTGTGTTTCTTTCAACAAACTGACAAAAGCAAATGGGCAGCAAAGAAAAGGAAAATACCCAAAAGATTTTGGGAGATATCCCAAAATTACATAATTATGTGATATATGTTCTCTTGCACCTATGACTATGGCAGGGATATATTAAACCTCCACCTAACTTGCTTCACTGCAAATGTTATATTGGAAGTCCTCCAAAGGGGATGGAGGAATAAACACAATGAAAGATATACAAACTATCTTTTCGTTGAACTAATTTTGTTGGAAGGATAGGAGAGCAAGGTTAATGTTTGTATGGAAAGCCTCACCAGAAAGGCAGTATTTAGCAAAGTCCAAAAGCTTGCTGTCCTATTCTTCTGATGAACACTGCAGCAATTTCTCTTGATCTCACATACCTCTAGCATGCATCTTGTCCTCTCCTGCTGGAACCGCTGTAGGAATGGACCAACCAGGTGATACACGTAGAGTAACTGAAATTCCGTCTTTACTACTGGTATCAATACTTCAGTGAGAAACCTGTAATATTTTAGAAATTATATTAAGTTAGTGCTTTTATTAGCTTTTTGTTTTATATTTTTCTATTTTATACCCTGAAATTTACCAAATTCTGTTAAAAGGCAAGTGCCGCTAATAACATTAAGATGCATACAATCAAATATTCTGACACACACTTAACAGAGGACATTTACCTATCAGCTATATCTTTTGGCTATATGTGGGCTTTATATACAAGCAGCACATTTTTATTTGGCTGAAAATAATATTCAGAGATCATATAGAGTATGCCTGTCATGGCGGGAGTCAGCAATAAAGGAAGCATATCTTTGTTGTTAGTGAAGTTAACTCTTTATTCAAGGAACTGAACATACTTGTTCTCAGCAACACTCCCCAAGTAGGTCTTGCTCCTATGAAGCAGTTGCCAGGACTGAAGGTCCCTGCCTTCACCATCTCTAAGGCTCCTCCTCAGGTGTTTCCCAAGCAGTCTCAAACTGTGTCTGGCACCTCTGTTCTGCTCTTCTCATTACTTTGCAAGTTCTTGGAGACCAGGTGAGAGGGGAGCTTGTTGCAGCAGAAGAGGGAGACTCTGTGTTCTTCAACAGTCCTTTGATACCCCCTCCTGCTCCAGCCTCAGAGTCTGAGCTGCTTCCTGTCCCGGGCTCTTCCTGCTCACTAAACCCTGTTGTCCCTTCAGCATCTGAAACCTACCCCCCTCCAATCCACTCCCTCGGACTGCTCCTCTGTGTCCCACCACCGGTCCTCTGGCTCTGAGCCTTCCTCCTCTGGGGTTTCCCCAGCTGGTGCCTCCCACCACTCCTCTTCATCCAGCCAATCCATGACACCTACTTTGGAATGAGGGAAAGCTGGCCAATGCTTGAATGATGCCAGACTGCATGTGCCAATGCCAGAGTGTAGCTACAGCACATCTCGGAGTAAGACTGATGGCAAGCTGTGAAGTCAAACAGCTGGAATGGGTAACCAACCCATTCGGTCTCCGAAGTCAAGCTAGGACTGTTGATAACACTCACAATCCGTTCATGAAGGACAATCCAGTAGGGCTCCTGGGAAAAGAGAGCCAAAGCAACTTCAAATCATCAGGACATTGTGGCCCAATTCTAATGTTTTAGGAACAACGTGATTGCCACTCTCTTCTGGCTCCACCCTACACCACATTGTATGGGAATGTAAAAAATACAAGCCCATGTTTGCATCAAATGGCGACTTAGTTACTGCTGCAGGAAACTGAGTTTTAATAAAAACATTTAAGAGTTCTTAAAATAGCAACCCCAAGCAATTTCTACACTGCTCAAGGTGTCCAATTTTCTGAATTGTTTCAGACGCACCATACTCGGTCTTTGATTCTTCACATCCAAATTCCGTTGAACAAACTTACAGTCAAAACTAAGAAAAATGAACAACGCTACCCTAACTTCTGTATTATACTTCTCGTACAGGGGTTGATGTTTTAGCATGCTTTCTCTTCACTTAAATCAGAATTCAAAATGCAAGACGACTTACAGGTAACGCAGTGATAATGAGTCCAATTGCGTTCATCCAAGCTGTGATATTGTCTCTGGGCACTAAAGGCTGACTATAAGAACCGAAGGGGGAGAGAGACACATGATTCTTTTATTTAATATTTTGGCAAAGGCACTTTAAAGGAATTGATACATTAAAATCAACTAAATATGGTTAGCTCAGTTGGTTAGGGCGTGATGCTGATAACGCCAAGGCTGCAGACTAGACAATTCTCAGGGTTCCTTCCAGTTCTACAATTCTGTGATTTGGTTCCTGGGAATCTTTCCATTTTGACAGATATTAGACAACATTTTGCAATATGTTAACAGGCCCCTAACTTCACAACAGTGTCCCCCACCCCCACCTTTCAGAAAGTTTCACATACCTTTTCAGCACAACATTGAGGAGGGCATTGCCCACATCCTTTCCTGGCACAGTCAATGCCATGAGTTCGACACAGGTAACATGGAGAGCGTGGGCAGCTGGGTTGGGAAATTCATTGAACCTCCAGTCACAGTTTGGGAATGGGCTAGATGATTTGCCAGCCATCGGTGACAGCGATTAAGGTAAATAAACAGTTATAGAAACTAGGAAGCAGCCATTAGAACAAGAAGTTAGCATCCTATCAGGAGCATCACAGTTACAGAGTATGATGCGTTGTACACTTTGTTTTCCACCAAATAATGCAATGCAGTGTATTAGAAATTCTGAGCTGGTTTCCCCAGTTCAAGGAACTAAAGGTGGTTTTGTTAAGAAAATGACTGGTCCTGTGATCTTTTGGATTTATAAATTTTACTTAGGCTGAAATCCCAAGTGTGCTTATTTATTTAACAAAATTTATGTACTGCCTGGCTGTAAAGAAAACATATTAAGTGATTTACAAGAAATATTAAAATTGTCAATTGAGCAAAGGAAAATAATTAGAAAGAAACCAGTCTGGCTCAATTCAGTGGGGTTTACTTCTAGTGAACCCTTGGGATGACAGCTACACATATTTAACACACGAAAAGAGCTAAAAACATGCATGTTCTACTTATTTTGCAGTAGTAATTTGATAAAAATCTGTGGGCGGGCTGAAGCACTAGAAAATGGAACCAGAGCATAGCCATTTACCAATTCGCTATAATGAGAATAGTTATTTGGATGCAGCCTGATATTTCACATTTTTTCCTTTTTTAAAAAAAAGGATATTATCAACCAGTCTTGCAATCAATTTGCAATAATAAATATCTTCAGGAATCCACAGGTTATCTTCTCGTGCATTCATACCACATTTGAGGTAAGTATCACTTAAGCACCACCCTTGTGGCCGATTGTCTTTAAGGGAGCCGATGATGGCATGGACGAGCTTTCGTTTGAGGTTCATCCTCTCCCGGAGGTGCCCCTCATAGTAGTGAAGAGTGTTGTACAGGTAGGTCACTGGACGATCTGCCAAGAGGAGAACAGATGTGTTCACAAACTTAGAGCCAAGGCTGTGTTTAATCCATGTTATAAAACTAAACCTTCATTCAGGCAATCCAAGTTCTGTTCCATAAGTCTGGGATTTGTACCAAATATAAATAATGCAATCTGATCATTTCTCAGTTTGGGGAAAATTTAGCCTGCAATTTTTGCTATCTTGTATACTTTACTTCGCTCACTGTAGGAGCTTCAAAGATTTCAACTTGTTTTGCCCACACACTATCAAGAATATGTATACAACTGCAAGGACTAGCTTGCAGTTTTCATAATAATAGAAGCTGAGATTTGTACGAAGCTAAATTGTGCAGCCAGCATCACAGAATGCATTATTATTTTTTGCACTCTCGCTGAATCGCTTTATGTACACGTAGCCATGCTTGTAGCTTTAAGAATCAAAGGCAGAAGTTCAAATGAGTAGTAGTACCTGTTGCCTCTTTGATTAACCCTGGATTGTGAAAAATCAGAGAAAATCTCAAGCTAGGCTCATGTTAGAAATAAATTTTGTGTGCTCATTCTCTTTATGGGATAATAAATCACATCTTTTAATGATAATCTCTGTGGTAACCCTAATACACCTCTAAGTAGCAGCTCTGGCTAAAACATTTCTTTCCCCATTTTTTCTAAAGCATGCAGCATTGGCACTGGTAACTCAAATATTTCTCCAAACCCAGAGAATAATATTTGGGTGTTTGGAATTGGAAAGAGCATGTAATAGTGACCAAAACGTGGAATAAGGTCATCCTAAAGGACAATTCTGCAAATACTTTACAGTGACAACAATGGATTAAAGGCCTTAGATTAGACAAACATCAATATACATTAATCACATTGGCAAGAATTGCTAGTCTCTAGCTTTTCCGGATTACTATAACAGGATATGCTCAGTGACAATAAAGAACAGTCTCAAAAGATGCTTCATAGTGATTTGAGCAAGATTCTAAGCAGGAGTGTTTAAATGCTTATATGGTAATGTATGAGGTTTCCTAAAGCAATCTATATAGCAACAAGCACACCAAAAAAGGGAAAATCTGGTAGTGTCAAAATCTGAAAAATTCTGTTCATTTTCCATGCCCCTTTAGTTCATAAAATGCTAAAAAAAAAATCGAGGCAAAAAACCCAAACATGCAGAGTAAATACAAATGCCAACATAATCTATTTTGCATTTATCTCAAATTTAAGCTGTTTGATCACATAATTTGGATTTATTTTTAAGCCACGAGGGATTAATACCTTTTTCTTAATCCTTGTTCTCAAAAAGGGAGGGAAGTTATGTGTGGCTGTTATTAGTGGTCTACTCAGCATGGTGACTATTACAATTCATGTTGTCCCTCATTACTGAACTACTAATCTTTATGGCTTCTCCTCAGCTTTTGAAGTAATTGGAAACATCAACAATCCAGTCTCATACTTCTCTCCCCACAGCTATTTCAAAAGACGACCACCCCAATTAGCTCTTTCCTGCAACCTCATGAGCTTTGATGCATGCATGGCGTCTGACTACATACAAAGGTTTCCACTTTGCTTCAATATGCTTGCCAGGGCTGGGGGCGGGGGGGGGGGGGTTGAGCTCAGCATGCATACATCTGCTTTGTAACATGCAGAATTTCTCCAACAGTAAACATAAACAGGGACAGAGCTTGACATCTGCACATATGTGCCTGCAGTTTTGGCTCAGCCAAACATGGATGCTATCACACCAGCTCGGCTGCCATTTTTGAAATGTATATTGACACAGACTTTTGAAGAGGCCTGCACTTTCCATAGTCTTCCTAGGAGTAGGGGTCCCCCCCCCCCAAGCAAGTCTGACAAAGCCATATGCAATTACTCCTTTACTATGCTGGTGAGACAAGCAAAATTAGCACAGCTGGAAACTCAGACACAAACAATGCTTCATTGGTGATATTGTTTATCATCCACTCAGTTTACAAAGTAAAGACTCACTTTTTCCCTCCTAAAAAGTAAAGGGAAATGTGTGTGCGTCTTATGGAGCGAATGCAGACTGTGCAGCTATCACAGAAGCCAGAACAGCAAGAGGGATTGCTGCTTTCACTGCGCAGATTCAGAATATTTTTTTTCTTGTTTTCCTCCTCCAAAAACTAGGTGCGTCTTGTGGTCTGGTGCATCTTATTGAGCGAAAAATATGGTAATTCAGGTATTTACCGAAAAAGGGGAAAAAAAGAAACTTACCATGGAATTTGTATAAGCCTCCTAGATGATCTAGTAAAGTCTCCAGTGATTTGGACACCGGAAGGAGTTCCAGAAATCTGTGAATCACAATGTCAAATACTGGCAGGAAACGGAGACACACATTTCCAAAGTATATCGGCAAGTACTGGGGCTGGATTTGTACTGGAGGGTTGACTTGCTCTGCTAACCCTTCAAAATATAACTTTTCAGGATACCTCTGTGGAGGGAAAAGTTTTTTAAAATATTAATTTATCTGCCTTGCTTTGGTAACATTCCAAACCTAATATTTTATTCTCTAAATGTTCTGAATGCAGATTCCCCCCTCCCCCGCGCTACAATCCTGTTGTGCACTTGAAAAGCAATGTTGCTTTACATTCATATCTCACTGCAAAATCTCTAGCACAAACTGAGCTCTGTAATTAGAAACACATACAGGCAGCAAATCATAGACGGACTTTTAAAGATTTCTAACCTCAGGTGGGGTGCTGCTCCTAAGAAAATGAATAGGCATGTTTTTGCCACTGGAGAAGTGGTTTTTGAAGCAGTAAGATGAAAGCAGGTAAGCCTTAGGGTGATTTCAGCCTCAAAGCCCACATCTGAGGCAGTTCACTGTGGCTGGGTATATCTACACATGCAGGAAACAAAAGCTACCACACCTTCCTAGTCCTGATCTGTTCTAGGTGGTAAGGATTGGCCAAGTATCCTCAACTCCCCTAATATTCCCCAGCATTGAAATGGTTTTGCGTGTATCTTTGCCTGTAAGATCTGCCTGTTTTCGAACTATACTCCCAGCTCAAATGTGAAATACTGCCAGCCTTTCTCAGACATAAGAAAACTAATCTTGGTATTAAGCAAATTGCGGTTGTTAGCATTTGTCCAGCGGTGAAGTCAAACTGCTGCATTAGCAGCACTGAAGTGACCTCCAGCCTGGGCAGTGTGCATGGAGGTCCTAGGCTAATGTGGACCAAAGGAAAACAGAGCAATACGTTTGGTACCAGCTTGGCTGCAGGAGTTGCCATAAGGAGGGACTCCCCTCTGGATCTGTGTATAGTTTGCTCCTTAACCCTTTCTTCTCCCAAAGGTATCTTGCAAGGCAGAAGAAGCTTAGGATCAGAGTTTCCTTCTCCTAGATGGGCTACCTTCCCAGGTTGATGAGCCCCATCTGCCCCTCACTCCCCTCTACAGCACGTGCAGAAACCACCTTCTCAACCATTAGGCCCCTATTAGTCCTGTCCACTCAATCCGTTGGAGCCTGTCTTTGTCCCTAAAGCACCCAGGGTTTGAGACCCATCAGCTACCCTCACCTGGTATAACCAGCCATTCTAAGCCACTCCCTGGGTGTGGCTGCTGTCACATGTTGACAGCTTTTAGCAGCCCTAGGTGAGAGCTGAGTGCAGGGTGGGGACCAAGGTGGACAAACTACCCCAGAAATCGCATGACATGTCCCCCAGCAGAGGCACTACCCCCTCCCCTAGGACCCCATACACCCTGAGCAATTTGCAGTAATAAAATAATAAATGCCTTGAGAAACAAGGGGTAAAGTTAGAAACAATATTCTAACTTTACGTATTTCACCACTAAGTAAAGTAACCAAAAGTACCTTGTGATAGGACATGTGTTTCGTATGCCAGTCATTCTGCAGCCAATGCTCTGGGGAGTTGTCTTTCACAAATTCACTCACTCGGTTTCGGAAATCATTAGGTTTAAGTAAGAGCAACTGAATGATGAAGTAGCACACTTGGGCTTCGTTGCCCTCATGACTGCGCATTGCCTGAAATGGAGAGGATAAAAAGCATCTAAGAGGACAGCAAAATACTACAAATTAAACATTTGTGGCTCACGGAGGGAAATAAATAAATTTGTGAGTCAAATCTGTAGCACATGAGCCAGAGATGTTTGGAGAGAGCAACACTGTGCATAGGCGTTTATATGCTAATGCTAGACGCCTCCATGCCAAGATGAGCAAGTTGGAATGGTTGGTTTTAAAGGAGTGCATGGATATCTATTTATCTCACACAATTTGTGCATTGTTTGATTGTTAAAAACCTCTAAGCAGTTTACAAAAATATAAAACGAAACTTTGAAACTATCAATAAAAACAGTTAAAAACAGATATTTAACAATATTCAGAAGATGATTAAAATCAGCAATAGCTAAAAAGAAAACACATCTAAGATATATAGTGGGCATGACAGAGACAACCAAAGAGACAATTATATCTTCTTTGCATCTGTTGTCACTGTGGAAAATGTGGGGTTGATCCTTGTGCCTGAATGTACTTTCTCAGATTGTCTGAGGAGCTGAGGGAACTAGTTGTAAAAATATGAATAAATCACTGGGTCCAGGTAGCATCCACTAGACTACTTAAAGAACTCAAATGTGAAATTACCAATTTTCTAACAAAAAATGCAACTTGTCCCTATGATCAGCTTTTTAACTTGTTCATAAATGACCTAGTTAGGAGTGAGCAGTGAGGTGCTGATGTATCATAATCGTTCAGCGATTATTGTTCAGGAATTGTGAGGAACTCCCCAGAATCTCACCAACTTAGAACTATTAGTTTTATGGTCGTCATACAAGAGGTATCCTCTGTTGTGGCATTACTTACCAAACATAAAATCAACCTGTCCAGTGTCACAATGTTGTATTTCCACACCATGTCATTGAGAATCTCAATACACTTATTGAGCTGCTGGCCCCCAGCTGATGTGGAAAATTCATATACCAAGAAATCTGCAAATGTCCTTACATGAGCTACTAGAGCTCTGGCTCCGATTCTTTCCAACACCCTAACAAACAGGATAGAAAATGCAATGGTGGCAGATGCAGAATTAATTTAACAACGTGGACTGTTAAATATAGATACTCTACCTAAGGCTGCCATTATAAACCAACCAACCAACCAACCAACCACTAGAGAGCTACTATTTTTAGAACATTCACTCTCAAAATGCATGAAGTAGGGCAGAACTGATAAAAATCTGCACTAAAAATAGAGTGGTGATTCTAGCCCCTTCTGTCCTAAAATAGATTTCCTCTGGAGTTAGTAGATAGGTCTGCAGGAGCCCACTTTGTATTGATTTGCACTGATAATGAATTTGGTCTTTCAGGATACGCCTAGCAGACTATTAACATTATACATAATGAATGCCTAGGGGATGAACCATTGAACCCTGGGCAGCTGCAGAAAACCCCAGTCTTTGGAAAATATGTTTCCTTTTCCTAGTGTGCTAACTGAAATGTACCTCTGCTTAGAATGTTCTGCACAAATCTATTATGCCAGAAACAATCCATCTTGAAATAACTAACCTGTAACCAATTTGGTTAATGTGATCAGTCTCCAGAAGCATCTTCCAGAGGAGACAAAGGAAGAGGGGTGGGGAGCCCTGCATGGAGAAGTGGGTGATGATGTCATTCTCATTGATCATGGACTTCCATTTTCGGTACTCCTCTTCCACATTTTTCTTCAGGTTAAAGCGGCTCTCTTGAGGTACATTATTTTGTTTGAAGAATGCCTGAAATAAAGTGAATTGTTATCCGTTGTCAGATCTGAAAATTCCTATTTCATCTGAAATTAAGCAAACTACTGGGAGTCATTCTCCTTCTATAACAGAGACATTCAGAAGTGGGATCTTAAAAACCTGGAGGAAAAAATCTTCTACCTGAAGATGGGGCTTAATTTTGGGGCTCCAGCCACTTCTTAATACCACCCAAGTTGATCCTCTTGATTTCCCCCTAAATCTCCAGCATTGCCAATATAAAGACTGCCACTTTTCTGGCTTGCTTTCTCACAAGGGAGCCATGTGTTCCAATTTGTGCCAGAGACAGGCCTGAGTAACTGATTAAATATTTTTAGAATATTGGGTTGTGGAGGGAACAATTATCTCAGAAACCTTGCATCCTGTAATCATTTTGCATCTAGCAAACACTAATCCAGTTATGTCTAATGCCTCCCACATCTCATCTCAAGTCTCTGACAATGTGCGGACTGCAGGGGTCCTACATCATGCCCAGTTTTTTCCTCTCCTCCAACCCCTTTCGCTAACTATTCAGTATGAAGACGACTTCTGGAGAGTTTGAAGCTCACTGTTTCATGATGGAGGAACTGGACATGGCTAGGCTGAATCCTTTCTTTCCCCCAACACCCGTGGCTCAACTTTAATAGGTGGATGAGGCCGTCCACCCATCACTCCCCTGATGTCATTATGACCTCAGATGACAACTGGAAAGGGGCTCAGTTTCAAAGGGAACAGCTCTTGAATACAAATGGCATGCAAACTTACTTCAAAAGTGATGGCTCTCAGTGCCTACACTAGGGAATCCCAGATGGGGAACTACTTTGTATAGCCAATCCTAGTGGGGTTTCCTATTAGTGAGAGGGAGCCCTGCAGAAGGCAGTTTAAGGTCCTGACTGTTTCTTTGCATCCATGTCTTTACCTGCCTATACCTGACATCACATAGGATGTCCAGTGTGGGGCAGGTGGATGTGTTTGGGGAAACAGCCTTGGAGGCCAAATCAGGACTCGTGACCAGGCCTAATGAGGCCCACAGGGTGGAGGTTCCTCACCGTTGCTTTAGCTGGTCCCAAGAAAGGTATTAGGCTCCTGTGACGTCTGGTTTCTTTTTCTGATTTCTTAACGCCTTCTTAGAAACACAGTGCTTTCTCTATACAGATGAAGGCAGCAGCAATTCAAAATTCATACTCATTTCACCAGACGAGGCTAAAAGCAAAAATGACCTGCCACACGTTTTATTATGTGACTTCTGCAAAAATCCCTAATAAGGGGTACATTTTGTTGATAGTGCTTTCTTGTTTAAACCTTTAAACCTGTACGCCTTTAAAACCTTTAAATCTCACCCTCCAAAATATACAAAAAACACTGTTGGGAAGCTTCCTTCACGTAGTTTTACTGTGAGGTGACTTTCAAAAAGTAAGAGAAACAGTATGTTCTTCCATCCTAACTTGCTCAAAGGTGAAGACATACTTGAATACTTGGTTTTGTTTTTTAAATTACCTGAAGTGGAGCCGGAAAACAGCTCAAGGTGTGTGAAGCCCAGTTATGGGGAGTAAAGCTCATGATAGTCTGCAGTATATCCTTGCACCAAGTGCCCTGAATGGAATCCGACCCTGTGAAAAAATCTAAAGACAGACATCTAAATGTAATTACTTACTTAAATAGCTAAAACAAATACAGTGGATTGATCAATAGTCATCTTTATTCCCCACAGATGCTATATGCATTATTACTGGTAGTATAATTTTAACAATTCAAGACCTCCACGGGTTTCCTTTTCCAGATTTAATAATTCATTCTGACTAGACTCTCTTTTAGATTAACCAGAGTTCAGCATTATATTTCAATTCTAAACTGTGGTTAATCTTAGCTATGGTCAGAGAAAACAAGCCAGCTTCATAAACTATAGTTTGAAGGTGGCTTATTTTACATAACTATAGTTTGTCCAGGTTAAGAGATCATGGCAAGCATTGATTAGTTTAAAGTGGATCTGAAAGCTTCTAAACCTATTGTGACTACGATGGAAGCGGGGGTAATATGTGAGGCTAGCTGTGGCCTCATAATAGTTCACTCCTTCAAGCATTGTAACAATGCAGTGAAAGCATAAAGAATTCAAGACTTGTAAAAAAAATTTTTTAGCGCACAGTACTGTATTAATGCTCACATCTTGTGCTTTCCTTTGATATATTTATTCAAAACCATCTGTAAAACTGAGAGATAATGACTGTTACCTGTGACATGTGTTGCTCTTGCTAGAGTCAAAATAAGCGCTCTGTTAAGTTCCTCCGATTCTGCTGAAAGGACTGTCTTGGGTTCATTAAGGAAGCGGGTGAATTGTGGCTGGACCTCAGAGCTACCCAAAGCAGTAATCAGTCGTAGAGCAGTGCTTTCAACACTATAAGGAGAATATGTTAGCTATGTTTTCAGGGAGAAATGGGGGTTTTAATGATAATTGCAGGAAATCAAAGCAGGAAACACCTTGCTTCAAGCATTATTTCAGGAAGCATGGCAAGATTCATTTGACTTGATAATCACAAGATTTGAGTTTTCAGTTTTGCACTTTACATGAGTTCGCCCTGAACTGACTACCCATATTTCATATTGGCCTGGTTTGCATGACTCGGTACGCGTACCATGATTGCGCACACTTGTGGGCTCCCCAAAGAGGAGCTCGCAGCAGCACTTCTCTCTAATCTTGCTTATTCTTGCTCTGCACTGAGCTAAGCCAACCTTTTATCTTAGCGTGTTGCCTGAACCTGGGCACATGGTTCACCTTTCTCTTCTCTGTGGCCAAAGTTGGTTCTGTAGTGTTCGAATCATCTTTTGGCCAAGAAACATTTTTGACCAAATCCCTCTTCCATGGCTTTCTGCTCTGTGTGATGCTTCCAAAGCAGAAATAGATTTACAGTAGCAACACTTACCACAGATGAAGCTGGTTCTGATTAGTCTGTGCCACAGCGGCTAAGGAATGAAGGTTACTGAGCAGCTGGACTCTGTAATGAGGTTGGATATGGTGCATGCGATAGCTGAACATCTCCAGGAGAGTATGCAAGATTCCCCAAGCGTGAGACTTAAAAACAGTGGGTAGCAGTTGGCCTGAAAAGAAAAATATGAAATCAACTATTTTTTCAGTGAAACATTCAGAGGAATATATTTTTCTTACAGGCACAAATAGAATCAGGCAAGTTCAGGCATGTTTCTTTTTTCCTTTTCCTTTTTTTTTTTAGCCCTTATGGCATTGACAATATATACCACATAATTAGATCTTAGCAACGTTCAGGTAGAATAGGTATCCACTATTATGCAATTACGCAGAATACTACATTATTCATTCATATAATGGCTGCCTGAACAGGAGCTTAAAGCAGGAGTCCCTATTATTCAATGCTTGTCATCTCTTCTTTAAAGAAGATATTACATGCATTGAGTAATACAAATGATGTAGACGATTTTCTTGAAATATGGCATCCTTTTATAAAATACTTTGCTGATAACCCTGAAATCACAGATTGGACTTGGGCAAACCCAGCAGGGTTAACTGTGGGGTTAACTGTGAGGTTAAAGCCTGCATGTTACTTGGGTTCCTTGGAAGAAGTGTGGGATAAGTATGTTAATAAAAGCAACAATAAAAATAACAAGATAAATTTCCTTCAGTATAGTGCATAGTGCTGAGCTGATTCGTTCTCAGTTCAAATCCTAGCTTATCAACAAACTAACTGGGTGGTGCCAAGCAAGCCATTCCCTTTTTATCCCGAGTCCCCTATCAGTAATTAAGGATAATACTATTGTTTCTGTCTTACACATATCATTAGAATGGGTGAGATAAAAGTGCTTTGGCTATTCAGGAAAATACTATATGTATTATTATAATATGCATGCTATTTATTTTTTTTAATCTCAGATTTTTCTTTGAGATGGTATCATGTATTAGAAAATAATTTAAAGTTATCATGCCAGATAGAGAATGTCTGCAAAATAACTTAACATACATCTAAACAAAAGTTATAATAACTGGATCTTGGTCCTGAACTAGATTGCACAGATGTATGTATCAATTTACATTATGCAGGGCCCAAAAGTGTAAGCACTTTGGAGTATGCAAAGGGCAGCCCAAGCCAGGGATGTTTATGTATATTAATTTGGCAGCAGAGGCCCAAATTTCAACCATATCTGTTGACATTTTAAAAAAATCAATCAAACAAGATTTCTTACTTATAAAACCTTTGATGCCTAGGGATTCTATTTCCATATAAACCAGCAAGCGACTATATGTTTCCACAAGGGCTGGAGCCAAGGCTAAGCTAGATTTCGCATGGGCCAGTTTGATCACTCTGGTAGCTATGCTGTGAATGAGGCTGGGGAGAAAAAGAAACCATGTTATTTTCAAAGCCATTTGGTTGAAGTTAGTTTTCTGAGAATACAGATCTTCTGCACTGCAATACACACACTTGACTCTTCTGTAACTTTCAGATACTGAGCATACTCTACCTCATCTTGGCATGAACCGTCAGTGAATCCAAGAGGTTCATTGGCAAAGGTGTGATGGATCCTGAAGCCATACAATTGGTTCCTGGGAGAGGTATTCTCATGTTGCCATTTCCGTAAATAGTTTCCACTAGAACACCCATAGGCAACGTGAAGCATTCTGAATTGGTGGAATAAGCATTGCACAACAGGGCAATCTTGTAGTCATTCATCTGCAAACTTTTATTTCTTAGACTCTGTTGCAGGAATCTGCGGGGAAGTTAAATGAAAAGGAAAAGAGTGACTGTCCCAGAAATGCCTGAGCAACGGAAGTTTGCATCTGATGGTAGAGTTGCATCCTAACTCTAAAAAACAACAACCCATCAATCTCATTCTAGGTATTACAGAGGAAATCTATATCTCTGCTGTGTAAAGCCTTTTCTTTTCCACCAGGTCTTTGATTATGGGAATGCCAATTGTTTCTGCAATTTAACATGCTGTGAAGTGCCTAGACAACCCAGTTGGATAAGCAGCATAAGCTAATTAGTAACTCAAAGCCCCTTCCTATTTTCCTGTTGAGTTTTACCACTTCTCTGGTGATGCTTCTGTTCACTTGTTACTTTTTGCTGCAGTGGTTTCATTTATCATAATTAAACTGACTTCCACAGTGTGTTTTTAATGGCTTTTAATGCAAACTGTCTGAGGTGTCTTTTTATGGGAAAGAAGTACAGAAATTCTGCACATGACTATAATAAACAAAACATTCATCTTTTATCGCCCTTGCCTCTCTCCATTCTCTGCTGTGTTTGTTACCGTTCTCTATTCCTTACCCTGTCAACTTTTAAATATTAAGCTCCTTCAGGAAGTCACCTAGGTAACTTCACAAAACGGCAATTGTGTGAATGCTGCTGCATAAGTAAACAATAAGGAAGACAAGTGAGCAAGGTAACATGAAGCAGAGCTGGAGTAAGATTTGGGAGGATGCAAGTTATCAGGAAAAGAGAGACTCTGGGTCTAAGACGTCCCAGTACATTTCTGAGTGCAATTCAAATTGTTGGTGCTGACCTCTAAAGCCCTAAATGGCCTTGGCCCTGTATACCTGAAGGAGCGTCTCCATCAACATTGTTCAGCCTGGACACTGAGGTCTGCCTTCTGCTGGTTCCTTCACTGTGAAAAGTGAGGTGGCAGAGGGCCTTCTTGGTTGTGGCGTATGCCCTGTGGAACGCCCTTCCATCAGATGTCAAAGAAATAAACAACTATCTGACTTTAAGAAGACATCTGAAGGCAGCCCTGTACAGGGAAGTTTTTAAAGTTTGATGTTTTACTGTGTTTTTATTATTCTGCTGGGGGCCGCCCAGAGTGGCTGGGGCAACTCAGTCAGATGGGCAGCATACTAATACTAAAATACTACTAATTATGATGATGATGCTGATGATGCTGATGACAATGCAGTAGCTACAGCAAAGGTGTGGCAAGCACACTTGACCAGGGATCACACAACATAAGATACTATTTGTTAACTGTCAGCTATAAGAGTCTGCTATACAATTGAAAAGAGGTATTATATAGAAAGCAATTACTCATGGTGAAGCTTGAGAGAATGAGGAATTGGAATTTGTAGCTTAGAATTGTCACTGTGAGCCTTCCTGTTCAGATGTATCCAGATACAGGTCATTGCAAAAGCGTGTGTTGATTGGGGCTTGTTGATATCAGGTACAGGAATACACTGAGGAAAGAAGAAACATGAAATTAAATTCTACTGGCTGTCATACAACAAGGCATTTAGACTTGGTGAATCCCAGTTTGACTCTTAGGAGTCTTCACATCAATAAAGGAATTCTCTTGTAAATCAGTAGATAAATACCCCAAAGCTGAAACCACTTTCTCTAACGCACCACAGTTAAAAGAACTGAAATGTTGCATGTAGATTGGCATAAAACAAAGTAACAGGACTGGCATATCTTACATTAAAAGCAACAATGAGAATTCACATGCAAACACAGAAATAAAAGCACACGTCCTGGCTTGAGGCGGGGGTGGGGGTGGGGATTAACATTGTCAAAGAATTTCTCTTCTGTGTAAGCTATTCACATCCTAGCTAGGCTGCAGATTTTTTTTTATATAGGCTGGCAATTATCCAAACCATTTTTATCTCACCTTTGCTCAAAAACTTCAATGAGCCTTAACAATAAAACCAAAGAACAATGATATGTAAAAAAACAAAACCCAACACACACACACCAAAAAAAGAAAAGCAGCAGAGCAAATCGTACAGTTCAAAACACCCAATTAAAAGAGTTTCCAGCAGAGTTAATACATAAAAATTCAATGGGCTTCCTAAAAAGGAAGGTCTTTATATGGCAAAAAACAGCTAATGAGGGGCAAATCACAGCTATGGAGAAGGCTATTTCCCAACCAGATATAATTTTTTTTGGTGGGGGTGGGGGTAAACATGCAGGAAGGACACCAATACTGAGCTTAGCAAGATGCCAGGGTTGTAAAGGAGAAGGCAGTCCTTTAGGTCAGAACTTTCCAAATTGTGTGTCGCGACACGTTAGTGTATCGGCTGCAGTGTGTAGGTGTGTTGCACAAATGCTCCCCATACTCCTCCTGGGGCTGGAAAGGGGTTAGTTTAACCTCTGGTTTGCTAGTAAAACTGAATTACTGTGTTACCAACATGAAAAGTTTGGAAAGTTCTGCTTTAGGGTCATTATTCTGAGCTGGCCAAAACGTAAGGTGGCTGCTCATGGTTAACACATAGCCAGGGTCTGTAGTTTCCAGGACTGTGAGTAGCTGGAGCATCAGCAAAAGAAATCTCTTCTAAACCTTGTTCCAATCTCATTTTGATCCCTCATCACTTTATTTGTTATTCTTACAGGCATCATACTGTCTTATCTGCTCATAGGCATTGTATCGAACTGTTTATGTTCCTCCTCCCTTTTTGATTTTGTGTTACAATCTTGGGCAGGGGTCAGTAAAGTTTTTTGGGAGGGGGCTGGTTCACTGTCCCCCAGTCCTTTTGGTGGGCCGGACTGTGCGCGTGCACACGCAGCGGAGGGGGCTTCTCTCTCATCCCCAGCCCTCCCCTCCCCCTGCCTACCTTCTCTGCCGCTCTGCCTGCGGTTGGGAACTGGTGGTGGTGGCGGCTCCTCTCCTTTCCGTGCCAGCTTTCCCCAGGCAGGCGGTGAGGCTTCCTATTAAAGCCCAGCCCCCTTCCTCCACAGGGCGGGGAGAAGCCAGGAAGAGGGAGGGAGGAGGGGCTGCTGCGGTGTGTGTGAGGGAGGGGGAAATTGTGAAAAAAAATGCGCCCAAATTTTTTTTTTTAAAAAAATGGTAATCGCGTCAATCCAAGCGGCAACTCCAGAACCATCCATGGGCCAGATCCAGAGGGCAATTGGGCCTGATCCGGCCCGTGGGCCTTAAGTTTGCTGACCCCTGATCTTGGGTTTCTGTTAATATGTCAATATTCTTCTTCCATGCATCATTGTTTCTCTTGACAGATCTTGCTTTTTACTATCTCATGTCTCCAAATTTATTCCGTTTCAGTTACTTCTTAATTTCATTACACAAAATATAGAAAGCTGCATGTTTTACTATCTCAAATTTGAGCAAATCAGTATTTCCCATATTCTTGTTCCCAAATCTCTTCTTTTCCCCTTTCCTTTCAACTGTCGCATTCTTGGGGACTGTAAGACATTTTAAGAAAAGACTTGTTTTATTTGCTGGGGGGTGTCTTTTCAGGGGAAATATGAGTAGTAAATCATAATAAACGTATTTCACATAGAAGACTCACTTCCTTCTCTGGGTAGAGGAGGTCAAAAAGCTTCATAACAGGGAGGAAGTCTGCTAATGCATTTTTCTGAATGCTTCCAGAGATGAACTGTAATAATACCCACATCAGATGGTCTCTGCCTTTGATTAGGCCTCGTCCTGCTAACTGTAAAAAAGATACACTGAGCAGCAAGTCCACACTCCAAGACAAGAACTGTAACACTGAACATCTGTTCTAATTTTCTATAAAATATGTACTTTCACTTGGGAAATAATGCACACTCTCACCTTTCTGCAAGATGCCATGAGCTAATGACCAGTCGGTGCATTAGAATTATATAACATAGGCACACAAAGACTTGTGACTAATATTTTTAAGTCAGCAAATAACAGAAATTTGAAAGGTGTCTGCTGCCATTTTCTTTTTTTATAAGACAGTTAATACATACTTTCAAAAGGAGAGCTGCCTCTCTCATATATAAGCAATACAAAAATGAAGCTGACTGTTCAAATTGCTCAGTTTCACCTGGACAGACTCTGAAAGTGAGGGTAACACATCAAAATTTCCTCAGGGTACATTCGTACCTTGGTGGTTGAACAGAATCCATTCCAGAGGTCCGTTCAACTTCCGAAAATGGTCAACAACCAAGGCACAGCTTTTGATTGGCTGCATGAGCTTCCTGCACTCAATCAGAAGCTGTATTGGACGTTCGGCTTCCAAAGAACGTTTGCCAACTGGAACACTCACTTCCAGGTTTGTGGCATTCAGGAGCCAAAACGTTCGAGTTGCAAGGCGTTCGGGATCCAAGGTACGACTGTATTTTGCATCTCATTTCTCTTGTAGCAACAAATATTCATTGCTAGGCTTCTTCCTTAATCATAGTTCACCATGTGCAGCAGCAGAATGGCAAATCTGTCCACACACCTACACACCAATTTATTATTTATTTTCTTTGTTAAATTTGTATACCACGCTATACCCATAGGTCTCAGGGCTGGTGCTGGTTTTGGGGCATGGAAGCAGATGAAACTATGAGTGGGCAGGGCAGGAGCTAATTTCATGAAGGTTAAGGGATAACCCGTCTACTCTTTATTGTTGCTAGTGGTAGGTAATCTACCTTTTGATGGAGAGACAGGACCATGTGAGGGAAGCTTGCAAACTGGAAAAGTACAAAGAAGATAAGCTGGCTGGAAAGGTGCTGCCACAACAACTGGCTGGTTCCCCCGTCATCGAATTTCTCCTCTGTCTCTGACCGCTCCATGGCATAGACCACAAGATCCACCAGCTGGTCCTCCAGCACAGGGCATCGCTGTTTGTGCTGCAAAGCAGAAACCAGATAAAGTATTCCACAGTCTAGCATCCATCATTTTAACTCTGCCATTTCAGTACAGTTACTTTAATGTAAGTCTGGGAAGCATGAAATGGGATCTGAACATAAAGCTTTACAAGATAAGCCAAAACATTAAAACTGTCTGATGTTACAGGTCATAATATTTTTTAAATAAAAAATAATAGACTACTTGTTATATCCGTTCTTACCTAGGCACAATTGTTTATGGAGCCAACAAATATCTAAAAACACCGTGTAAGAGTATGTTTTTCATATAAGAGTATGTTTTCAGCCCCGGAAGCTACAGTGTGAAGACTAAAATAATACAATGGACTTGGACCCTTCCGCAGTTAATGGACTGCAGTGTGGCAGTTCCTGACACCTTAACAATTCAGGTACACTCAAGTTATGGGGTCAGTTCAAATATACCATCAAACCATAGTTTGGATTACAAGACAGAGCTCTGTCCTTGTGTGTTCTACCTCCTCACACGGAGGTTAAACTATGGTTTTCCACAATTCAGAAAGTAACTAATTAAGTGGAGTTTGTGAAAGAGAGCATGTGAATGTGAGGCTCAGCCATATATTGCCAAGCCATGGTTTGGTGCTACGCATGAAGAAACCGATTACAAAACCTCAGAACAACATAATAAGCCTTTTGCTTGTGCACAGAACCCATTCATTCCTCTTTTCACAGTGTGAGCAATCAAACCAGGGAGCCTCTAATAAACAAGAGTTTCTCATTTCATCCAAACCAGGAAGCTACGGTTACCAGCTCTGGAAATTAATATCCTGATATGAACTTCAACCTATAGTTTCATTGAGATGAAATGGGAAACTATGGTTGCTTGAAGAATACCTGGATTGTTTGTTCATGCTACAAAATGGAAAAGTGCATACTGGCAAAAAGCTTGTTCATATCTCATCTTATTAACACAGCTTGAACAGTCATTATGTGGGAATACCAATTCCTATTCCAGTGGTGCACCTGTTTAGCTGTACACTTTCTTCTGTTTGTGTGCTTGGATGTTTTGCAAACTGCCAGACCCCTTTCATTTTGATCTTCCCCTATTTAGACTTCATAATGCGCATAATTGGAACATTCCACAGTGGTACAGCATGAAGCCAATTCTTTACAAGCAGCTGGAAGAAACTGTACATTCTAGGCACTACTATTGAAGTTACTGAGTCATTTCTGTATATATTATGGAATTTCAGAGTTTCACATAGTGAACCTGTAACATAACACAGCCTTAATAAAAAGAAAATAAGTATTATTTTTAAAAGATAATACAGAAAAGGTACGGAGCTGCTCAGAATCTAATCATGAAGATGCCTTGTCCCTTTCTAGAGGCAAAAAAGAGAGAGAATTCATTATTTGTTTTCCGTTTCGTGAGAAATGTGCTATGATACCCAAATACGATTTACTCAACACATTTCAGTGCTCCTCTTAACAAATGGTTTCTTGGATTAACAGGCAGTCTAAAAGAAAACCTTCCGAATTTTTTTAAAAAAAGACAAACAGAGAAAAAAATCCCAAGGTTGCTGGAAACAGATACTTATTCTGTGCTTAACAATGTGGATAGCTTTTTGCCATGAAAAAGGGATTATGATTTCAATTTAACAATACAATGCAAGAATGACAAAACTTTGGACAAACTCTGAGAACAGCACTCTCTCCTTCACATGCTCTTTGCCAGCTCAATATTGCCAAAAGCTACAAATCTAGCTGTGCTTTCTTGAAGCATGCTTAAAAACGGAATACTTCCAATCCAAAGGACATTAGTTGCTTTTGACCCTCTCTTTCAAAAAAACACAATGCCATTATCACAGATCAACCACGTTACAGATTTACAAAGAGCAATATTAACACCACCAGTTGAGAATACTTTTTTCCCCCAAATGCAACTAATTATGAAGCAGAGCAGAATGCAACAGACAGTACTACAAACTATTTCATGATACAGCATGCAAAACTACTGTGTACAGGGCTTGAAATTCACTAGAATTTGGTAGAGAGGGGGGCAAATTTCCAAGAGCCCAAGAGTGCAAACCTGTGTCAGTTTTGAATTAAGTTATTTAAGAGGAAACAACTGTCAGTTAATGCAGGTTTCTAACGACAATAAATTCACGAATGCAATTATATTTTTGAAGTGATTCAGAAGGAACTATAAAGGTCAGTTTTTGCTTTCTATAACACTCTTAACTTGACCAGGAAATGGAACTGTGGGATGGAATATGTAGAAAGCAGCAGGCTCAATTATCAAATGGGCTCAAGCAGAATGGATGTAAGGGAAGAACAAAAACTGATCTCCCCTTCAAAGTTGTGGGCACTGAGATCACATTTAGTCATGGTCCTTGAGTCATGTTGTGCATCTCCTGTCCCCAAATCAGAGGGCGAGTGGTATTTATTGCTCCCAATGCAACAGAAGCACAAGCATATGTGGGGTGGGGGAGATCCTTTTCTCCCCTGCTGTGATCCTGACACAAGTGCAATGGAGAAAGTCCCCCATTGGTGCCAATGCCAATGGGTGGAAAGAGTTTACATCCCCACCCCCACCTGATGCAATCTGGATAACCAGCAGCTTCCCCAGTGACTACCATCTGCATGTTAATAATGTGCATGCGCTCAATCCAAATATATATTTCACATGAAGTCCAGTTTGGCCCTAAGCAAATTCTTCAATTTTTCTCCAATGGGGGAAGTTCTCTGACTCTCTCTGCTCAACCCCAAACTGGGCACTTCCACATCGGCTGAAGGAAACTCATGTGGGCTGTGATGCTTGGAAGTGTGTAGACCAAGATGGGTGACCTGTGGCCCTCCACACACGGCCTCTTCTATCATCCATCATTAGTCATACTGACTGGGCCTGATGGAAGTTCAATTCCAGCAGCAGTGGAAGATGGAAGCTTCCCAATACCTGGTGAAGACAATGCTTAATGAAATCGTAGCAGCCAGAAAGGTCTGGCTGCTAAGAGCTTACGTTTATCTGTAACACAGCATAATTGCACATTAAAGAAGAGAAATTATGCAAATTTGCTTTCAGAATCCAGCATTTCTTGGCACAGAATTTGGATTGCCTAGGAACAGATTTTTTCCTTCCTCCATCTTGGAACACATCCAACCCTTGCTCATTCTGTTTCTACACTAGTGAAGACTGAGAAATGTTGTTATGATGTACAATACCAGCACTTCTGGAACCAATTGGAAAAGGGCTTTCTCAGAGAAATGCTGCTGCAATGCTATAAATGCCCAAATGCACCTACAGACTAGGAGAAGAAGAAGAAGAGGAGTTTGGATTTTATATCCCACCTTTCACTCCCTTTAAGGAGTCTCAAAGCGGCTAACATTCTCCTTTCCCTTCCTCCCCCACAACAAACACTGTGTGAGGTGAGTGGGGCTGAGAGACTTCAAAGAAGTGTGACTAGCCCAAGGTCACCCAGCAGCTGCATGTGGAGGAGCGGAGACGCGAACCAGATTACGAGACTACCGCTCTTAACCACTACACCACACTGGCTCTAGGAGAATCAGTATGCACACATAACAGTGCGCAGCAAGCAATTGTGCACAGCAAATACTACTGTACTAGCATGACTTTCTTGCACAGTACCCACCATTCCACAGATCAGTATGTTTACTGACTCTTGAGCACCTCACAGGGACACTTTTGCTCATACAACACAAGTGTATAGTTATAAAAATCTGAGTTATTTATCTATTTGACATCTGACAGGAGATTGTTCCACAGGACGAGCACCACTACCAAGAAGGCTCTCTACCCAGTTCCCTGTTAACTTCACTTCTTGCAGCGAGGGAACCGCCAGAAGACCCTTGGAGTTGGATCAGTGTCTGGGTTAAATGATGGGGGTGGAGATGCTGAGGCAGTTTAGGGCTTTAAAGGTCAACACCAACACTTTAAATTGTGCTCAGAAACGTACTGGGAGCCAATGTAGATTTTTTAGGACCAGTGTTCTATGGTCCCCATGGTCAATCCCAGTCACCAGCCCAGCTCCCGCATTCTTGATTAGTAGCAGTTTCTGAGTCACCTTCAACGATAGCCCCACATACAGCACATTGCAGTAGTCCAAGTGGGAGATAATCATCCTGGTGAGACAGGCAGGTTGGGTCTCAGCTGCAGTACCACATGGAGCTAGTAGACTGCCATCCTGGACACAGAATTAACCTGTGCTTCTATGGACAGTTATGAGTCCAAAATGACCCCAAGTCTGTGTACCTGGTCCTTCAGGGGCACAGTTAACCCATTCAGAACCAGGGAGCCACCCACAACTGCCCACCAGAAACAGTAGTTCTATCTTGTTGGGATTCAGCCTTAATTAGTTAACCAGCATCCATCTTCCAACCACCTCCAGACACTCATACAGGTCATTTACCGCCCTCACTGGTTCAGATTTAAACGAGAGGTAGAGCTGGGTATCATAGTGGGGAACATCCAGTCCAGATCCCCTGATGATCTCTCCCTGCGGCTTCATATAGAAGTTGAAAAGCATGGGAGAGGATGGAGCCATTGGAATTATTTAGACTAGATGTAGTGCTCAGTGCTAACTTTGTGCTGATTTTTAAAAATTCTCAATTACAAAAATGCTGTTTGAAAGGGAGTCCCCTTACTTCAAAACATTTGTTCTTAAGGAGTCAGCATCCCTATTTGGATATTGGAGGGTTGTAAAGGAACCCTCATTCAAATGAGCTGGGTAGGTGTGAAGGTCACAACTATGGGCGGATTACGGATATCATAGGAGACATCTCCTGATAACAGTTGCCTAAAGAGGAACCATAGAGGGATTTTTTTCTGAAGATACGAAAGGAAATTAAAGAGAGGAGCAGCAGCAACAGAAACACAGGAGGAACGGGGCCCAGGAGGACAGCATAAAGAGCAGGGAAGCGCTCCTGCTGACAGCACACTTCATTGCAGAAACTGTGTTATTGTAGCACTACACTATTCACGCCATCTGTTTATAACTGATCTCATGGTAAAGGCCCCAATGCAAAATGGGGTCAAGTCCAACACATAAATGTTAGTTGGAGATGTATGTGTGAAGCTTGATTCTATTTAATCATTTTTGAGTCACAAGTAAATTTTTGATGGAGCTGTAGGCAGTTGACATTGTAATGCAAAGCCAAGGTCTTAATTGCCGAAGTTTTCAGGGAATACAGATTTCCTAGCAGATTAATCTACAATAAAACAAACTTGCACAGTTTCAGTATTGATCATTTGATATCATTTGCAGCATTAGCCTTGAATTCCAACCAAGCAATGTCACACACAACCCTTTCATGCTTTTTTTACTGACAAATGAACAAAAAAAAAAAAGTTCACAGACTGTTGTTATTATGGCAGCACACCTACAATTCATAGTTTGTCAGCATTTCCATTAAAAAACCATGAATTTCAAAGTTTTGTTACTTGGCCATAAAAGTTTGCTCTGAGTTGAACTGTATGCTGGAGGTAGAAATTATTTCTCCCAATCTTGATCTTTCAATGTACTTAAAAAGGTACATATGTAAAATGGATCGAAATGGTGATTTCTAAACCTACTATTGTGAAGTTGATGATGTTAAAAAATTAAGCCACTAAATATTTAGTCTTATTTTATAAACATTTGTCTATTGGGAGGCTTAGAGTAGAGGTGAAAGAGGCAGAAGGTGGAACCGGACAATATTTTAATTTCACAATTGCAGCGAGGAGCTAAGTATACTTGCAGAGCTCAGTTTTCTCCTGTGTAACCTTCCTTGGCCAAGCAGAGGGGGAAGAAAAGTGAACAGAGGTACAGGACATGCACAGAGAACTCTTGATTCTTCGTAAGAGCCTGTTGTGATGCTGTAGTGTGTGCTTTGGCAAGGAAAATGGGGCTCCAATATGCCACATTAGGAACCCAACATATTTGGGTACAAGACAGGGGCTTTAATGTGCTTTGCAACATTTATATTTGGTAAAGATGAATTCAGCAATTAAGTAAAGCAGGGAGTTATTTAACAGATAAGGAAGTGAAGTTGAAACGCAGTGGCTTAACCAAGGTCACCCAGTTAAATTCATCAAGGGATTTGGCCTCAGCTTTTCCAGCTTTAAGGTCCAATTCATACTTTATGCAACAAACTTGTTTGCATACACCCAGTTGTGCAATGCTAAGCATTATAAAAGGATGAAGGAGAGTTGTACATTTCTGAATATTCATGGCTGTGCAGCAGAAATATGCCAGGAAGCCACAAATTAGACAGCTCCACGTGCTTGGGCAATTCCAGTGGTACAGATTATTTTACAATTTAGCATTAAAGAAGCAACTTATAAAAATATTCATTTCTATCTCAATAAAAGCTTAGCTGTGAAAATAATCATTTTAAGCATTAACGCCACAACTGACACTGTACCATTCACCAAAGCTTTTTTTTTAAGTTTAACAAACAACACTATATTAAATAGCTGTATTATTTTAAAGTGGAATACTACTTTATAATTTCTTTGCAAAATCAACATACAGCAAATCTAAGTCTAAAACATTGTTGTTTTTAAGTAATAACCAAAGTTTTAGCATCAAGCAAATGTTATGGTCAAGTACAATCCCTGAAATGAGTTTTTTTATAAAATGAAAACACTGACACAACCTTCACTATAGTATTGCAAACACCAACGCCATTGTACTTTGCTTAAATATCAGTTTGGACAAACTTGTTAAATTAAAAAGAAAAGACTAAAGAGGTCAAAGTTGAAATATATAAGCAGACTAGTGTGGGTATTAAATAAGTTGTAAATTTATGTCCATCTTCCCAAGGAATTTTTTTCTTTGCTTTTTTTTAGCTCAGCCCATTTGGAGATATAAGTTAAAAGAGTTATTGGGGTTTTTTAAATGGAGGCTGAGTATGACCTTTCCTAGTCAAGTTGAATTTTTACATAAATACTTAAGTGTGCTAATATTTAGCAAACCGAGTTTTCTTTCACATTGTTATACAAACAGTTTTTCTTTCTTTTCTAGGCAAGGAAATTTTATAGTCGGAACAAAATTGACTATGAGAGTTTGGGTAAGTCATGGGCAACTCAAGCCAATTATTGAACTGGCTTCATAAGATCCTTTTAAAACTACACAGCATTCTTAAAACCTCAGATTTTTTTAGGAAGTTAACCGTTTCTTAGCATGTGATGGTCCCACCAATTTCAAGCCCTGGCCAGACGTGTATTCTCGAACTGGAATCAGCGGCTACAAAGCAGCCAGCGTATCGTTAGTCACAATACAACAGTAAGGTTGTGAACATACCTGAGCAATGTTCAAGGTCTAGAGCATTGGAGGATGGGCAGGACAAGACAGGACAGAACAAAAATAAAGAAAGAAAAAAAGAAAAGACAAAACAGTGACTATGAGGCCAGCCTCAAGTTACCCCAAGTCAGACCAGGCCCTCCCACATGGTAAGGCAAAAAGAAAGGAAAAAAAGGGGTGGGGAGTAAAGTAAAATAAATAAATAAATAAATAAGTTTAACATTAAACCATTCATTACCATTGACGGTAATGAAAACATGCCAAGGCATTTCACAGACAAATTCAATAGACTAGTGATCTAAGCAGCACATCTACCACCACCACTGCCGCCACCCCTCCAAAAAAGAGGGGAACGTTTGTCTGCCATAGGTTCAGGGTATATTTGAGGCTGGCCTTATAGGGGAAAAAAGCAATGCCAATATATATATGTCTATATATATTTAAAGTCTCTACTTTTCAATTTTGAAACCTTTAAAGCAATATATAAATGATAGGAATAAAAATGCCCAATTAACCTAAAGCAATAATACTGAAGGTGGGGGGGGGAATCATGATCTGATCCTCAACTGTTTTGCTTAGTTAGCTATAGCAAAGAAAAAGAGAAAAGAAAAGTGCAGGTTCTATGCAAAACAAAAGGCATTACAGCACAATACAGTACCTGCTTGTTTAGACCTAGCATATTGCAGACCATATCTCTGGAATAGGGCTGCTCCAGCACATACCGCAACAAAGCAGTCTGGGGCTCAAACAGATCCTTGAAAACAAAAACAAAAAGGCATACAAATACCAACCCTTTTGACACAAAAACATTTAACAGCTGAAATTAAGATTCCCCATCCGATTAAAGCATTACCAGCGACAGACATTGAGCAGGCCCCCTTCTTCCCGCTAACATTTGTGTTGCGTGACTCTTACTTCAGGTATTGCTCCCTCTGATGGCAGGAGTTGGGGTAAGTGATTTAATGCTCGAAGACTTAACAAGAGTCTTATTTCAGGTTATCGCCATAACTATTCTCCACCAACCCCGCCCAAATGATTATCTATCAATACAAGAGTAGGGAATAAATGGCAGCGTTTTTAGATAGGTGGGAATGGAAGCTTTTCACAGAAGCAGAAACTCATCTGCTGTGATTCAGAATTCATCACCACTGGCTTCATTTCCCAACTTGCATGAACATTCTCGCTGTCTCTCTACTCCTGCAGGTTATTTTATTCTTGCAGTCTTATTAGCATGCACTAAGAATATTTGGCTACACCTTCGATCACCTCCAACTTCACCACAGAGACAGTACGAAAAGGACCCACTTGATTTTCTGGCCGACAGATATAAACAATGGGGCACAGTGAATATGGGGGGGGGGGGCTAAGGTGGTCCAACACAACTTACCTTTATGCAACCTTGCTGAATTTATGCAACAATAAAAGTGCAACACTTTTTAGCTATCACAGTGGCTTGCTTGCTACTTTTCAAAATACCTAAACACCCCAAAGCGTTTCTTGTACGGATCCGTGAGAAGTTTGGGCAAAACAGAGAACCAGAGCAGCTGCTATTTCTACCAAACTATAAGGAAATGTCACCCCCAGGAGCCATTTTCCCTGGATAGCATTAGTCACTCCCTCCAGGAGGGTTCTGTTCTTTGGCAGAGTCCTCCTGTGACATCAAGAACAGATGAGGTGGCAACACTTGCATGCTCACTAGGCAGAAATGCAATTTCCTATTATGGGTGAACCCTCATTGGATGTGCACTGCGCAAGGAGCTTCTGAAAGCAGCTGGCAGCAATAGAGTAAAGCAGGGGATCACATTTATCAAGCAAGAATACTGGATTTGCCTGTATATAGTTGACACGTTCAAATCAATAGCCTTGTGCAAGAAGCCCAAACAGGCTTTGATAGGGAGCCAACATTCCAGCTCCATACCAGCCCTACTACTGCCAGCGCAAGGATCACTTTCTCACAAGTTTCTGAGCATTTGCAGAGCCAGGGTTATGTTCAGGTACACACCCCTGCTTTCATAAGCTCACAAGAAGAAAAACAACAATGATAACGTACTCTCTCTTTTTAGGACCCTGAGAAAAAGCTGCATGTTTCTTTAGGAAGCAGAACATGCAATCAATGGTCTAACCCTCAAGAACATTTTAATGCATTCTCAAAATCGCATAAGCACCAGCACCTTAACCGGTCTATGTGAAAAAGTTCCACAAATTGTTCCCCCTCACATTTCTAAGTTAGAAATATGGCTTTCACATCTGTCACATGCACATATACCTTATCATATGGCAAAAGGCCTTTCAGGGGGAAACGAAGAGTTGTAGGATCCAGCTTCCATGAATTGCAAATAGCACCAGAGTTATTTACTACAGGAAGGAGGCTACATCGCCCTACATGTATTGGAAACCAAAGAGAGAAACCATGAGTCACAAAGTATACCTCTCCCTAAATTTGCAAGGCATAAAAACCCTAGGACATTGTTAGCCAATTCGTTTTGTATACAATAGAAATACTAGTAATAGGGCTTTGATTGTTCCATGCCTATAGGCATCTGCGTGACGTTACCACAGATGCTGCATTTTTCAAGCCCCAGATCAGTTTATTTACTTATTTTATAAAAAATATTTGTATACCGCTGTATCGTAAAGAACTACCAGCCGTTTACAACAATATAAAAACAGATGAGCAAATGATAAAATCAAAACAAGTTAAAAGGCAAAAAATATAATTAAAAACAAACAGCAGCAGACCATCGTGGGGGATGTATTTAATTGTCTGCGTAGGTCTGGCAGAATAGAAATGCTTTCAGCAGACATTTGAAAGTTGGCACAGGAGGAGCCAGCTGAATCTCTAGTGGCAGGGTGTTCTACAGGACTGGGCCAATGACAGTAAAGGCTCAATTTCTCATTGTTCTCAACCAGGAGCTCCCACCAGCAAGCAGGCTGCTGCATTCAGCACCGGTTGGCCCTCCCGAATGAGACCCGAGGACAGCCCCACAAAGAGCACATTACAGTAATCCAGCCTCAAGGTTACCAATGCATGGGCGACAGCAATCAGGCTATCCTTAGCCAGGAACCTGGGTGTAGCTGGTGAACCAGAGGAAGTTGGTAAAAGGCCCTCCTAGACACCACTGCACAAGTGGTGTCAACACTGGTTCTCACCACAATGATCAAGTTTTGGAGCACTGCTCTGCTGGGCAGACTATAATGCTTGATCCCAGAGACCACCAAGAGGCAGATTAAGGGCACGCAGGAATCAGTGGCACATCTAACTAATCATCAGACAGGCTATCTGTATTTAAACATTATGGGCTAGAAATTGCACATTAGATCCTTCACCTGCTGCCAACAAAGCTAACAGTACATTGCTATATTTAGAAACTCTTACCACAGATGGAATTTATTCTCGCTGTAGGTCTGAAGGAATCCACGAAGTCCGATACTAGGTTGCCTAACAACTTAAAAAATAAATAAATAAAACTGGAAGTCAAATACCCAGTTGAATTTGCACCCAACAAGCAAATTACTTTAACCAGTACTATGAGATTAATCCAAATGCTACAAATATTCACCAGTAAGTTATCATAATTTGAATTAAGAACTAGATCAGCAAAACTGGCTTCAGCCACTAACTGTTACGTTATCCAAAAAAGGGCAAAGCAGTCTTTAGCCTGCCTCCTTTCAAATGTCAACAACAACATTAACTAAATCTCTTCACGTTATGAACCTCCACTGTCCTTTCCTGTGTACAAAGGAAGATAAACAAACAAGAGCAATCAGCAAACATGCATAAGGGGAGAACTCTTGCGTGCAACATCAGATAATAGGATTATAAAAAGGAAATGACAGACACACACAAAATTTTTTATGGTAAATAAAGGACCTATTCTTCACAAAATGAAGATGCAGTGAAATAAGAAATGCAAAGCATTTCTGTAGTTTCCTTTACAGTACAATCGTTCTAGGATGCTCTACAGTAAGTCTCAAGGAGCGACTGGTCTGAGACTAAGCTTGCCTGGATAAAACATCTGAGGTGCGTATTTGTGATGGTGATGAAATCCTTTTGATCAAGGGCTATGCTGCATGCCAAGTAAGAACTTGGCACACTGAACCTAGATGTCGTTTCCCTTTTGTAATAAACTGGTCCCATACTACTCCTTATGGTCCCATTTCCCATAAGGAAATGAAGGCATTTTGTCCTTTTAAATATATATCTTAAGCCTTACCCAATGTGGAAGTTTTCCTTCGGGATACAACTTTCGGATCTCTGTAACCGCAAAGTAGGCAGGTAATAAACATGCATTCCTTTCCAAAATGTAGGCAACTACCTAGGTAACAACAAAGAGAGGAAAACTGAAGAAAGAAAATTGTTTACAAAATTTAGAGAAAAGCAAGTGAAACACAGTGAAATGTTGCCATATGGAGCAATCCTGTTCATGGTTCCAGCAAGCTAGTCATACCCAGACCACTGTCCCAAATTTCTGTCTTCCCCTAGCCACCGAACAAGCTCAGTCTTCATTGGGTTGTGCTCCCTATAAACCTTGCAGTTCCCCAAAGCATTTTGTACTTGTTTTATGAATGTAATTTTATTGTTGATTTTATGCTGTTCCCTGCCATTATATTTTTTCTTAATGCTGGCAGTACAGAAATTTTTGCAAATAAAAATAAAATAAAGCATGGCACTATCTGCCTTCTTGTTTCTCAGTGACCTCATTCTGGCTCTATAGCCACCAGCACTCAGCACCTGTGTTTGTTATTAGAGGGGGCGGAACAGAATGGAATGAAGGATAAAACGTCAGAATGAGGAGATTTGGTTGCAATGTTTCAGACAAACAAGTTTCAGTTTTAATTTTACGCTCAAACTACGATGGGGTGCTCTGACATCTCAGAAGGCTAAAAATGGAATCGTTGAAAGGATGCTAACCATCTAGATTTTTAAAGCAGTTAGCACTCTTAGTTGAGCACATTGAAAATACTATATCCAATATTTAAAAATTTCTTTCAGGAAGGCTGGACAACAAAAAAGAATGTTTTTCTTCCGGACATAACATGCTAAAGTACCACGGTGATTGGAACCAAACTTCATATTTTAATTCACTTTCTTCTTTTTTTTAGTAGTTGCAATGCTTGCTTTGCATAAAGATTTGGATATGTTGTCTGAATATCTCAAGGGACCTTTAAGAAAATCTCCTGTCAAGAAGGTGCTACAGATACACTACTATTGCACTCTGCATCTTACACACAGAGAATAACTTTCTCTAGTAGATGCATGTCAGAGGAGCCAGTGTGGTATAGCGGTTAAGAGCGGTAGTCTCGTAATCTGGTGAACCGGGTTCGCGTCTCTGCTCCTCCACATGCAGCTGCTGGGTGACCTTGGGCCAGTCACGCTTCTCTGAAGTCTCTCAGCCCCACTCACCTCACAGAGTGTTTGTTGTGGGGGAGAAAGGGAAAGGAGAATGTTAGCCGCTTTGAGACTCCTTAAAGGGAGTGAAAGGCGGGATATCAAATCCAAACTCTTCTTCGGATAAACTTTCTCAGAGGTCAGTTTTAAGGCAACCAAAGATTAATTGGCTTTTAAACCAAATTGAACATGTAAATTTCAAAAGCTTCCCCAAAGCCTTGTTTGACAGACGTCTGCAGTTTAAAATAACTTATTGTGTTATTGCACCACTTCACAACTTTACCTCTCTTGCTGCTAAAAGTTGCTGCACAACAGCAGAGCTCACTGTGTTGGGAATAGTTAGGATTTTTTCTAGGATACCCTTCAAAAGATCTCGCACACCCTATAAAAACACAGAAAAAAATTATCTAGATAAAATCTGGGAAAACATAGTGTACACGTTTGAATTTTATAGAAACTGAAGATACACACACAGATATAGGATTTTTCAGTCCTTAGAATTATACTGATTGTCATCCACTTTCTTAAAGCAATGAATACCATATACACAGATTCATCCAATGGGTTCAGCTTCTCTTGCCACCCAAATGAGGTTGACTGTTAGAACTACACATTGTTTCCCAGGAGCTAGTATGGAAAACCGTGTGAAGAAGTAAGCTACTGTGCATTGATTCCCCTGCTGGATGTTGGGTGTAAGTTTATCATTGTTGAATGCCTCAATTTAGCTATAAGGACCATACACACAGCTTCCAATGCTGCAGTGGAGACCAAAGTACAATGTTTGAAATCTGGTCCTACAGATCAGATATGCATGCAATGATTATGATCCACATCATCACAGCACAGTTACTATGCTGATATACTTTGCACCTGTTTCGAGGTGATGATGAAAAGGCGTGTCCCCTATCCACTGTTTGGAATTACTATGCATAATTATTCCTATGTGAATCCCACCAGTTTGGGAAACCCTATAATTCAAAGTAATTTTTGAGTGGTCAACTATCAACAGTGTTGGCAATCAGAAAATCTGGATTAAAAACATCAGCGCAAGTCCTGGAATCATTAAGTGTCCTCAAGAAGCAATTTTTCTTTCTCTGTTTCAACTCTACTCTCTAAACTCTACTCTCAACAGATATAATAAATGATAGCCTACATCTTACAATTACTGAATAAGAACAAGGTATAGCAAGGGTGATCCCAAGCCTCAGGATAAGGTAGGCATAAATTTAAATAAACAACCTAGAAAACTGTTTGTAGCCTATAATAGCAATATAAAAAGCACGATGAAGTATTGCAACAGAGATTTTTAAAGACCATTACCTTGTAGTCTACACCACCGATTATTTTTTGGACAAGCTTAAATGTTAGAGACCAAAGCTGTGTCCTTTCCCACTCTAGGTTATCAGAATTTAGCAGAGATTCACAAACCATCCTGGAGAAATTGAAAACAAAAGTGAGTGATGTATTTTCTAAGAGAAAGTTGTCAGGCTCCAAGTATTAGTGCATATGAGGACAAGACTTAAGCACCCAATTTTCCATCATGCTTTTCCACAGGCCCAGTTTGTCTGGAAGAAACTTACCTTGGTGGAAGCAGCCCAGTCTCCACAGCCATTGCTAAACAGTCATACAGAAAAGAAATTCTTTTAGGACTATGCTGGCTATGTATGAACCTTACAATCCACTGAACACATTGTTCATGAGATTCCTGTAAAAGAAAAGATAAACATGTCAGTAATTCAGATTTCATAAACTTGAAAAGAGATTGGGAACAAGTAAATATTTACAGTAATAAAACCTCCAAGCAAGTATCTTTAATAATTTCTGTTTGTGAAGAGGATGGAAAAAAGATTCTCAAAACAATTCTCTGGAAGACCATTCAGTAAAGTCCATTACTATTAATCTAGTCAAGCAACCCAGATTACTGGAAAGAATGGGAGTTGGGAGACTGCTGAGATTTGAATTTGGAGTTGTTTCATAAGAACAGCAAGGGCCTAGGAAATTGCAGAATGGTGCGGTGGGTTCTATCCTTCTTGCTATGCCAGCCACATGCTGGTGTAGTTCAGGGGTCCAATGGCAAGGCCCCTTGGGGGATCTGCAAGGCTTAGAATCAAATGAATTTGAAGCCTCCAATGGGCCTCCCTTACACTCCATTCTGGGACCTTTCCCCTGTCTACTGCTGGTAGGACTGCCAGCAGGAGCTTCCTGGCCACTTGTGCTGAGCTGGTTTAGGAACAAAATGTGAGTAAGCGGGTATCTGATAGAGGTGTGTAAAATTGTGCAAGATGCGGGAAAAGTGAATGGAAATAATTTTTTCTATCTCTCTTCTGACACTAGAACTCAGGGTCATCCAATGAAGCTGAATTCAGGACAGATAAAAGTACTCATTCACATGGTGCATAGTTGACGAAGTTCGCTATCCCGATATATAATAATGGCCACAAACTTGGATGATTTTTAAAGGGAATTTGACAAATTAATTGAGGATAAGGCTATCAGTGAGTACTAGCTTTGATGGCTGTGTACTATGTATTGGAGGCATTATGCCTTTGCACACCAGTTGCTGGGAATCACAAGTGGGAAGAGTACTGTTGCATTTATGTCCTGCTTATGTGCCACAGGCATCTCTTGGGCCACTTGAGAACAGGATGCTGGACTAGATAGACCTTTGGTCTGATCCAGAAGATCAGTGATCTTGTATTCTTATATTCCTGCTAAGCCCAACATATGAGCAGAAACTAGGAACAGCAGCTTATAAAGCAGAACTGGCTGGGTGGTGCACAGAGACCCTAAGACAACATTCTGGCATCTTAAAAATAAAACAGCACACCCTATTAATTAGCTGAACTTCAGGACCTGCCTGTGGCTTTTAACTACTGGAAGCTATCTGAGATCTCTAAACAGCAGAAATTCCACTCACAGAGTTACTGGCATTATTGTATAGAATTATGAAAACCTGATCTGTAAGTTGATGAACTGCTTTGGGAAGCTTTGGGTGTTGTTTCTAAAAAATGTCAGCAACAGATGAATTACTCACCTGAGAAAGATTGCTCCAGAACTGTCTAAAGGCTCCCAAGCAACTGATCAATTTGGTTCTCTCATCTTCAGGAGTGTCCATAAACATGCTGTAGAAAATAAAACCACAATTATTATTATTTTTTTTTGGGGGGGGGACACATTCCATCATCAGAAAATACAACAAGATGTTTGCTATCATGCAAGCAAATAGTTTCAGTGCACTTACCCAGGAAAGGCTTCCTCTATGACCTCTGTTTTCTACAAAGGGGAAAAAACAAAAACAAAGCAAGTTATTGATGACAAACGAAACTCGGCTTCTCCCCTACATTTCCTCTACCCTATGTTAAATCAACCCCTTCATGGATCACTGCCTTGCCGTGGCGAAGGGGCTTGAATAACTCAGAGAAGCTGGGCTGGATGAATCCCAAGCCGGAATTAAGATCGCCGGAAGAAATATCAACAACCTCAGATATGCAGATGACACAACCTTGATGGCAGAAAGTGAGGAGGAATTAAAGAACCTTTTAATGAGGGTGAAAGAGGAGAGCGCAAAATATGGTCTGAAGCTCAACATCAAAAAACGAAGATCATGGCCACTGGTCCCATCACCTCCTGGCAAATAGAAGGGGAAGAAATGGAGGCAGTGAGAGATTTTACTTTCTTGGGCTCCATGATCACTGCAGATGGTGACAGCAGTCACAAAATTAAAAAACACCTGCTCCTTGGGAGAAAGGCGATGGCAAACCTTGACAGCATCTTAAAAAGAAGAGACATCACCTTGCCGACAAAGGTCCATATAGTTAAAGCTATGGTTTTCCCAGTAGTGATGTATGGAAGTGAGAGCTGGACCATAAAGAAGGCTGATCGCCGAAGAATTGATGCTTTTGGATTATGGTGCTGGAGGAGACTCTTGAGAGTCCCATGGACTGCAAGAAGATCAAACGTATCCATTCTTAAGGAAATCAGCCCTGAGTGCTCACTGGAAGGATAGATCGTGAAGCTGAGGCTCCAATACTTTGGCCACCTCATAAGAGAAGACTCCCTGGAAAAGACCCTGATGTTGGGAAAGATTGAGGGCACAAGGCGAAGGGGACGACAGAGGACGAGATGGTTGGACAGCAAGGTCTTTACCTGTCTCACATCTGATGTCATATGGGACGTCAGGTTGAGAGCTGGTGGCTGTGGCTTGGCCAAAATGGCTTCATGGGCAAAATGGGAAGGCCTGGTGGGCCTCTACCATTGTTACAGGATGAAGAACCAGTTAACTAGAGCAAAACTCCATCAGTTAGGGTTACTCCTTTCTCAAATTTTTCAAATGCTCCTAGGAAATCAGTTGAGAAACCATCAGAGTCTATTGCAAGAATCTCAACTAAAACATCCACAACATTCAACCTCTGCTTAAAAACCTCCATGGAAGGAATGCCCACCACCTTCCAAGGGAGTCCATTTCACTGTAATAAAAATTGTCCTGATATCTCCCTTTGGGTGCTCCTAACCGAAATCAGCACTGCTTTGTGAACCCTTCCCTTCAATAGATACCATCCAAAAAGCATCATACTCCAGCCCCAGCCTTCTACCCCAGAGACATTCTTGGCCTTACTACCACTCCACTTTGTCCACATAGTGTCATTATGTAGCCTTGTATTTAACAACCTGCAGGGCAAGCAGGAATTCCATGCCGGTGAGGGGGATGATGGAGGAGAGATGTATCACTCAATTCCTCTTTCCACCCCCACCCCACTTGGTTTCCCTATTAGCATGGAGGAAGAGAGGGGAATAATTTCATCCACAACCAGCATGGAAATGCAGTGGGCTAAGTATTATGATTATGATGATTATTACCTTAAGAAGCTAGTAGCCTGTGCTTCCATGGTGGTTATAGAGTGGGCATCTCTCCACAACAGCCTGCATGGAAATGCTAGTAGCCTTATCGTTTTCTTTTTTAAAAGGGTAGTAGTCCTTATCCAAAAGCCGTTTTCAGGCATTCATCCAGGACACATGCATACGTGCAAGTTCCCGATGCTTGTAAGTACGATCAACCAGATATGTTTGCAAGTCCTCTTCAGACTTCCATGTTGAAAACACACACGTCAGGGTAGGTGGAGCAGATCACCTCAGTAACATAGTAATATGGGCTAACAGGTGCAGCCCATCCCTTTAAATCTTTGCATGCGTCCAGAGCGAATATTTTTGGGGTTGCCTCCAAGCGAAGCTCTCTGAGCTGTTCTTGTTGGGAGAGAGCGCCACTGGAGCTGCGGCCCCCCTTCCTCTCTCCTGGCAACCTGTGGCCCTCCGTGGATGTGACTGGGCTCCGGCTCCCCGTCAGCCAACACGGCCGCTGGTCGGGGGCGCTGGAGCCCGGCAGCATCCACGGAGGGGCCCTTCCCTGCCCCAGGCACCGCTGCTGCGCTCCCCTTTCCCTCTGCTCCCTTCCCTTTCACGACACGGGTCTTGCCCGCCCCAGCCCGCCAGCGCCTTCCTTCCGACGACACGCAGCCACCCACTGTCCACGCGAGCAGCTTGGAGCCGCGGGAACTCACCACCACCTCCTCAAAGATGCTCTGCAGCTGCGTCTCCATCGGGACCGCCATGACGCCGGCGGAGGAGGAGGAGGCCTCCTCTTTCGCTAGGAGCCGGCCGGAAACAAGGAAACGGGAGAGCTGCGCACCGGAAGCCGCTTCCTTTCTTATCCGGGTCGCCGGCGCAGCTACGGCGTTTCGGTTCCGGAACCGCGGGCTCCAGCCTGGCGAGGGAGGCGGGAGGCGGCGGGGCTCTTTCGGCTGGGCCAGGGATGCGAAGCCGGTCCCGGGCGGGTGGGTCCGCCGAGTTCCATGGAACTCGCTCTCAGGTAGACGGGCCGCCGCCTCGTTCCGCAACCTATTCCTAGGCAGGTTCCCTTGGCTCCACGGGCATTTCCCGCAGAATTATTATTTATTATTCTTAGACTTATTAGTGGTTATTCGGGAGTAAATGCTAGCCAGCAGCGACCGTGTGACGCAAATCGAGGCTGTCTCACGCCACTGAGAAAAAGCTCTGCAGATGTGCCATGCGTGGGACATTTCTACGGAGAGAGGAGTTAGGAGAATGTAAGAAGATGCCCGGCCTGTAGAGTTGGGATGCCGGCTTGACCTTAGTATACAAGAAACACGCGGAGAACAACTGGGCCTCGGCCCAGTACAGTGGTACCTCGGGTTACAGACGCTTCGGGTTACAGACTCCGCTAACCCAGAAATAGTACCTCAGGTTAAGAACTTTGCTTCAGGATGAGAACAGAAATCATGCGGCGGAACAGACCTCCGGAACGAATTACCATATTTTTCGCTCTATAAGACGCACCAGACCACAAGACACACCTAGTTTTTGGAGGAGGAAAACAAGAAAAAAAATATTCTGAATCTCAGAAGCCAGAACAGCAAGAGGGATCGCTGCGCAGTGAAAGCAGCAATCCCTCTTGCTGTTCTGGCTTCTGGGATAGCTGCGCAGCCTGCATTCCCTCCATAAGACGCACACACATTTCCCCTTACTTTTTAGGAGGGAAAAAGTGAGTCTTATAGAGCAGAAAATACAGTAAGTTCTTAACCTGACATACCACTGTATACGTGAAGGAGCATCTCCATCCCCATTGTTCTGCCCGGACACTGAGGTCCAGCTCCAAGGGCCTTCTGGTGGTTCCCTTCCTGCAAGAAGTGAGATTACAGGGAACCAGACAGAGGGCCTTCTCCGTAGTGGTGCCCGACCTCCCATCAGATGTCAAGGAAATAAACAACTATCTGACTTTTAGAAGACATCTGAAGGCAGCCCTAATTTGGGAAGTTTTTAATGTTTGATGTTTTATTATGTTTTTAGTGTTCTGTTGGGAGCCGCCCAGAGTGGCTGAGGAAACCCAGCCAGATGGGCGGGGTATAAATAATAAAGTGTTGTTATTGAAGCAATTGATCGGCATACCGGAGAAAGGACAAAACGTATAATATAGAGGAATGCACTTGACCAGCGATTTGCTTTCCTGCAGATCCAGACGTTGCATACTTAAAAAGATGGGGTTTTCTGTTGACAAGCAAATTCAGCACCCATATGCTAAGTACACAAAGTTGAATGCTGCAGCTATGGTCTCCAAAATACATCTCCTTGGTGCCACGTTGTCTTCTTATAAATAAGGAAATCAATCCCGATGAGCAGATTGCTAACTGGACAGCTTTAGAATTGCTCTGGTGGATGTACAAGTGGAAGTTGCAAGAGAGTTTGGCTAATTTTGTCGTGATGTTAAGAATCTTTTTAACTGTCGCTGTTTCAACTGCCAGTTTTGAAAGAAGTTTATCGAAACATCAAATTAATCAAAATGAATCAGAAATCTACAATGAGCCAAGAAAGACTGAGTAACCTAGCATTACTGTCTAGAGAGATTTCATTGTAGATTTTAATACAGTACTGTTATTGAAAAATTTACACAAATAAAAACCAGGAAATTTTATCTTATTTTTTTTTTTTTTAAATTATTCAAAATTAAAACAAAACATATTATCCAAAAACATATCATCCTTGGCCCCCCCATTTTTCCTCCCTCCCCCCACCCTCCCCCACAAAACCTACCCACCCCCACCCCCCAACTTCCCTCAGTTCCAGTCTTTGGTTTCTCTGAGACTTCTGTTTTCTGCATGTTACAAAGTTGTATAGATCCTCAAACTAGCTGATTATTATCAATAAAATGTATGTGAATGTTTATTCAAAACCTGCCAAGGAGTCCAGTTCACTTTGTTGCGCCTTCAAATACTTTGTAAAGGGTTCCCATTCATCTTTAAAGTCACAGTTATCCTTGTCCCGTAGCTTATACGTCAGTTTTGCCAGTTCTGCATAGTCCGACAATTTATCTTGCCATGATTCTTTAGTTGGGGTTTCTTCAGTCTTCCATCCTTGTGCTGTTAGAACTCTCGTGGCTGTAAAAACCAGGGAAATTTAAATAAATTGGAGTTTACTATCATTAAATGCATTATACTTTCATTACATCAGTATTTTCTTAAAATAAAATGCATGTGCTTGCTGGAAAGGGGTTCAATACTGGACTGGTGGAAGGGACTTGGAATGCTAACAGTTCACAGGTTAGGAGGTGCAATACTTGATTGTCATATTTACAACTTCACAACTATATGAAAATGATGTACAGATGGTATATCACACCAGTACAAATAGCAAAAATGTACAAAACCGGGTCAAATATATGCTGGAAATGTAAACAAAAAGAAGGTACTTTTTATCATATGTGGTGGGAATGTAGAGAAGTTTTTTTAAAAAAAATGGGAAATGATATATCATTAATTGAAAAAAATGTTTAAAATGACATTTGTAAAAAAACCAGAAGAATTTTTGTTAGGGATTGTAGGACAAGACCTGCCAAGAAAAATAAAGAACTTATTTATGTATGCTACAACAGCGGCAAAAGTCTTGTTAGCACAAGGATGGAAGAATGAGGAAATCCCAACGAAAGAACAGTGGCAAAAAAACCTGATGAGCTATGTGGAACTGGCTAAATTGACATGTAATAATAATAATAATAATACAATTTTATTTATATCCCGCCCTCCCCAGCCAAAGCCGGTCTCAGAGCGGCCAACAACAGTAAAATGATACAACATTCTAAAATCATTTCATTATAAAATCAATTCAAATCAGATTAATGGCAACCATTGGGCTAGAGTTCTGTGAGGATTGCCAAAGGAGGGGGTCAGGCTGTGCCCTGGCCAAAGGCCTGGTGGAACAGCTCTGTCTTGCAGGCCCTGTGGAAAGATGTCAAGTCCCGCAGGGCCCTAGTCTCTTGTGACAGAGCGTTCCACCAGATTGGAGCCACAGCTGAAAAAGCCCTGGCTCTGGTTGAGGCCAGCCTAACCTCTCTGTGGCCCAGGACCTCCAAGATATTTTTGTTTGAAGACCGTAAGGTCCTCTGTGGGACATACCAGGAGAGGTGGTCCCGTAGGTATGAGGGTCCTAGGCTGTATAGGGCTTTAAAGGTTAAAACCAGCACCTTAAACCTGACCCTGTACTCCACTGGGAGCCAGTGCAGCTGGTATAGCACTGGGTGAATGTGATCCCGCAGCGAGGACCCCGTAAGGAGTCTTGCCACGGCTCGGCAGCACGCTGTGGAGAAAGCGTGAGGGGGCTTGCGCAGCGTCCGATGGTTTCTGGGTCAGTCTCAAGGGCAGCCCCACATAGAGCGAGTTACAATAATCCAGTATGGAGGTGACCATCGCGTGGATCACGGTGGCTAGGTCAGGGCGAGAGAGGTAAGGAGCCAACTGCTTAGCTTGGCGGGGATGAAAAAATGCCGCCTTCGTTATAGCTGCAATCTGTGCCTCCATGGAAAGGGAGGTGTCGAAGATTACACCCAAACTCTTAACGGCCGGTGCTGGCACTAATTGCGCCCGCGCAAAAGATGGGAGTTGCCCCCCCCCAATTCCATATCGTCCTGACCCAGCCAAAGGACCTCTGTCTTCGAAGGATTTAACTTCAACCGGTCCCACGTAACCATCCAGCCACAGCTTCCAAACATCTGATCAGTGTGTCTGGGGCTGAGTCAGGATGGCCATCCATCAACAGATAGAGTTGGGTGTCATAAGCATATTGATGGCAGCCCAACCCAAAACTCCAGACAAGCTGGGCGAGGGGGCGCATATAAACTGTGTGACAAGGACAGTTGTGACTTCAAGGAAGAATGGGAACTTTTTACAAATTGTCTAAAAAGACAACAAAATGACTTGGACTCCTTGGCAAGTTTTGAATAAACATCCACAAATTTATTAGTTGAACACATGACAGATAAGGCAAGGATATGTACAATTTTATAACATGCAGAGAACAATATGTGCAAAGAAATCAGAGGGGAGCTGAGAGAAGTCCTTGGTGGGGGAGAGAGGGAGGGATGGGGGAGAAAGGGGGAAAAATAATGCAATTGATTGTTTGGATTGATAATTTGGTATGCTGAAAGTGTTTAATAAAAATTATTTTTTTTAAAAAATTACAATTTCACTGTATATTTCCTGTATATATTTGTATATTTCTTGCTTATTAAAGTAGAATTTCATGGGCAGTTTTTCCATTTCAAATGTTTTTGTTTAAAATTGTAATATACATCAAAACAGGAGTGGGTATCACTATGGCTTGGAATATACTCCCAACCATAAGAAATCCAGGATGCCCTACTAATAATACAGTACTTTACATCACTGTGCTGTATCAGTTCCAATGGAGCTTAGCAGCAGTGTGCTATATCCAAGGATGATGTCCCACCTGCACAATATATTTCAGTTTGCTCAATGAAACTTTCCCTTTTATCCCCTTAGCAGCCCTGCATGCACCCTCAAAATCTGCTATAGAGGGTTGGAGTTATCCAGCACTGATAACTCTGCTTATGTAGTGTGGGATACAGTCCATTGTATTTTAACCTGTTGTGCATTTGATGAGTCCCCTGTTTTTTGTTTCTGCAGTTCCGGGCACACTGCAAAAACAGGAGTCCCTTGTGGTTGCTATGCTTGGTTAGTTGGTAGACTGCAGCTGGCCCTGTGAGCAACTAGTTGGCTCAAAGTAGATGTGGGCATCCTATTACAGCCACCTTCTCTTCTGGGCAACCTTCTGCTGACTCCAGGGCCAGAGGCAAAAGTTGGCACATCTACAAATGTGAATGTGAGCTTTGAATGGTGGCTAATTCCTACACTTGCACTTTCCATCCCTCATCCATAAGTAAGAAGCATGATCAGAACTGAAGGACACAATTTATCCAGGCAAAAAGCCCCAAGGAGGACTTGTTGATCTTTAAGTTGCTCTCTTAGCTTTTCTGGCTGAAGGGTGTGGTAGAAATGAATTAATGAACAAACAAACAAACAAACAAACAAACAAACAAACAGGTAAGTCCTGAAGGAAGGGAAACCCTCATGAAGGGCGCAAAGCAGGTCTGGTAGGGGGCAAGGCTTCTGAGAGGGTGCAGCCTGGGGAGAATCTAGAGGGCTAGATTTTCCCACTGGGCCTGAGGGTCCTCATCCCTGGCCTAGAGCAGGCTTCATCAGATGAGTGATGTGATTGACACGAGTTAATAAGCCCTTGCTTGATGGAAACCAAAAGCTTGTGCAGCCTAGTACAAATAACAGTGGAATAAGTCACAGCAGAAGTGTTTGTGAAATTAAATGTCCTTCCATGCTAATATTTCCATTGACATGTTTATCCAGTGATAATACTAATGGCTTTGAGTATACCACTAATGTTAACAGTTATTTGCACAAATGAGTTGACAAAGAGTGCATATGAAAAAGTTCCAACACTTACTGCATAAAACAAGCATGTGCCTGAAATGGGGGATATAAATCCATTCAACAGCACAAACTTGCTTTGTGCTGATGTTTTACCAGTGCCAAACAGATAGACTGACAGCTCTAATCTATGCATGTTTATTAAGAAGTCCAACTATGCTAGCTGAGGCGTAGTACTAGGTAAGAATTTACAGCCTTAAACTAACATCCTTTGGGGTTTCAAACTCTCATGTAAATTTATATCATAGAAAAAGCAGAGTTAACACTTTTCATTAGTATTTTCTGCTTTTCAGGAAAGATAGAACAAATAGATGGGCCCCACCTGTCCCTGTTAATACTTATGCCTGAAAATAAATGGTTAATTTTCTTGTTTATATAATTAATGCTTGAACAGAAAATGTTACGTTACATTGCCTTTTGACCTTTAAAATATTGGCATATGTAGTTGTAATGTTTTATGGCTTATCTTGATCTAATTGTTTCCTGCATTAGAGAGTTAATTGCTCATCTGGTGTTTGTAGATAACGTGGTTTTACTTTTGTTCCTTCATTAAAAAAAAATGTTTTTGCCTATTTCTTAATGAGGAAGAGCCCCTGCTGGATCAGATCAAATCTAATCTGGCATCCTGTTTCCCACAGTGGCCAAGCAGAAGCCTATGGATAGCTTGTAAGCTGGACTTGATGGCAATAATTCTTTCCTATTGTTTCCCAGCAGGTTGTTCAACCGAAAGTGTCACGTTCAACAGTGATTATTTATGTAGTGGGAATTTCTATTCTTTGTTACTGACTGAAAACTTACGGAGAACAGACATTAACACTGCATAAACAAGACCTACTTGTGCTTCATTAATCTAGACTGGACTGGATGATATTAAGACCTAAATTTATATGGAGTATATATTTATATGGGTACAAGCTAATCTTTACCCTTGCATGCCGTGGTCTTTTGGTCCTGTTGTTTCCAGCTGTTGTTTTTTTCTCTGCATACTTACAGACGAAGTGGACTCTGGTCTGTGAAGATTAAATGTCTTGTGTTTTATTACTCCAATACATAACAATAATCTCAATTTATCAATAAAGCAATTGCTGAGTGGTCTTCCTTCCCTTACTTTATGTTTCTCAATTTTACCATTTGCACCTCTTCCACACCCTTGAAATCTGGTCCTCCAATGTGGGGGGATTAATTTCCTCCTAGTTGTGGTTAATTTCTATTTGGGCAGCTGCAATTAGATATATCACCATCTTTCTATCTTCTGAGACACAAGTCTTAAACGTAGTCAGAGATGATCACAAAAGGGTCTTCTGACATATGAACTCCTATTATGGCCATTCAAAAAGATCTTATTCTTGGACAAGACCAGAATATGTGCAACATAGCCACACTGCTCATGTTTCATCTACAGCATACCTTGCTTGAACGTGGATAGATATGGATGATCTTGTTGAAGTTGGATTCAAGCGGAAAACAAATGTGTACCCATTTTCCTTCAAAACTAGTGCTTATGGTTTGCCTTGGAACATATAACTATAGCCATCACCAAGTGTCCATTGGCATTCCAAGTCCTAAATCCCCTTCTGTTTAACAGCATAAGTATTGAACGATGTATCCATCACCTTCAAAGGTTAGATGGCTGGTGTGGTGTGGTGCTGAAAGTGTGAGATTAAGCTCAAATCTCAGAGTTGGGATGGACCATAGCTCAGCGGTAGAACATCTCCTTTTCAGGCAGAAGGTCCTAGGTTGAAGCCTACCCTAGCATTTCCAGCTAGGGCTTGTAATGTCCCCTGTCTGAAACCCTGCAGAGCTGTTGACAGTCAGTGTAGACAATACACCAATGGTCTGACAGTATAAAGCCGCTTCCTCAGCCTTGATGCCCTTGATCTTGTCATCAGCTCTTGTCCTAGGCTTCTGGGAAGACCAGGATATTATTTATTAAATTGATATACCACCCATCCCCTCAAGATCACAGGGCAAGTATAAATGTAATAATAGTAAATAATGCACCCAGATGGTGGACTTTTCTGGGAACTGATTTAAAATCCTGCTTTTTTAAAAGATGCTGTTGTTATTAGTATATGTTCCTGTTATTCTGTTTGTTTTAAATGAATGCTTAGATGCCTTGTGGCAGAAAGGCAGTGTATTGTTTCTTCATTGGTTTATTATATTTCTTACCCACCCTTCACCAAAAGGTCCCAGGGCAGGTTACAGCAATATAGGTATATTTTACTTAAATAATGAAAATCCTAAAGCATCCACTCATTGCCTCTTTCACCTTGCCCAAAGAGAAGTAGTTTCACTTTCCAGGATTACTGTGAAAACAATGATCAATTCTGATTCAAGTATTACAGTTTGAGTATTACCAAATCCCCATTGCATTATTCAGTTAAGTTCCGCTTGCTTTTTTGCCTCTAAGAACACCGCTATGTTGTTTTTTTCCTTTGAATGTCACATATCAAAACACCAGAATGTTACTGGAAGTATGTGCTTCCTTTGAATTCACTGGCTCCAGAGTTCTGATTGTTTCCTCATGCCACAGCATCAAGGACTCTGAACTCATTCACACGCTTGGGGTGCAGCAGAGCTATAAGGGCAGAGGCCAAAAGGGAGAAAACAAAGTTGCACAGATAACTGTCTGGAAAGCTGAAAAATGAGCTCTGCTCATGAAACAAAAATAAGGGGGGACAGCAGGATGGAGCTGATGAGCTCAGAAACAGAGGACGTTGTTAAGAGAAGCACTCTTAAGAAATACCAGATACTTTGTGTGGTAAGTATTGCCCTTTGCTTCCTTTTCAAACTTTTAATGTTAAGGTTTGTTGCATTATTGGCTCAAGTTTCATTATGTTTTAACAGTATAAACTTTCCACGGACCATTGGAAATTTCCTGGCAGGGCATGGCAGCATAGATAAAACTGTCGTTTTAACAGACCAACAACTCTTGTTGATGTTCTCAGCTCACAGTCTGCTAAAAGGCGGATACGAATGCCTGACTTTTTCATAGTTGATGAAAGAAAGCCTGGCCCCTCAGCTGCAATATTGGGTAAAAAATAGTAGGCATTTGTGGCTGCTTTCTGTTATTTATTTTGTTCACAGCCCACTCTAGCCTAGTGGCTCATGATAGCTATATCCTAGTCTGAGTTAACCAGAGCATGTAAGAACTAAATAATAGAAAAAAATGTGTTCTGAAATACAGGGAGGATTGAACAGATGACAACCACACTGCCCTTAAATGTCACTTGTGTCACCCCCTCCCAATCCTAAGGGTGATATTGCCAGCTTTGACAATGCTTGTGATTACCCAATAGTGATAGAAAGGCAGGAAAATGTGATTCCTCACTATGCATTGCACAAGTGGTTAGCACTTTAGAAGCTAATGTGCTATAAGTGCAATAACTACAAATGTGCCGAAACCATTATTGTTTATTCATCTAGGTCCTCACTGACCCTTAAAATCATTCATGTTCACCAAGGCATTTGAGGGCTGAAAGATATGGTCCCTGGCAATACTGAAATTAGAGCTCTGAGAGTATGTGAAAACCAATTTTTTAGATGTTCTTAATATTTTTTAAAATGTTTAAAATAGGTTTTTAATTTTTAGTTGCATTGCTTGTTGTTTGCCCCCTTGGCTCCTTGGAAGAAAGGATGGAATTGAAATGTAATAGGAGTAATAATACTCCGGGTGGTAATGGCAGTCCAAGGTTCCAGACAGAGGACTGCAGATCACCTGCTAGCTAATCTTTTTATACAGAGATACCATGGATTATGGGACGCGGGTGGCACTGTGGGTTAAACCACAGAGCCTAGGACTTGCCGATCAGAAGGTTGGCGGTTTGAATCCCTGCGACGGGGGTTGCTCGGTCCCTGCTCCTGCCAACCTAGCAGTTCGAAATCACGTCAAAGTGCAAGTAGATAAATAGGTACCGCTCTTGTGGGAAGGTAAACGGCGTTTCCGTGCGCTGCTCTGGTTCGCCAGAAGCGGCTTAGTCATGCTGGCCACATGACCTGGAAGCTGTACGCCAGCTCCCTCGGCCAATAAAGCGAGATGAGCGCCGCAACCCCAGAGTCGGTCATGACTGGATCTAAATGGTCAGGGGTCCCTTTACCTTTACCTTTACCATGGATTATACCTGAGACCTTCTGAGTTCAAGAAACATATGCTTCCATGTTCCTGCATTGCAGGGGGTTGAACTAGATGACCCTTGGAGTCACTTCCAACTGTGATTCTATGTTTCTGTAACTCCCTTCCTCAATGCCAACGCCCATGGAAATACAATGTGCATCTCCCAGGTTCAAAATCAGGGAGCAAATAGAAGTTGGGAAAATGTTAATCAACAAGTGTTATTTAGGCTTCTGTCACGGTGTTCCACTGTGCCAGATGCGGTTTAGTCATGCTGGCCACATGACCCGGAAAACTGTGGACAAATGCCAGCTCCCTCAGCCTGAAGCGGTATGAGCGCCAAACCTCATAGTCAAGCTTGACTGGACTTTACCGTCCAGGGATCCTTTACCTTTATCTAGGCCAGGCTTCCTCAGCCTCGGCCCTCCAGATGTTTTGAGACCCCAGTCCCCATCATCCCTGACCACTGGTCCTGCTAGCTAGGGATCATGGGAATTGTAGGCCAAAAACATCTGGAGGGCTGAGGTTGAGGAAGCCTGATCTAGGCAATTTAATTGTGACAGCTTGCCATGGACTTGCTGGTAGCAGAGGCATGGTAGGAGGAACCAGCTGGGGAACAACCAAGGGAAGAAGGCTTGGAGCTTGGGGAGTGGTAGTGGTAGTGGGGCAATGATGAGTGGTCAGAGAGAGAAGATGCAGAAGAGGAGGTGTTGGAAGCTGAAGCGGTAACAGGGCTTAGTGAGCTGGGAGAGTCTGGCAGAGAAAAGTCCAGAATCAGAGGCAGCAGCTGAAGCAGGAGAGTGGAATGAGGGTGGACGACAGGCAGAGAGTCAGGTGGGTGTCACGGGTGTCTCCCCCTCCTGCTGCAACAGGCTCCCCTCCCCACTTATCTCCCAGAACCAGAAGAGGCATGAAAATGGAGGAGGAGAGTTTGGCTGCCTACAGGTGCAGTCTCCAGTTGCTTGGGAAAAGGCCTGGAGAGGAGGGGACTTAAACAGCTGTGGGGAGGTGGGGATTTTCAGTCTTGGCTTTTGATTTTCATGCAGGAAGACCAGCAAGAATGAGCTTCTCTGCTCATTAGGCTCGACACACAACTAAGTCTGAGGAGATTGTGTTTTTGCTAATACAGTGGTACCTCGGGTTAAGTATTTAAATCTTTCCGGAGGTCCGTTCCTAACCTGAAACTGTTCTTAACCTGAAGCACCACTTTAGCTAATGGGGCCTCCTCCTGCTGCCGTGCCGCCGGAGCACAATTTCTGTTCTCATCCTGAAGCAGAGTTCTTAACCTGAGGTACTATTTCTGGGTTAGCAAATCTGTAACCTGAAGCATATGTAACCTGAGGTACCACTGTAAAGAGTTCACTCCATCTTTAAACTGTGTGATTACTGACCCGCACACTTCTGTGGTACAGCATAAGCTTGAGACATATTTTTTTTGCTGAATAAATGAGGAAAAGACAAACATGACCACTTACGTAGTCTCTTAATCTCTTTAAGCGTTCACTGGTAGATTATAATCCCGGCCAAACTCCATCAAGGTACTGGGCAGAATAGTAGAGTGCAAAGTTACAGAAATGAGGAACTGTTCAACAAGGACTTAAAGGATTGGAATGAGAGCTTAGCATTTGATGAGTTAAGCAGACATGAGTTTGGCAGCAGTGCAAGGAGCACAGTGCCCTGCCTTTCCTTGACTTAAAGAAAACCCAAATTTTCAATAAAGTGACTTGAACTACAAAAACAAGCATGCAGGTTGAAGTGGTTTTGGACAGAAGTTGTGGGTGTGTTTGCATGTGCAAAAAAATAATAATTTTATTTCATATAAACACTCGTGTGATCTGAACCAGCAGTGACTGAATAGGAATGAGACCTCATAGTAGATAGTACAGTGGACCCTCCAGATACAAACTTAATTTGTCCCAGGAGTCCATATTTACCCCAAAAAGTCCGTATCTGGAGGCGCTGCTTCTGCGCACACATGCAACACGATAGAGTGCTTCTGTGTTTGCTGCGTTCGTAACTCGAAATTACGTTACCCGAAGGTAATGTAACCCGAGGTATCACTGTAGATAGCTTGATATTGACTCAGTGTGCGGCAGCTGTGAAAAGAGCCAATTCCATGCCTGGGATCATCAGGAGAAGAATTGAAAATAAAATCATGATGCCATAATAGAAATCTATGGTGTGACTGCATATTGTAGAGTTGGAAAAGAGTCAGAAAAGAGGAACCAAAATGGTTAAGGGGACTGAGCAACTCTCCTATGAGTAAAGGTTGCAGTATGTGGGAATTTCCAGCTTAGAAAAAAGGTGAGGGAAAAGCAACATGATAGATGTTTCTACAATGTTTATACAATGCATAGCATGGAGAAAGTGAATAGAGAAAAGTTTTTTTTCCATCATAACACTCAAACTCGTGGACATCTAGTGAAACTGAATCTTGGAAAATTCAGGACAGGTAAAAGAAAGTACATTTAGGAACGTCACTTTAGGAAATACTTGTGTAGATGCAAAGGCTTATATTTACAAGCCAGTCATTATGTAACTTTAATCCTTTAATCCTTCACTCGAATCGCTGGTTTTCATAAAGACTGTGGCAGAAGAGGTAGGAGGACTGAAAAAGTTCAATAACAGTTTGGTGTTTTTTAAAAAAAGTAAAATGCACAAAACTGAGTTCTCCCAGTTATATTCAAAGCAAGCCCTCTTGTAAACAACTGCTATAAACAACAGTTGAGGAGAATGTCAGAAAAGATAAAAGGGGCTCATTTACCCCCACCCCACCCCCAATTCTAGTATATTGAGGGTAGATAGTATAGTATACAATGATCATCATAGATGATTTAGGCACGCTTCCTGGGGTTGATGGCAACTGGAGTCCTGCAACTTCTGGAGGGCGAGAAATTCCCCACATCTGCCTTGGAGAGATAGTTAGTGCCTCCTCATCTCATTCTGGGGCCAAGTGAAAACCTATTTGCTCAGCCGTTTGCAGGATATTAATTTTAATTAGTTATTGCTGGAGATGGAAATCTGCTCGGTGCTTTAAGCAGTGTTTTTGTGAGAGTGTACTCGCCGATACAGATCTGTATTTTAAAGATTTAGGTTTCAATTATATTTGTTTTACTTCATTTTGGATTTCTTATGGTGTTTGCTCAGTCTGTATCAGCTTCAGCTGCATTGTTCCCTGCCCTGAGATTGGTCGTGATAAACACACACACACACACACACACACACACACACACACCCCATATGCTGAACCAACTGGAACAAGCCATTTAGTTCAGCATCTGTTCTCAGGGTGGCGAACCAGATGCCAAAAGCAGGAACCAATTATACAAAAAGGGGTTCAGTGCAGTACTCACTATAGAACACAATTCAAAACTGCATTTGAATGCAGTTTTGAATGGTGTTCTAAAAGCAGGAGCCAAGCACAAGAGTACTCTAATTCTCTTTTAAAGCCACATAGGTTGGTGGCAATCAGTGCCTCTTGTGGGAGTGAAGGCCATAGTTTAACTATGCACCAGGTGAAAAAGTACTTTCAGCTGTGTTGAAACTGTTACGTTCTGCTTCACTGAATGAAGTGCCAATTATAAATATTGTAAGTTGAATAAATAAAACACAGCTAAGCATGGAAGCTGGGGTGGTGGGATGAAAGCTGGGAGATAGGCGTTGGATCCTTTGAACCTGTCTCCATTCCTTCTCCCACATGCTGCGTAAGTTTGCGTAAGTCTGTCTTCATATTTTGGCTCCACTTGGGGAAGTACAGCACATATCCCTAGCACAGGAGGAAAGAAGGAAGAGCTCTGCACACAATATCCAGAGTAGTGCTGTTGGAGATATGCAGCGTAAGGTAAGGCCGACATGGGAGGATAGGGAATGGGATCCATAGCTCTGGCTCCCCTGCAAAGACACAATTCTGCTGGTCTTCTACAAATAAGTTGGAAATCACTGCTAAATAGAAACTTTTGCTTTTGCTTTGCTTATTGGGTATGGCAATCAATCTATGGGATGAGAAAAGCTATGATATGTGTCTTTCATCCTTGGTGATTTTTGCTGGTGTTGTATAAAGGCTTATATAGCTTTATTCATGTTGCCCCATCCCACCACCATATTCTAATTTTTCTACAGCCACAGCAGGCACTGTAATTCTCCAATGGTTTGACTTTGCCCCCGACGGCACACTCTTCCATTGTCTCTCAAGACAGACAGATGCCAACAACATTCCTCCACCACCACAAAGAAATCCAGATAGCCTAATTTGCATATTGTTTCAAAATCCTTACAAAATTTAAAATTCCTATGGAGTTTTTTTTTTTAAATGGGTTTATTCCTGACATTTAATCCAAAGACATTGAGAAGGATCAGTAGAAATATTTTACCACTTACCCAAGCCACAATATCTTTTGAAGCTACAATGGCAATGATTTATACAATGCTATCAACCCTCATTATACCTGTGTGTGTCTACACACACACACACACAGAGAGAGAGAGAGAGAGAGAGAGAGAGAGAGAATATTTGTACTGGTCTGCCATAATGATGTGGTGTTTCTCAATGTCCGAAAGGCAGGGACAGGGAAAGGAGAAGGGGGAAGGATGAGAAAGAAGGGGACTTTTCTCAATAGTAAATGGCTTGGGAATGGGGTTAAAGGGTAGAGGGAAGAAGGGTCTCTGTATGTGATTATATTAGCTCTCTGGTGACAGGAAGAACTGTGGGAGGTGGAATTGGGTGGGAGTAAAACTGGTATTAAGAGGAAAGATGGGAAATATGGGAGGTAGGGCGTGTGAGTGAGAGAGAGGGAGACAGTTTTAGGACTCTGATGATGGGGGAAGAAAACTGCAGAGGAGGAGAACCTGGCAAGGGATAGATGGACTGGAAGTGGGCAAGCAAGAGGCACTGGGAGAAATGAAGAGAATGATCTTGATGTCCCTCCACTCAAACTTCTGCCTATTCCATTCCTCAGCTGAAGAGATAAAGAATGCAGATACCTCAAATTTTTCATGGTATCTCTGTACAATGCATTTCACACCTGGTAATGTTTCATTAACAAGCAAACACCCATGTATGTTCAAAACCCATCCTCTGAGCTAAACCTTCTCGAACTGCACAAGCTAGCTGACAATCTTGCTCTTAAGATTCTGCTCATCTGGAAGATACCATACAAAAGTGGCAATCTCTACCAAGTGGCAGCGAGATTCCAGGGGGTTCCACCCAGGGGCATGTTTCCATTGGGAGTTCAGATACGGCAGAGGCAGTAGCATTTTAAGACATATGGTTTATTTTACACCTAGATGCATCAAGAGAGTTCCTTGGAGAGGGAGAGAATTCACAGTGTTACATCTCAAGTGGGGCTTGTTCTGCACAGCAGCACAGCATTACAGTCCAAGTCATCCTGCATGCCATTCCTGTCCCTCTCCCCCAGCCTCCCAAGATGGTTCTGCCCTCCAGCAGCTCATGGAGGACTCCTCTTTGTTCTCTCTTCTTTTTACCAGTGCCCGCCTTACTCAAAAACACAAACCTCCTTCCTGTCACCTCACATCCCCCCTTCACTTTAGTAACCTCTGCTTTGTGCAGATCTGGGGGATTCCTCATGAGGTGATAGCAGCTGTCTATCGTTTCATAATGTTCTGTTTTGTTCTGCCCACCCTTTTGTCTGAATTTGAGAGCTCAGTGAAGCATGCTGGACAGAGATGTCCTGGGCTGCTGGGCCATGCTGTCCCTGCTTATGCTGTTCCAAACAGTAGGTTTTGCAGCAGTGTCTTGGAGAATGTGGATTAACATAAGCTAACAAGGATCAGGCTGAATGTCCATTTCATCTGGCATCTTGTTTCCTACAATGCCCAAACAGATGCCCAATAGCAGGACTTGAGGACAATAGTTCCTCGCCAGTTCTGATATGTTTTCAGGGAGGCTAGACAATGTTGTCAAATCACTGAGCATTCATTCGGACTTGTTTCTGAGGAGGGTAGATGATGTTGTGTCAAGCAAGTGTTGTCAGTGCATTGCCCTGTCCTTTTCCATATTGCAAAAGGTCCCATCTTTGGGACATACAGTACAGGTTTGCTATGCATTGCCTCCCCATCAACTGTAACTGAGTAACCTGAATTTGCTGGTCCTCTAATCAGTCTGTTCAGCATCATGAGCAAGCTTTACACCAGACCATTTATGCTGGCTGTTTTGGGATTGGCTTGAGAGAGGAAGCATATCAGCAGAAGAACAAGCAGGCTTCAGAGCCAGTCACTCCATCATTGACCAGTGTCTGATTTTACACTGCTGCTGAGCTATAATCAGTGAGGTCAGAAGGAATCATAGTGTTGGAAGGGACCCCAATTGTCGTCAAGTTGGACCCCCTGCAATGCAGAAATCTCAACATGTGGTCCCCCTTTAGAGATTAGACTGCATGACTTCCAGTAGGGTTAAATTAAAAGCTACTCTCACATCTCAACAACATAGAACTACTTCTGTCAGTTTTAAACACTTAATTTGAGTGTTTAAACTATTATACTCACGCATGCGCAAACACACACACACACACTTTGCCAGAAACAGAACCATTCCAAACACCCAAATGTATGTGTCACAATTTTTGTAAACAAAATCCTTCCACAATAGAATAGAATAGAATAGAACTCGCAACATATGAAAAACTTGCATACAAATGCAGACTTGCCATGGACAAATTAAATGATATTTGGAATCCATTCTTACAAATACTGTAATAGGTCAAGATCTGGTGAAGTACAATAACAACCCTGTAAAGTATACAGTTTTGGTCCCCCAGCCCCCACTTTATTTTCCCTTCTACACGGGTTTTGTTTCTTTTTTTCTTTTTCTCTCTTTTATTTACGCCTCACTATTTTTAGTGAGGACATGGGTGGTGCTGTGGGTTAAACCACAGAGCCTAGGGCTTGCCGATCAGAAGGTCGGCTGTTCGAATCCCTGCAACGGGGTGAGCTCCTGTTCCTTGGTGCCTGCTCCTGCCAACCTAGCAGTTTGAAAGCACGTCAAAGTGCAAGTAGATAAATAGGTACTGCTCCAGCAGGAAGGTAAACGGTGTTTGTGTGTGCTGCTCTGGTTCACCAGAAGTGGCTTAGTCATGCTGGCCACATGACCCAGAAGCTGTACGCCGGCTCCCTTGGCCAATAAAGCAAGATGAGCGCCACAACTCCAGAGTCATCCATGACTGGACCTAATGGTCAGGGGTCCTTTTACCTTTACTATTTTTAGTGCACATATAATTATGTACTTTTGAACTTTCAATAAAGATGTTTAAAATAATAATAATAACAAAAGGCAGAAATTCATTTTCTGTTGTGCTGTGCCCCTATGGCATCCATTTTATGATATGTCATGCCCCCATTTTGTGACTGGCACCCAGGCACTTTCTCAAAATTTCAAATGTGCCCACTGGCTCGAAGAACTGTAGACAGTGCTGTGCTAGATCACACCAATGACCTGAGTGACTGTAAGACAGCTCCCTTTGCTCCTAACCAAACAATCATTGTTGCATGTATTCCAATTCTCTCAGCAATGAGATCTCCAGAAATTCAGTATGTTACTCTGGTTCTGTTTCCTGTGGAATGAAGTCATTGAAGCCTTCTTGACATTTTGTGATATATGGTTCATTTATGCACATTACACAGGCTGAGCAAAGGTAAAGATTTACAGCAGCTGCCACCCCAATGGACAGGCTGATAGGTTCCAGACCTTCACTGAGCTCTGTGTGCTGCAGCTTTCAGGCTCAGCTCCATCTGACTTTAGCTGCAATTCCCAAACCCCTTGCTACTGTAGAGGCCCACATTTGAGAGAGAGAGAGAGAGAGAGAGAGAGAGAGAGAGAGAGAGAGAGAGATTGTTTCCATTCACGGGGAAGGACCATTTGTTAACCACATATATGCAATATGCTTATTTTTATACTCTGTGACACATGTGCTATTTTGTAACAGGTTCTTCTAGTTTCTTTGGTGGCTGTATCCCTTGGACTAGGCTTGGGACTTGGACTAAGGAAAACACGAGAAGGTAATCTCACAATCTCCTCAATTTACTAAAAGGGGGGTAAAAAATGTCTTAGGTCTAGGGCAGGGCTCATGAGACAAGGTGAGATGACTGCCTCAGGCGGCAGGATCCACCGTGGCAGCAGATCCTGATCTTCATTCCCCCTTTGTTCTTGATCTTCAACACCGCTTCTTCCCTGGTGGGGACGGAGGCACCATTTTGTCGTTTGCCTCAGGTGCCAAAATGTCTTGGGCCAGCCCTGTCCAGGGGATATGCTTCAAGTCTAGTTCTCAGTGAGATGATAAAACTTATGCCCTTGGGCTCAAGGGCAACCCAATACATTTGCTGCCTGAGGCAAAGATCAATATGGTGCCTGCTTCCCATTTCACGAGCAGAAGTCAACCAGATTAGTACTTAATCATACTTCAGTCATGGCAACAGGTGCGTAAATCAGGCTGTGTGGCAAACACAGTTCTGTCCTCCATCATATGGGAATGCCTGAGGGAAGCTCAGGGGGAGAGGCCAGAGGGTCTGTTGCCACTGCCTCCCCTCTGAATGCCAGCCACTGTGATTTCTATCCTTGCTCAGTCTTTGTTAGTGGTCTCCTATGGCTCAGATGCATGACTTGTATCTGCAAGAAGCCATGTATTCAGTAGTGTGGGCCCAATTTTGTGGGACTCACTTCCAGTTGAGATCAGACAGGCCTCATCCCTGCTGAATTTACAGCGCTTTCGGAATACTCCCCGCCCCCCAGCATACTTTTTATTTGAACTCTGATTTTATAGTTTTAACTCATTTTGAGTCTTATTGTATTGAGTCTGTTGTACACTGCTTACAAGACTGAAATTAAACAGTACACCAATAGTTGACATAAAATAAAATCAATCTGCCACCTAAGGCAGCTGACTCACTTGCCTAATGGTAAGTCAGACTCTGTTCAGGCTCTGCCACATCAAACATCTGGAGGTGTGTGTGTGTGTGTGTGTGTGTGTGTGTGATGACTGAATGTTCCTCTATACAAACCTTTCCCCCTTTGGCTTCTAGTTTTCAATTTGGATGGGGGGGGATATGAAGTAACAAAGGTTTGTTAAAACAGATTTAACTTTCAATGGATTGCATCCTCTATTTATACATAGAAATATGAATAGTGCTGGAAGTCTGTTAACATTTCTTTGTAACAAGGGAAGAAATTGATTTTGTACTTGTTTTCTAATTGGGCACAGAATTATAGGTGTCCATAGTTCAGAATGATCTGAAATGTTACAATTATATTAGAAAATCATTGCTGTTACCATTTGCCACAGGCAGGGAGATAAGGTGACATGAAAAGCTTTTCTTTCTTTCTTTAACTTTTATTTATGAAATTTTAACAGCTTTTATACACATACCGTGCAGTATCCATCACTTATCTCTTTTCCTAAGATTTCCCGATCCATCTCTCTGTGGCATTTTTCTAGGGAAATCTTGATCTGTTGCATATCCTAATATTTCACCCATTATCATTTCAAGTCTTCCTTTTTGATGTTACCTGCTTCTCATATGTTAACTCCTACTTGTAGGTTAATTTGTATATTATACCCTCTAAGATAATCTCCAAAACACCTCCACTCTTCTCTTATCTTTAACTCGTCCTTATTCCTCAGTTTCATGGTCATGGTTACTAATTATATGTATTCTATCAATTTGTTCTGCCAAATTTCCCTTGTGGGGAAATTGCATTTCCACCCAAAAGCAACTGAAAGCTGCACAATAAATGCCCATGAAGCCTACACGAACCAGTCATAGAATGTTGTGTACCTAACATTGTGCCAAAGTAAAAGAAAAGTAAAAGGTTAGAAGAAATGAAGTAATATTTGAAATCTGAGCACACCCACATTCCAAAGTACTATAACCAAAAATATTTGATAATTCATGGATGAATGATTCTCCAGATATGATGAGAATACGAATTCTCAGCCTTCACTGATCTTAAAATATTTTTTGAACATCCTAGGAATTAAAGTTCACAACATTCCGTCTAATAATAAACTCAAGTGGTGAGTGCTGACTAGGTTTGAACAAGGACACAGCTGGGATAGGTGGTACAGCATGAGACTTTTAATATCAGGGTTATGGGTTCAACACCCACATTGGACAAAAGATTCCTGCCTTGGAGTAGATGACTCTTTTGGTACTTTCCAACTCTATGATTCTATCATCAACATGCTGATAGGAACCCTGAGGTTTACAAGGATAAAATATTTTTTTAAAAAACAACAACAGCTAAAGAGGCACCTGCTCCTTTAGTTATCCTTCCTCAACCTGTTGTTGGAGTCCAACACCCATCATGTCTCACCTAGCATGGCCAGTGATCAAGGATTGTTTAACCCCAAAAACCTGGAGGTCACCAGATTGAGGCATACCTGCCATTGTTGTGGGGCAGGGATGGGGAACCTGTACCCCCTGATGTTGGACTCTCATCAACCCTTGCCAGCATAAACAAATTTGGTTCAGACACTGCATAGTTAAACCAAGGAACTTGCTTGCTTAGCAGGTTCAGATAGCCAACTGGCTTTAAAAAGAGGATTAGACAAAATCATGGAGGATAAAGACTACCAGTGGCTACTAGCCACAATGGCTATGTTCTGCCTCCATGGTCATAGGGATTATGCTTCTGAATACCAGTATCTGGACACCACAGGAGGGGAGAGTGCTGTTTTGTTCTTGCTTGTGGGCTTCTCATAGTCACCTAGTTGGGCATTGTGAGAAAATGATGCACTTGCAAAGGCGAACAGTTCCAAAAGCATTCTCATGCATAGCTAAGTATGTTTCCTGAAATGAGTATTATTGACCAAATGAAGCAGCTGCAATGCAATTGGAGAAAGCAACAGGTTCCATTATATCCCCACTCCCTAAATGCTTGTATTCCACAATACTTTTATTATCCTGGATACTGTTAAGATATGAAGGGCTCAAGCAAGCTTGGGCTTTCTCTGTCTATTCGCTCTTGATGCCACCATCTTGTAATTCCATTCCCCCAACCTCTTCCACAAATATATTTAAAAGCGTATAGGATGTTAATCAGCCAAAGGTGTGGTTGGACCTCTCATGGAGGAGACACATGAATAAGGGCCTCAGATGTTATTGCAGGGTCTGGGTCGGTTCATATGTACAGAGGCAGTCCTTGAGGCATTGCGATCCTGAGTTGTTTCAGGTTTTATAGATCAAAACCAACACTTTGAATTGGGCCAGGAAACTAATTGGCAGCCAGTGCAGTTGGACCAGGATCGGTGTAATATGCTCTTGCCTTAGTAAGCAACCTGGTTGCTGAATTCTGCACCAGATGAAGTTTCCGAAATGTCTTCAGGGGTAGTCCTACATATGACACATTGCAGCAATCTACCCTAGAGGTTATCAGAGCATAGACAACAGTAATTAGGCTATCCCTATCCAGATAGCTGGGTCACCAACCAAAGATGGATGAAAAACACTCTGTGCCACTGAGGCCACTTGTGCCTCAAGAAGCTGCAAAGCATCTAGAAGTATCAACAAGCTACACACCCACTCCTTCAGATGGTATACAACCACATAAAGAATGGCTTCTACATATCTGGATGGGCTTGGCTAAACAATTTTTTTTAAAAGCATTTATGACATTCAAACAGGCTTTCACAAAGATCTGAGGTGAAGCTAAGAACTGACTCAGTTCTCTCTCTTTCATTCAAATGCATCTTTTTGTATGTTTTTTCCTCCTCCAGAAGAAACATCCTGGTTGAAAGAAAGTTGTACCTCTTCTAACACAGCTCAGTGTCCAGAAGGGTAAGATTAATGTATTCACAACTGTTCACTTAGGATGTCTGTATTTTTTGTGGTTTTGTTATGTAAATAAGCACACAAATATTTTTTTATTTATTGAGAACCATCATTCCAAATTGATGTTAGTCACAGCTTAAAGGTAAAAGTAAAGGTACCCCTGACCATTAGGTCCAGTCGCGGACGACTCTGGGGTTGCAGAGCTCATCTCGCTCTACAGGCCGAGGGAGCCAGCGTTTGTCCGCAGACAGCTTCCGGGTCATGTGACCAGCATGACTAAGCCACTTCTGGTGAACCTGAGCAGCACAGGGAAATGCTATTTACCTTCCCACTGGAGCGGTACCTATTTATCTACTTGTACTTTGACACGCTTTCAAACTGCTAGGTGGGCAGGAGCAGAGACGGAGCAATGGGAGCTCACCCCATCGCGGGGATTTGAACTGCCGATCTTCTGATCGGCAAGCCCAAGGCTCTGTGGTTTAGACCTCAGCGCCACCCGCATCCCTTAGTCACAGCTTAGAAGACCATGTAAAACGTATGGGCTAGATCGTTCTGCAAGTTCATGAATAATTACAGCAACTTCTGAGAAAAAGTTTAGTGCTGTACCCTAATGGTATTTTCAGATTTCCTTTTTCTTTTTACCTTACCACAGCATTGCCTCTGCTCTGCTATCCTGACAGCCTATTTTAACTGTGCACCACTGCAATTACCCTCTGTGTAACTGCTGCATAGGCATTCTTTCTCATTTCCTGCATTGCATTTGGAGAACACTTTCTCTGTTGCTGTGCTTTGAGCTGCCCAAACCTGCAACAAGAACATGCACTTCCTTCATCCTCCATCATGAGATCTTCTCGGGTATGTTCTGTGTACATGAGCCACAGAAACTCAGTCAAGCACTTGCGCTTGTCACATGAAACAGTTGTTTAGCAGAGCTCACTTGTACTTGGCACACACAGACATACACTACAATATACACACACCATACACAGTTTTTACAAGTAGTCATCTCCCTCTGATCCCAGAGAGGGTTCTTGGCTTCAGAATTCTTGCTGCCCCAAAGTCCGCAGCAAGTCCTGACTTCAGCTGCTTCCAAAGTCCTTGTAGCTCTTCACAAAGTGTTCTGTTTTCTTCCATGATTCCAACCAGTCTCCACTGTTCGGATCTCCCACACTTTCCCAGCGCCGAACACTGCAACTTTCATTCCATATCTAGGTACAAATTCTGCCCAGCAACAGAGATAAGACAGTTGCACTGTAGGGAATGAGTCAGCATTACCAACTCATGTGAAATTAACCCATTAAACATGTTCCTTAACAGATCCTCTGCTGGATCTTAGTCCTTTCCCTCTGCAGAAGAATCTCTGAAACCCACTCTAAGGGGTTCTAAGGAGCACCTGTGCTCCTTTATGAAGTGCCTATAACCTACACATCCAATTTGAAAAGACAGATGAGAATCCCATGAACCCTGGAAGACTTGATGCAGGTCTCTTTACAGAGCAATACAAATGTTCAGGTGTTTGGAATTCCATGGAGGGAAAAGTGACATTGGAAGGGGAAGTTGCATCAGAAAATTTGCACTTCCTCCCTCCTGTCCTTTCTCCATTCCAAATTGCCCCTCCATGAATTGCCCCTTCTTTGGAAGGAGCCACCAGGTTTTTTTTTGCTAGAGACATTAGCATGTTATGTGTAACTTGACCCTTAGTCTTAAGTACAGTCAGCTGACAGCTTTTCCTGCAAACACTAGCTATCTTGTTGTAGATAGTATCAGTACCTGATAGTGAATTTTATCTACTGGGGCAACCCCAAGCATGCTCTTCTCAGCCGAGGCTTTGCACTGATGCTCAAAGCACACAAACATTGGAATAAGCTTCATTTTAAACTTGCTTTGGAATAAGTACGTGAAGAACTGCAGTATTTGAGGAAAGTCTGATTGGGCTCAGAAACAGAACACTCGTTATGAAAGATTAAAAGAAAAGTAAGTCAGGAGCAAAATAGTAATCCTGAAAAGCATTTGCAGAAAGATTAGGAGGTTCTGAATTTTAAACATGTATGTTTTATGCTAGGGTTTTTCAGGGGCTTTATAAATGCATAATTGACCCCTAAATCAATAGTTGCACTTTGCATTGGTTCTCAACTTACTTTAATCATTTTCAGATCGGTTAATGAGTTATGAAATCATAAAGCAGTAGTAGATTATCATGCAGGGACTAACTGGTCAGGAGATTGCTTATAGTTCTGGCTTATCACCATGTATGATGTAAGTGTCTATGTGCATTGAGTCTTTGATCAATAGTCTTCCATAAAATCATAAATGTGTTTCTTACTTGTCCTATTTTGGCTGCCTTTGAAAAAGAACAGCAGAAGTGTTATGAAATATCTACAGCAGGTTTTATAACACTCTACAGGTGACGCGGGTGGCGCTGTGGGTAAAACCTCAGTGCCTAGGACTTGCTGATTGTATGGTCGGCGGTTCGAATCCCCGCGGCGGGAAGAGCTCCTGTCGTTTGGTCCCAGCTCCTGCCCCCCTAGCAGTTCGAAAGCACCCTTAAGTGCAAGTAGATAAATAGGTACCGCTTTATAGCGGGAAGGTAAACGGCGTTTCCGTGTGCTGCGCTGGTGCTGGCTTGCCAGCTGCAGCTTCGTCACGCTGGCCACGTGACCTAGAAGTGTCTTCAGACGGTGCTGGCTCATGGCCTCTTGAGCGAGCGTGCAACCCTAGAGTCGGACACGACTGGCCTGTACGGGCAGGGGTACCTTTACCTTTTTACAGGTGAGTTAGGGACTTCCTCCGCATGTGAATACAGGCTGTGGTGGATTGAGAGGACAAGACCAACAATGTGTCCAACAGTCAAGAAGGTGGTTTCTGCATGTGCTGTAGAGGGAAATGGGGAGCAGATAGGGCTTGTCCACCTGGGAAGGTAGCCCATCTAGGAGAAGGAAAACTCTGATCCTAAATCTCCTCTGGCTTGTGGCTATACTCATTCGTGAGTAAATCCCAAGGAAAAATCTGTACCCACTGCTTTGCAGAGTATCTTAAGGAGAAGAAAAGGCTAAAGAGTAAAGCCTACACAAATCTGGAGTGGAGTCCTTGCAGCCACAGCAGGTGCTGTGATTCTCCAGCAGTTTGACTTCATCTTCAGAGGCGTTCTCCATTGTCTCTTGAGACAGACAGATGCCAATAGAGTTTCTTAACTTGTGGTCCATGGACCCCAGGAGGTTCATGGATGAGCTTCAGGAGGTCTGCAGCTTCCTACATTGGGAATGATGTACTTTCAGGGGTCTTTTCCCACACTTTTACTGGTCTTTGATTGAGGAGCTAGTCCATGGCAAGGCCCTCTTTTCCATACTATGCTGAAGTGGTTTTGGCAGCCAGAGGAACATGACTTCCCCTCAATAGCCAGCCTTCCTTTTAGTTCCCCTGTGACCTAAAATCAATTCAGGGAACAATTCAACATCACTCTCTTCTAAGTCTGCACACATTTAAGTTTGTGGAACAACTCTCCTTGTCCTTTCCCATTGCACAATGTACTGGGGTGTCCCCCTGACCCAATTTTGGGGTGGTGGCAGGGAGAGGAGTGGGGAAGTCCCATTATACAAATGAAAGTCCTTGCACAGGGCTTCCACTGATGTGACTCATTACTTGAATCCTGCCCACAGTGTTTCTAACATTCATATTTGGACTGTCTAATCTTTGATTTTTTCAGGAAGATGGCAACTAATGTTTCTCAGCAAGCACCCAAATATCCTCCTGACTTTTGACTCTGTGTTCTTTACCTTCAGGTTCGATCTGCCACCGCTTATTCTTTTTTCAATGGATGGCTTCAGGGCAGAATACTTGGAAGCTTGGGGCTATTTACTGCCAAATATTGGAAAGCTCAGTAAGTCATCTTGTTCTGAGGATGAATAATTTTTAAAAATTCATTCTGCAGAAAGAAATGTTTGAATTACTTGCATATAGGTATTGCTGCTAGTGTTGAAATTTAGCAGAGGGGGAGGAAAAAAGGGTCTCAGAGGAGGTGGATCAGGGAGTTGCTGCTTGAACTTTAAAGTAGGGTGACCTACTTTGCACTGTCAAAAAAGAAAGAAAAGCATCTTCCAAAAAAGAAGAAAAGGGGCACAGATTTGCGTGAAATTTGGGTGCGTACTGTGAATGTGCAGATTCAGATTTATATTAAATAAATAACTAAATAACTAAATAAAAATGCTACAGTTTAAATAGATCTGCAAGGTGAGTGAGCCTGCGTGCCTGCTCTGCCTGTCTGTTGCCCAGATGCAACTCTTGCAGCTTCAAGGCCCCTGCTGTCCTTCCTTGTTCCCTATCATGAAACCAGGCTGGACCAGACAGTCCCTCAAAGAGAGGGGATGTTCTATGTCATTTTCTAACCCCAGCCTCTCCCTGCTACTTTATTTATTATTGAGATTTATTATCCATCCTTCCGTCTGAAGACCCAGGGCAGGTTGCATAATATGACAGCATAAGGAAAACCGCAAGAAAAACAACAATGGAACATAATAATAAAAGCAGAGGCAAATCAGTGTGACACAACGCAGGGAGTGGGAGAAGCATCTTCTCACCTCCACCCTTCACAAGCCTGAGCAAACAGGTGTGACTGACCTGCAAAAGCTATGCAGTGTCAGTCATTGCAAGATGCATCTTGCAGTCGAAAAGGGAGGGGGGATTAGACCCAGAGAAAAACGCCCACATTCTGGCTAACGGGAAATGTTCTATGAAAAGCATTTTTTACAAGCAGGGGCCTTGGGGAAGGGCTGTAGCTCTGTGGTAGAACATCACCTTTGCGCACAGAAGGTCCAAGGTTTAATCCCTACCATCTCCAGGAAGGAGTGAGAAAGACTCTGGAGAGCTCCAAATACCGTAGGCAATACTGAGCTAGATGGATCAATGATCTAACTCAGTGTAAGGCAGCTTCCTATGTTCCTAATAAGTTTTAAAAGAGGTGTGCCTGCTCTGTGTTTTGCATATATGTCATATTATGTCATGGTTATGATTTACTATATTTACAAAGCACCATTTGTTGCAGAAACATGTGGGACCCATTCAAAGTACATGAGAGCTGTTTATCCAACCAAAACCTTTGTAAACCACTATACTATTGTCACTGTAAGTACTTTTTGTGTGTGCCTTTTTTGGTCGCCATTACTTCTGCTGTGTCGCTATTGTTTTAAAAGCTAGGTGCTTTATTTCATTTCTAAAAATGTTTCTATCCCACCTTTCTGCTCTTAACAAACACACAGTGAACAACATTAGATTCCCACCAAACTGTAATAATGATCTAACAAGAATCTAAAACAACAGCAAAGCAGAAGAAAGTAAACACCAGCTTCTTCATTCCCAAAAGGTCCACCTAAAGAAAACAGATTTGTTTTGGTACTAGAATGATAGCCCATTTGATGAGAGGTGGAAGCAGGACATAGGAATATGTGTTTGGCACAGGCGATTGACGTCCCTCCTTATGGAAATTTCACTGCTGTGTCTCTAGAGCCTTAGACTGCATGCACAGCATACATTTAAAGCACACACACTAGGATTCCTGGGAACTATAGTTTCTTAAGGGTGCTGGGAATTGTAGCTATGTGAGCTTCCTAGGATTTTTGTGTGTGGGGGGGTGTCCTTTAAATGCAGGTGCATATACAGTCTAGGGCTTTAATTCTAAGCAGGCTTACTTTTTGTTGTTTAGTCGTTTCCGACTCTTTGTGACCCCATGGACCAGAGCATGCCAGGCACTCCTGTCTTCTACTGCCTCCTGCAGTTTGGTTAAACTCATGTTCAAGAACACTGTCGAACCATCTTGTCCTCTGTCATCCCCTTCTTGTGCCCTTGATCTTTCCCAACATCGGGGTCTTTTCAAGGGAGTCTTCTATTCTCATGAGGTGGCTTACTAGTCATTTAGAAATCTGTAGTACAGACTTCTAAGGAAACATTCATAGGACTTCACAGTTAAAGCTCTCTTTTGCAAAATGATAGTTAGGAGCAAATAAGGGGTGATTAATCCATGCATGTATCAGGTAACAATCTTACTTCTGTTTGTTGAAACCAGAAGGTTGAAACCAAAAGTTGCTGCTAGGTAGAGTATTTCAGTTCAGCCAGCCAGCCAGCCATGCCCTTTTCTGTGATGTACCATTCCACCTCCTGTCTCACCCAGTTCCCCAGTCCTGTTGCCCCACTTATTCTGTCATGCTAGGCTGTTTTCGTGGCTTTCTCTCACCTTGGTTTGCTGTTTTTGCTTTAGTTCTAAAAACCTTCTGCAAGCCTGCTAACAGGTCCCTCTGGTGTTTCAAGAGTGCAGTTTTGGCTACACAGAGATGGGCAGTTGGACTGCTAAATTCATTGTTAGTGGACAATAAATGTTAAAAAGAAATCAGACATCGGGGTTGACATTAGCAGCATTAGCTTCTAGTGATGCGATCCAATGTACATAGCAAAACACAGAGTACACTCAGTTTGTGTTTTCTTTCCCCAGGGTTTGTACCCAGAATCCCATGGCATCATTGACAACAACATGTACGATGTAAAATTAAACCAGAACTTTTCGCTTTCTTCAGATACCAAGAATAATCCTGCATGGTGGGGTGGTCAACCTGTAAGTGCCATTTGCTGTTTCTCAATTTGCTCCCCACTTTACATGTGAATGAGGTGGACAGGTGGATAGACAGATAAAATTGCTTTCTCTCATACAGTGACTCCAAGTCGTTCTTGGAGGGACAAGCCCAGCAGGGGATGCTGGGGAACTCCTGTTCAATGCCCTGGCCAGTGTGATGCCATAATTCGGCACCCCCTCCTCTCGTCTTCCATTCTACAACATAGTTGTGGTGCCCACTGTGGTACCCCTGAAGCTCTGTAACCAGTCACACTCTCCTAAATCTGCCTCTGCCCTGGTCATTGGCCTCCGGTATCCCTCGGGGTCCTATCCTGTCCCCATGCTATTTAACATTGACAGGAAGCTGCCCAGGGATTGGGGGTTCAGTGCCACCAATATGCAGATGACACCCAACTCTATCTCAATCTGAGGAAGCTGTTTCAGTGCTAAACCAGTGTGTGGTGTCAGTAATCGACTGGATGAGGATGTATCTATGCAAGATACAGGTTATCCTGATCAGTCAAAGGCTGACCAAGGATTAGGGATCCAATTTGTGCTGGATTGCATTACACTCAAGTTCACAACTTAGGTGCACTCCTGGATTCAAGCATGAGCCTAGATGCTCAGGTTTTAGTAGTGGCCAGCATTACATTAGCACATTTTAAAACTAGTGTGCCATCTGCACCTGTTCCTAAAGATGTCTGATCTGGCTACATGCCTTAGTTACATCCCATTTGGATTACAGTAACATGCTGTGTATGAGGATGCCTTTGGAAAGTGTTTGGAAGCTTCAGTCCAAAAGGCTGAGATGAGATTTCTGATTGGAGCTGGTTACAGGCAGAACAGACACTTCCTGTGACTACTTGTCCATTTCCTGGCACAATTCCAAGTGCTGGTTATATTTGGCTTGGGTCCAGGCTATCTGAAGACCTGTATCTCCATATATGAGCTTGCCCAGGCTTTGAGATAAATCACTAAATGTGCCTTCTCTGCCACCGTCTCCTCCTCCTCCTCTTCACCGCTTGGTAGTTACCTTTGGGGACATTTGCAGGAGATACAAAAATGTATCAAATTGGGCAAGAAAAATAAAATGCTATTCCAAGGCTCTATGGTGGCATGGCTCTATGGTGCTTCTGAAGCCTTGCAACCAGCTTGCTTCACCTCAGACCATTCAGGTCCTGGATTGCCTCAGGCTCTGAGGTAGCTCAAGGGAATGTTTGCCTTTGATTCATCTGCCATTGGAGGGGAATGTGTAGACCTAGTAGCTCACTCACTCAAAGTCCACATAGGATAAAATAGTTTTGTTGAAATGATTGAGATTGAACCAACATTGCAACCCCTTAATGACAAGCAGTTCCCTAGCAAAGGTGCTTCTTCAAAAAAGACCTTGTATCTCACAGTTATTAGCATGATTTTAGCATGTTGATTGGGGTTCCCTCAAGACCTTGGGGCATGGAGAGTTTTAAATGAGTTTGTGCTATTAAGATGAAGATCTATGTTTCAGATACTGAATCTGTGTATCTTCTTGCAGATTTGGCATACAGCAATGTTTCAAGGGTTGAAAGCTGGCACCTACTATTGGCCTGGATCCGATGCAAAAATCAATGGAACATACCCTAATATCTTTAAGGTGTACAACAAGTAAGTTGGAGTTTTAAAAAAAGAAAAAGAAATTGTTGTTGTTGTTATATCCTACCTTTTCCCCTGACAGGGACTCAAGACATCTTACAGCTAAAATTTCATTTCATTCTATTTCTTTCTATTTCTATTCTCTCCCTCACATATTTTTTCGTTACAACATTCCTTTGAGGTAAGGAGGCTGAGAGGCTGTAATTGGCTCAAGGTGACAGGTGTATTTGTATATGCCGTATACACATACAGGGGGAACTTCCTCATGTAGAATAGAATGTCCCTATTTTCATGTGAGAAACGTTAGGGGGGCATGAAATCTAGACACCACAAGTTCCCTGTTCCTGGTCTGCATCATTGTTCTGTTGCAGAATAAATTTCCCTGATGGCTAAATAATAACAATTATTATTATTATTCTTTGCAGGTCAGTTACATTTGAACAAAGAGTTACAGAGCTGCTGAAGTGGTTTGAACTCCCAAAATCTGAAAGGTAACGGTTTAGGAAGCTTTTGGCAGTGCTTTTGTTCTTGTGAAATGTTTGAAATGTTTATCAAGCCTATTTACTATATACTAAGGATCTTTTGCCAGGGTGTGTGTGTTTTCTGCAACCTTTCTTTTTACCTAGGTTTTATCTGGAGGGTTTTCAATATATGTCGTCTCTTTTTGGGCAGGGTGGGATTTGTTAGATCTGTCTCGATGTATTTTGTTGGTTCTTATTCTGTTTTGGTTAATATACTTCATTTTAATGTTCTGTACTACTTTTGTAAGGCACACATCCAGCTGGTGCTTTCTGTTCTAAAAAAAAGTTTAACCTCGTGGACATTTCTGCACCTTCCTTTGAGTGAAGGCTGGCCAAGATTCCTTTCCACGCAGTCACAATGCACTTTTCTTTTGAACTCTAGGCCTGATTTCTATACATTGTACATTGAGGAACCCGACTCAGCAGGACATGCATATGGACCAGATCATAGTGAAGTAAGTTTTTCTTTTTCCAATCCTATAAGCCATAAATAAACATGTAGGATACACAAACCACAGTCATGTGACATAGCTTGCAATGTGGTTAAGTTGAGCATCAGCTAGGAACTGATGAGATTCCTGCATCACAGAGGGTTGGACTAGATGACCCTCCGGGTCCCTTCTATGATTCTATGAACTAACATATTTTACACAGCCCATCATCCAACCTCCTAACACACCAGAGGACCAGGCAGTAAGGGTGTAAGCAGACAAAGTGGATGTAAGCATCATAATCTAGCTATACTGGAGTGGGTTGGGGTTTTCCAACAGAAAACAAGTATGGGGAAGAAAAAAATAGGCTACTCTCCCTCTACTCCATTGTCCTAATCAGGATTGGGGCTCTACGTGACTGTACCCAGAGAGCAGAACCTGGAGATTGTTACAGTATATTATAGTCCACTGTGCATCCTAAAAGGATTGTGTAATATTGATGATAATATACATCTTGTTCTGATTAACCCAATACACAAGAATCTCTGAATATGAATGAATTGATGTACTAAATGGGACTCCAGTTCAAAAATACCTTTAAAAACACCAGGAGGCAATAGAGAAAAAAAAATTCAAAAGTATGCTTGTTCTGTGTTGTCCCATATTCTGTTATGGTATACTTGATCTTGAACACACTTTGAAGGGGAAACACTATTGAAATCTTTTCTCCTTTTGTTTTAGACGGGTAAAGCCTTACAAAAGGCAGATGAGACCCTGGGAATGTTAATGGAAGGTCTAAGACAAAGAAAATTGGACAATTGTGTCAATATCATACTTGTGGCTGATCATGGTATGACTGTTTTGTTCTTCCATCATTAGGTGCTATCATTAGGCAGGGTGAGGCAACCACCTCAGGCAACAGATGCCTGAGGAGGGAAGGATGGCAAGATGTGTTCAGAGGACAGAGCTGTATGTGCCTTGTGGTCTGCCTGAACCCCCTAACCTTAGTCTACAGCTCACAGGGGTGCTGGGGGATGCTGTCCCATCACTAGTGTTGAAGTAAGATTCTCATCTGGTTGGCTGCTCAGGGAATGGGCGGGGTGAGCAGGACGTTATCCTGCCCTTTGCCTCAGTCAACAAAATATCTTGGGCCAGCCCCTTTTGTGTCTCAGTATAGAGCTTTATTGATCTTGCAAACTAATAATAAAAGTGGTTTTCCCAGCCACTTTGAACAGCTCCCAACAGAATATTAAAACAGAATAAAACATCAAAGTTTAAAATCTTCTCTAACAGGGCTCCCTTCCGATGTCTTGTAAAAGTCAGATAGTTGTTTATTTCCTTGACATCAGATGGGAAGGCGTGCCACGGGACAGGCACCACCACTGAGAAGGCCCTCTGCCTGGTTCCCTGTAACCTCACTTCTCGCAGTGAGGGAACCGCCAGAAGGCCCTTGGAGCTGGACCTCAGTGTCCGGGCTGAATGATGGGGGTGGAAATGCTCATTCAGGTATACTGGACCAAGGCTGTTTAGGGCTTTAAAGGTCAGCACCAACACTTTGAATTGTGCTCGGAAACGTACTGGAAGCCAATGTAGGTCTTTCAGGACTGGTGTTGTTGTCACGGTCTGGTCTACGGGCGATCAAATTCCCAGCTGAGGACTTCGGGACCGGGGGCAAGATGGTGTGGTGGGAGCAGGAACGAGAGTCCAGAGGGTCAGGAAGCAAGGAGTCCCGAAGTCAAGGGTCCGAGGGTCGAGAAGCAAGGAGTCACGAAGTCAAGGGTCCAAGGGTCAAGAAGCAGGGAGTCAGGAAGCCAAGGTCTGAGGATCAAGAAGCCAAACGCAGCAAGGCAGGAAACGTGTTGCTGTGGCAAAGAGCCAAAGGGAAATGCTGACCTTACATCCCTTCCCGGCTCTTGCCACCAGGTGCAGTGAGTTACCAAGTGGCCTCACCTGCACCTTGCCTCTCCAGAACAAACTTAGGAAGGCCCCAGTCCTGCGAAGCCCTACTGGTCACAGGGCCTGGCTCCTGCACGTACCCCTGATAGTTGTATGGTCTTGGCGGCCACTCCCAATATTTGTTGAATAGTTTAACCATCTCTTTTCTTTCCTTAGGCATGGATCAGACATTATGTGAGAAGATGGAATTCATGACAGATTATTTTGAGGACGTTAATTTTTATATGTACGAAGGACCGGCACCTCGTATTCGATCAAGGAATATTCCAAAAGACTTCTTTTCATGTAAGCGTTGGACATAGGATGATAGATCCATAGAATTAGAGAGCTGGGAGGGATCTAGGGCTTGCAGACCATCTAGCACAAACCCCTGCTCAGAACAGGAAATCTAGAGCATCCTCAGCAGATGGCTGTCCATCCATTGCTGAAAAGACCAAAAGGAGTGAGGGAGAACTCAACATCCCTCTGGGTCATCCTTTGACAACCCAGTACCCTTCAGATGTTATGTGCTACAATTCCCATCAGCCCTGTAGCGTAACTGCCAGTTAGCTGAAATCCACTCTGCCAATGCTGCTTTCTGGATGCAGCCCAACAGATAGGACTGGAACCAACTGTAGCACAGTTCCCCCAGCTCCCATTTCATGGTATCAGTCCAGGAGGATACCATGGTCAATGGTACCAGAAGCTGCAGAGAAATCAAGGAGCAGAAGCAAAGTCACGCTTGCTCACCCCACTCCTTGTAAAAGTCACCCATCAGGGCAAAAAAGCATGACCCAGTCCCACAGCCAAGCTTGAACCCAGATTGGGTTCTTAAATTCTTACAAAATGTCAAAACGGATTAAAGGGGTTGGATAATTATATGTAATTTTGAATCCAGAGTCTAATGTTTTGATTTTTTCCCAAACAGTTGATTCAGCAGGCATTGTTAAAAATCTTACGGTGAGTAAGCATTTAATCTCTCATTTTCCTTGTAGCTTTAGTAAGAAAACAGCAAGTATATTATTATTATTATTATTATTATTAACAGTACATTTGTATATTGTACATTGTCAACTGCCCTGAGATCTATGGATGAAGGGGGCTTCATCCATAGATTTCAGGGCAGTTCACAGTGTAGTTGAAGCATTTTTTTTTCCAAAGTGTAATTTCTGCAGTAGACTCATGTTGTTTTCTTTGGCAGATGTGCTACATGTAACCTATATCAATATATAGATCACAGTTTTTTATAGGGGTTAGGATAAATAATTTTAAATGTGCAAATACTGGTATATATCAATTAAGGTAGCATCCTAACTTTGTTCTGTGGAACACAGCCATGAATTTCTGTTAGGAAAATCAGCACACTGCCATCGGTAAGAACTTTTGTGACTCCTGTCTGGTGTTTTCATGAAGGAATTACAGCATACCCTTTCTTCTCTGTGGTTAGAAGTATCTATTTGTGTCTTTGTGTTCTACAATGTGAAGATCTCACAAGTTCACTTTTCCAATTTTAGTGCCGAAAGCCCACACAGCACCTCAAAGCCTACTTGACTCCAAATTTGCCAAAGCGATTGCACTACGTTAACAATATCCGTATTGACAAAGTTCACCTTATGATGCAGCGGCAGTGGTTGGGTGTGAGGTATGGTACTGATGGTGACCTTATCATCATCATCATCATCATCATCATCATCATCATTTCTATACCATTTTATATTTTTAAGAAAAATCTCAAAGCGGTTTACAGCATATTAATACATCCAGAATCAAACATTTCTGAAGAAAGTCAAATATAAAGTATACAGTCAAAGCAACATAATTAACAGAAAATGTTATCTTAAAGATTTCAAAATAAAACATTACAAAGGAGGTCAACTACAGAATACATATTTAACACTAACAAAGTTAACATTAAAACATTTAAAAAAACTACACATTGCTAAGTGAAGTCAAATATAAAATGCACATTTAAAACAGCATAATTAACAAGAGAATAAAATATTACCATAAGCATGACACAGCTGTTTGGCAGGCACAAAAAGATGGGCCAAAAGCACCCAATAATTAAGGTTTGTTGTCAGGCATAGCGATGTCCCTCCAGTCTCACCAGGAGTCTCTTTGGTAGGGCTGGGTGAGTCTGGGCCCCACCCCCTAGGCCAGGTGGACTCTGCGCCAGGGCAGGTGCTTTATCTATTCATTCAGATTATACCCTTTTTTTATATAAAATGTTCTGAGCGGTTTATAAAAAAATATTTTAAAAGGGTAGAAACACACCAAAGAAAAAAGAGTTTCTTCCTGGCACCTACTTGCAGGGAGAGTGTGCAAGTTTCCCAGCAGCCCTTCTTCTCACTGTGACAGAGACCAGTGTCCTTTCTCTCCCTTTTGAAGCCACAGGGAAACAGATCATTTTTTGTCTCTTAGGCCTAGAACTGTTGATTTAAAGCAGAGTCTGTCGTGCCCAGCGGAAGGATGAGTAATACGTGCTACATACTCTATATTGCTTTATTTACAGTTCAAAGCTGGTATATTACAGAAAGACATCTTGCCTCTGCAAGAGCAGAAAATGCATCCTCTCTCCTCGACAGCTTGGAGAGAATCACACAGTGAAAAAACAGGAAACCAGTGTACGTCACATCCAGTCTCCCTTTCCCGTGAGAAACTCCAACAGTACAGACTGTGGAATGTAAAACAATGTCTCGTGACAAGCAGAGCTGCACAGTGAAGGAAAGCAGAAACCAACATCCTCCCCCTTTCTGTGAACATCACTGGGCAGCGTGTTTGCACAATATCAGTACAAACCCAACTTCTGCACATAGGTACAGTGTTGATCCCTTGATACAATCTTGGACAATACATCAGCAGGAATTTCACTACCTGGCATATAGGACACCGTTACGAGTCCCTTCTGAATACATTCTCTAGCATGCTGCAACTTTAATTGTAAGTGCTTTGTGCTTTGCTTACAACCTTCAGACTTCAGCAAAGCCAAACATGCTTTGTTGTCCTGGTAAACCTGGATTGGACATTTGACAGGAATTTTCATATCTTTGCACAATTGTACTAACCATTCACAATCCTTAAGTGAATAAGACAGTGCATTCAGTTCGGCTTCACAAGTACTTAAGCTAACTGTTGTTTGCTTCTTGCATGACCAATCAAACAGACCCTGATTGTACATGTAGCAAACTCCAGACGTACTTTTCCTGTCTGTAGCGTCACTTCCAAAACTTGCATCTGCAAATATCTCAAGACCACCAGACTTCTGATTGTTAAATCTCAGTCTGTAATGCATAGTGCCTTTCAAATACCGCGCTATGCGTTTCAGAGCTTTCAATCCTTGACACTAGGATTGTTGACTTGTCTGCTTAGCAAATTACAGCTAACAGCAATGTCTGGTCTTGAACATCTGGCAATGAAGTTTAGCTTGCCTAGCACACTCCTGTACAGTGTAGTGTCAGAAAATGCTTCTTCAGTGTCATCTACCTGATAACCTGTTGTCATCGGTGTGTCTACAGGGTTAGCATCTATCAGATTTAGTTTGCTTAACACATCAGCAATTTTCCGTGACTGGTGTACTAGAATGTTACCATCTTGATCTCTCTCTATTTCCAGAGATAGGTAGTTGTTTACCTCACCAAGATCTTTCATGTCAAAGTGCTCTTTCAGTTGAGCTAGGGCGCTATTGTACATTGCAACATCTTTCCAAAAGAATAATAAATCATCAACATAAAACAAACAGTACAGTTTCTTTTGCCCCTCCTCTTTGACAAATACACATGGATCAGCTTTCCTTGCTGAAAACCTAGAGAAAACAATACTTCAGTGAGTTTTGTGTGCCAACACCGTGCACTTTGTTTGAGACCATAAAGGGATTTCTTCAGAGCACAAACAAATCCCTGTTTTACCTGTACGCCATCAGGTGGAAGCATATAAAGTGATTCATCTAGAGATCCGTACAGAAAAGCTGTATTAATATCATGGTGACTAATGTGTAGATTTTCCTCTGCAGCTAGCTTGAGCATAAGCCTAATGCTTTCATATCTCACTGTGGGTGAATAGGTCTCGTGATAGTCTTGACCTGGTACCTGTGCAAAACCTCTGGCTACCAATCTGGCTTTGTGTCTGACTATCTTGCCATTTTGATCTGTCTTTGCTTTGAAGACCCATTTGCTTCCAAGCAGTTTCATTCCTGGAACTACTGGAACTAGCTCCCATGTTTTGTTCCTTTCTAAGGAATCAAGCTCAGCCTTCATGGCATTTAACCAGGGCTCAGCTTCCTTTGAATCCAAACCCTGGATTTCTTGGAAACTTGAAGGTTCAAATACCTTCTTGGAGCTTTTAACAGCTGTTACTGCTATCGTAGCAAACTCATCAGCAAATCTCTTTGGAGGTTTGCCTTTGTGGCTCTCTGTGACCTACGAATTAGCCTTAAGTCTTCAACACTCTCCTCTTCCTTCTTAGGAGAAAAACGACCTATTGTGAACAATGGTTCCTCCAATTCTTGATCAGAGCTTTCAGAGGGTCGCATAGAGGCTTTCGCACTCTCGAAATCCTCTGAATCACCCGATTCAGTTTCAGATTCAGACTCAGAACCTTCATCAGTGGGTGTGGGCTGTTGTGGTTGCTGTTGACTATCCTCAGTCTCATCACCGTCATCAGGATAACATTGGAAAATTCCCACATTCTCCCCCCACTTTGCATTGTACTCAACACTTCTCGTGAGCTTAATTGTCTTAGAGTCAGTCATCATTATTCTGTAAGACCCTTTCTGATAACCTAGAAAGATACCATGAAGTATCTATTTCCACCCAAAGAGGGCGTTAGTGGTCCAACCAAATCAGCATGAACAACCTGGTATGGTTCTGTAGCTTTCCTACTAGACACCTTACCTTTCGCAGCCATTTTCACCTTGTTTGCTGCGCATGCTTTGCACTTCATGTGGTACCTGCAGGGTTTAATAGTCATACCTTCAACCAAGGCAGGCATTTTAGATACTGCCTCAAAATGCAAATGACCAAATTTTCGATGAAAATCGTGAATACATTCTGCATGCAAACTTTTGTTAGAACCTGCAATGCAACAAGTGTCATCCTGCACCACATCATCATAATACAAAACAAACAAATGATCAACATATTCTGCATGCAATACATAATCATTTTTCTTTGTGATGATGCACTTCTTGTTCTTGAAGGAAACGTCAATGTTCCGCTCATTCAGCTGTCCAACGCTGAGCAGATTTTGTTTGGCGTCTGGCACGTAAAGCACATTCTGTATCGATAAGTCCAAACTGTGAAGAACAACAGTTCCGTAGCCTTTACTGGGAATAGTGTGGTCATCCGCCTGGTGAATCGCACCTTCCTGCGGTGTAAAAGACACAAACAGTTTCTTATCGTTGCACATGTGGTGGGTGGCCGCTGAATCTACAACGAAGAAAGATCTAGACGTCTTCTGGACCTCTGCAACCTTTGGAGTGAAGCGTGAAACCATAGCCTTGTGCTGCGTTGTCCTAGACACCGGACCTTTGCCTTTGCCTCGGCCTTTTCCGCGCGATGAGCTTTCGCTGCGCTGCTCTGTCTTGGCCCTGGGATGTCTGCATTCCCTCTTCATATGGCCTAGACGTCCACACGAGTAGCATTTGACTGCCTTCAAAGCTTTGGCGCCATCTGGTGGTTCCACTGCACTATGGGATGACGTCTGTGAAGACTCCCCTTGCCCATGCAGCTAGCACCCGGCGATCTGCTTCATTTAAAATCACGGCAGTAACAAAGTCCACTGTCAGCTGAGCAGTTGGTTGCACAGCAATCTGGGTTGCAACAGACTCCCAACCTGAACCCAAAGATTGTAGTATCATGAAAGAATACACAGCCTCTGGAAAGTTGAGTCCTCTCTGTTGCAGCTCATGTCTCAGATTTTGCATCTGCATCAGATGTAAACGCACATCTCCACCTTCAGCAAGAGCCATATTATGCAGCTTGTTAAAATAAAACATAGTGGATCCAGCTTCTGTCCTTAAGTGAGCCTCTCTCAGAGCGTCCCAAATTTCTCTGGCTGAGGTCTTATCACGCAATAGACAGAGCTCTTCTGGGGATACTATCAATGTAAGAGTTCCCCTTGCTTTGGAATCCTTAGCTTGCCATGCATCTGTAACTGGAACTGGGGGGGTTCCTGTAATCACCTCAAACAAACCCTCTTTCCGCAGAATTGCCTCTGCATACTGAACCCAGTCGCTGTAATTTTTCTTGTTGAGCTTAGGAACCCCACAAGCATCCTGAAGGGCCATCATGACTCTGGCATTAGCCTTCAGCGTCATATGCTGCTTTAAATCTTGCTGCGTCACTGCTGCAGCTGCCTTATCACAAAGGCACACTTAAAAGTTACTTTCGATTTCCCCAGCATAGTGACTTGTGCCTGGGAGCCTTTTGCCTATTTGCAAAACCGGCTTTAAAAGTTCAAAGTCCAGCCATAAAGCCATTAACTTGAAGCTGGCAGGCTGCCCGGAGCAGTAGCACATACCTCATCAATCACTTCTACGCGCAGAGCAGATTCCTTTCCGATCCGTCCCTCTGCATTCCGATCCTTTGCCGGCACTCCGATTCGACCTCTGGAGTCCATAACCACGTGTTGATTTAAAGCAGAGTCTGTCGTGCCCAGCGGAAGGATGAGTAATACGTGCTACATACTCTATATTGCTTTATTTACAGTTCAAAGCTGGTATATTACAGAAAGACATCTTGCCTCTGCAAGAGCAGAAAATGCATCCTCTCTCCTCGACAGCTTGGAGAGAATCACACAGTGAAAAAAACAGGAAACCAGTGTACGTCACATCCAGTCTCCCTTTCCCGTGAGAAACTCCAACAGTACAGACTGTGGAATGTAAAACAATGTCTCGTGACAAGCAGAGCTGCACAGTGAAGGAAAGCAGAAACCAACAAGAACTTCATATCTTGTCACCCCTGTGTGCCTCAGTTCCTCAGGCTCCCTTCCTGCAAAAGTGAGCTCAGGTACTGAGATCTTTCCCTTTTCATTCAGCCAGGCTTTGTTCCGCTGCCAGGTGAATACCATTTCATTCAGCCAGCCAGTGTGAACTGCTTCTAGTTTGGCTGTTTTTTCTGCTCTGCAATTCTATTCTTTTAGTTTATTTTTTTCAGTTTGATTGTTGGGAATATCTCTGTAAGTCACCCTGTGAATATTAACTTTCTAAATAAATGTAAAATTACATAATCAAATCAAAACAGAAACTCACAAAATTCCATATTAATGAACCTCTTGAGAATTACACTGACTTCCACTGAACTGACGTAGTTGTCTCATCATGTCATTGAAGTTTCGCAACTCCTGAGAATGTAGATTTCCTTCATTAATATTTCCAAAGAAATAAAATGATAAATGCAATCATAGGGCCATGTGACCTGACATCTGGACATTTCAGCTTAGTTTTGTCAGAATGCAGTTAGGATAAACCAAACCATGTCAAATCTGGATTTTGCAAGTACAGTGGTACCTCAGTTCTCAAACTTAATCTGTTCCGGAAGTCCATTTCAAAACCAAAGCGTTCCAAAACCAAGGTGCACTTTCCCATAGAAAGTAATGCAAAACAGATTAATGCATTTCACACTTTCAAAAACAATCCCTAAAAGAGCAATTTAACATGAATTTTACTCTCTAATGAGACCATCAATCCACAAAATGAAAGCAATAAAGAATGTACTGCAGTCACATAATCAGTCAGTCAGTCAGTCAGTAGCTGAATTGGGTTCCATACAGTCACAAAAACAAACAAAAAGAGGCACAAAAACAAAAACACAAAATAAATAGCAAAAATGGACAGACCTCAGCGTAACACTCAAAATGGTTCAGCTTCCGAAAAAAGTTCACAAACCAGAACACTTGCTTCCGGGTTTGCAGTGTTTGGGTTCCAAGTTGTTTGAGTACCAAGGAATTTGAGAACCAAGGTACAGCACCACTGTATATTTGCGAATGGAAGCTTTTAGTCAAACTGCTGATGAAACTTCTGATCAAGGCAGAATGCAGACATTTCTGTGTAAAGACAGCAGACTCATCAATACCAGTTGCTGGGGATCAGTAACGGAAGAAGGCTATTGAGTTCATTGCTCTGCTTGTGCATAGTCAGAAGTATCCTGCTGGCTACTACCTTTGGAATACGAATAATCCTGAAAGGCAGAGAAGGGGAACTTGTGGCCCTAGCAGCAGCCAACATGGCCAATGGCTCAGGAATGAGAGTTGCTGTAGTCTAGAAGGGCACAGGTCTGGAAGGGCACAGGCTCCCCATTCCTTCTGCATGGCAACACCCATGTCTTCATTTCACAATCCTTGAGGAACACTGTGATTCCTCCATCTTCCTGCATTAGATCCTAACACTTGCGGGCCTTTTAGATTTTAAAATCAGGTGCAGACGTCTGTCCCCACCACTGCTTTCTACACAATTGTACTGATCTCTTGACATCTAATGCAGTTTGAATTTACAATAGCCACACAATTCTAGGAGCGGGGAATAATTTGTTTTGGCATGTGTTCATTGTTCAACCTTGCATATGAAGAATTTCCAAAGTATCAAAAGTGCTTACAAATATTGGGTGTGGGTGTGTTGGAGTTATGTGCTGAAGTTACTCCAAATCGTTACAAAAGATAATTGAGTCAACATAAAATATTTCCAGTAAATGACTCCTGTAGTTTGGCAGTCTTGTTTATTCCGTCTTGCCTTCCAAAAGTCACAGCAGTGAGTAAGCAAAAAATTTCCAGGCAAATGCAGTCATTGTTAGTCAAAATATTGTAAAATTTCTTTTATGGCTCAAAGGAAAGGAGGAAAAGGTGTAAAAAAGGAAATAAAAGAAATAGTTCTGAAATATGTAAATGAACTACACATTTATAAAGCTAAATAATTTTTATACAACAATTTCCAAGACGATTATGAGCAACTCTGTGTTTGATCTTGTTGTCATTTTGCTGTAGTTACCCCTTCGTTGCCGTAGTGTTTTCCGCCACAAACACATAATCCCCTTTCACACCCATCCACATGTGCTTGGGAGCTGGAGTTGGTCCTTGGCTCCCTGACATGTGTCCTTGAGATATAAAGATGAGCATCTTTGGTTCTCACTCTTCCTCTTTGCTACTCAGAACCCAGTTGCAACTCTGGTATGCAGACATCTTAGCTGCACAAAGTGTGGAGCCACTCCAAAATACAACACTTCCCTGACACACTTAAGGTAAAGGTAAAGGTACCCCTGCCCGTACGGGCCAGTCTTGCCAGACTCTAGGGTTGTGCGCTCATCTCACTCTATAGGCTGGGAGCCAGCGCTGTCCGCAGACACTTCCGGGTCATGTGGCCAGCGTGACAAGCTGCATCTGGCGAGCCAGCGCAGCACACGGAACGCCGTTTACCTTCCCACTAGTAAGCGGTCCCTATTTATCTACTTGCACCCAGGGGTGCTTTCGAACTGCTAGGTTGGCAGGCGCTGGGACCGAACGACGGGAGCGCACCCTGCTGCGGGGATTCGAACCGCCGACCATGCAATTGGCAAGTCCTAGGCGCTGAGGTTTTACCCACAGCACCACCTGCGTCCCATCCCTGACACACTTACTAATGGCGTAAGATGTGAAGAGTGCTACTGTTTTATTTGAATTTGTCTCCACATTTCAATGTTGATAGTTTCTAAGGCAGATGGCAAGTTTAAAACACAAATAAAAACAGGAAAAAAGCGGGAAAATAATACGAGGACATAGCACCAGATGAGCATCTCTGGTGAGAGTTCCATATGTTTGCTGCTGCTTTAGTATCATTTTATCTTGGTTAGGTCTTTCTTCTTCCTAGAATAATACCATCCAATCAGAAACCATGCCGTTAGTGAATGTGATGATGCCGCAGTGCTATTTGGCTGTGGGAATATATCATTGAGATCAAATTAATCCCATTCAGGGGACAGTAACTTCCTGAATAGGTAGAGTATTTTCATACAATCACCCTTTCGAAGCAGAATTATTGACAAAAATTGCTGAAGGGAGTGCCTTTTGACATTGATTGCAAAAATAGCCTCTTCTCTAGAGTCAGCTCTTATTTGAAATAATATTTCTTGTTGAAGCTTACATGTTAGTTCAATATCTGTCTTTTTTCAGGTCTAAAAGCTATACACATTGTGGGGGTGGTAACCATGGCTTTGACAATGAGTTCAAAAGTATGCAGGTAAGGATTTTTTTAAAAATAAATAGAAAAACCTATTTATCTGTTATTTCCTGTAAGCATTTGCCACAGAATCAACTCCAACATTTCTCATGTCCTGCATGGGTGTTGTTTTACACTAATACATGACTTACAATCCATGGGCCAGAGGGTGTGTTGAGTAGATGCACCACCAAAATGTGAAGTGTGTTGTGAGTCCTCTTTGAGGGTAAAGGAACTACTTGAAGGCTTATGTCAAATCATAAAACCCTGGGTTGCTTATGCACCCAAAATTGTCTAAGCTAGACTGTTAAAAATTGCTTTTTTCTTCTGGAATAAACCACATGTCTCTAATCAGTAATTTCTCCCATGTATGGCTTGAGTCAAACTTTTGCTAAACTAGCTTTATTTTATTGTTTTAAACAAATTTGCTGAAAGCTATTTAGTAACACCATTTTTGTTATGACTACCCAGGCCATCTTTGTGGCACATGGACCAGGATTTAAAGAAAAAACTGAGGTGAAGCCTTTTGAAAACATTGAGGTTTACAATTTAATGTGTGGTGAGTATTAACTAGATTATGTCTGTTTTGCCACCAATAGTTTTAAGACTGGAGCAAAGTAAACTGAACTCAGTATGCAGAGAACATTTAATTGCTACACAAAACATATTGTACTACTTCAGGACATAATGCAAACATATATGGTGGAGTTCAGACAGGTACCCTGAGGTTATAATCCTTCTTCCTATGTGGTAGGTGTACTGAGGAACAGAATCGCTGTTCTGTATTTTGTATTATGAAAAGCAGGCATATCCACTGCTCTGACTTCCAGATTGGGACATCTACAAAGAACGCAACTGCACAGTAGATTCCATGGCCCTTCATCCCATGCGTACATGGTGTGGCTCTCTGTATTTAGAGGACATCCTCCTGCCAGTGATGGCAGCCATGTTTTTCTTCTTCAGCTTTATGCACAGAGAAAATAGTTCTGCTTAACTCATAGGGAGGACAGGTTTTGGAAGTCAACAGTAGGGAGGCAAGCATTTCCACAGCTGAAGCTGTGAGGGCATAATCAAAGGAATGTACTGAAATGATATGGCCAAAGCTGGAGTGTACTACTTATGCAGCCTAACTTATGCAGACCCAATCAACCCATTAACAGTGCATGTAGTTGCCCTGTAACCATGGCTGGCCCTCATGTTTGGCTGAGGGAACGAACATGGGACAGCAAGATCATGTGGGAAATGACCACAACAGTAGAAGGAAAAGTAGTATTGGCATGACAGCTTTCTTCATGAGTGATTCATAGGAACACTACAAAGCTACCTCATATGGAGCCAAACCATTGGTCCATCTCACTAAGTATTGTTTACATTAACAGTGGCTTTCCTGGGTTTCAGGCTGGGGACATTCGCAACCCTACCTGGGTATACCAGATTTTAAACCTAGAACCTTCTTTATGCAAAGCAGATGCTCTAACATGCAGTTCCATCCCTTTCCCAAAAGCACCATGACAATTTTTCATTGAATTTTACAGTGGTAAGGTATAGAGTCTAACCAGAGAAGACGCTACCATGCCACACAGCACCGTATCAATTTGACCCTAAAACATTCCAGTCAATAACCCGGTGCATTCTTCTCAAGAATCAAAGCAGCTGGCAAAGACGGCAATGTTGGGTTCTTTAGCAGGAAATCCTCGTGCATTTTTATTAACAGCCAAGTTTACATCACCTAGCGGAAATTAGCTCTTGTTCAAGTTAAGCCTTGCACAGAGCCCGCCCGAAAGAAATCATTTTCACTTTCCGTGACAGATCTGCTTAAGATTACGCCAGCAGCAAACAATGGTACACATGGTACCTTGAATCACCTACTGAAGGTTCCTTTTTACACTCCATCACCTGCGAAAGAAGAGTCAGCTCCTTCTTTATGCCCCATGAATTCCCCCGCATCACCAGATGTTTCTGGATGTGTCTGCAGCTTGGTAAGTCTGAACACGATCATTAACTCCTAAAATGGTTAGACATTCATTTCCCACCCCTCACCCAAAAGCAAGAAGTAGTGATAGCCACCAACTTGGATGGCTTTAAAAGAGGATCGGAAAAAATCGTGTAGGATAAAGCTACTAACCACATTGTCTATGGGTTACCTCTGCTGTTCAAAACAGGGGTGAGTGCTGTAGCACTCAGGGCCTTTATATGGGCTGCCCATTGACATCTGGTTGGCCACTGTGGATGCTGGGTTAATGACCTTATCCAGCAAGCTCTTTTCATATTCTTGTGGGGTTGTTTTTTTAAACTGAACTTTTAAAATGTGAACTATTCATTTGTGAATCATGTTTTACATGTGCATCAATGGGGTTTCTATACAAAGAATAAGAATTTAAGGATGCCGACACAGGAGTGAAAACTCCTCCGGTCGCTGATGTTGGGAAGGAAGGCAGGAAGGGGGGAAATGCAGGTTTCTCTCTCTCTCTCTCAGGCTTCCTTCTGCAGCAGTGGGTGTTTGGGGCTCCTGCAAGGGAAGGGGGAAAGCAGGTTCACAAGGTATAAAGGTGGGAGGTTTTGAAAGGTGTGGTGGGTTTGATATGGGCTGGCTACTTGGTGGGGTTGGCAAGTGAAGAAAGCAATGGCAGCAGTTCCTTGCACTTTTGTCTGTCTGCTTGTTTTTAGATAACCGATGTAAATGTGATAAATGAAAGATTGAGGCTCACTGATGAAGCAAGTGAGTATTGCTGCTACTCCTTTTCCATCCATCTGTTGTGGCAGCGGAGGGCAGGTGTTGGGGCCTCAGATTAACAGTCTCCTAAACTCCCCTCAAGCAGCTGAATAGTGACAGTGGGTAGGGAAGTATTTGGGGACCCCAACCCTTCTCAAAGGTGTTGTTGGACTCCCATCAGCCCCAGCCACCATGGCCATTGGTCAGGGATGATGGCCCAACAGTATCTGGAGGGCCACGGGTTTACCACTCTCCGGGCTATAGGGTAGGGGAGTATGCAAGGAAAGCAGCAGACAGGGAAAAGGCAGAAGTAGAGGGCAAGTTGTTTAGCTGAATGTGTAAGATGAAGTGGTGGATACAGTGGTGCAGTGGTTAGAGTGCTGGACTAGAACCTGGGAGGCCAGGGTTCAAATTCATACTTGGCCATGAAGCTCGCTGGGTGACCTTGGGCCAGTCACTGTCTCTGGTTAAATACGGACAGGGAAAACCATATGCACCACCTTGAGTTCATTAGAGAAAAAAGGTGGGATATAAATGCAATAAATAATAAAAATTTGAACCAGAAACAAGATAAGTTTGGCAGAGAATATACTAGGCAGCAGCTTGCCCAAAATTTCAAATAATCTTTATACCCATGCTCCCCTTTTCAAATTTATTGGAAAGCAAAGACTCTGAATAAACACATGTATTTCATCATAACTTCTCAAAAAGACTGTATTCAGTTGCTGCACACCCACCAAAGCCATCCCCCCTCCCCCCAGGTCATCACATAAATGTGGAACTCAGTAATTATGGTTTATATTCTAGAGAAGACGTCCGAAGCTTCTAATTTGCCTTATGGTAGACCCAAGGTCTTACAGAAAGAGAATACCTATTGCCTCCTTCACCAGAATAAATATGTGAGTGGATACAGCCAAAACATCTGGATGCCACTATGGAGTTCTTATACTGTCAACAAACCAGTAAGTTTTCAGATTTATATACCTTTTGAAGTGCAATGAAAGGCCATACACGGGGAAGGGCTATAGCAAAACTGCTCATTGCAGGAACATCAGGCAGTTATCACTGTGTTCGTGTGTTTGTAAAATGGGCCAGGCAGCAGCTGCTCAGACTGAGTGGTTGTTGGTCTGCTTTGGGGGAAGATGGTACTTAGTGTACGATCAGGGTTACCAAATTGCCATTGGAAAAGCTGCAGCTTAATGGCAGAGCAACATTCTTTGCATGCAAAAGAATGCAATCCATAGATAGGGCCAGGAAAACCCCCAATATGAAACCCCAGAGAACTACTGCCAGCCACCTTGAGAGCCAGGTTAGGATCTGGGAGACCTGAGTTCAAATCCTGACTTAGCCATGAAAGCTCACTGGGTCACCTTGGGCCAGTCCTTGTGTCTCGGCCTAACCAACCTCTTAGAGTTGTTGTGAGAATGAGATGGGAGAGCGAGAGTCATGCATGCCACCTTGGACAGATTCCACGAACCCCAGTTCACTTAATACTGTAGCAGCTGGGCAAGCCAAAACACCAAGCCCACATGAACTGGCACTGGCAACCTGAGCAACAGAACTTTATGATTCTGCAATATGTGTACTTTGCTTTTTGAGCTAGCAGGGGGAGCACTTCACTGCTGGGAAGAAATTCAAAGGGGAGGAGAACAGAGGAATGAGTCACTGCTTGCAGCAGGACTCCTGTCCAACCTCCACCCTGGCATCAATAGTACCAGGTTATTCTGGTAGCTGAGAGAGAAGAGCGGCAAACACCAGGGAACAGCTTTTCCCAGATGGCAAGCGGCTTCTAATCCTCAATGAAATTGCTGGACTGGAGATTCAGGAGACACAAAAGGCTGTACTTTTTCATACAATACATAATTAACTTACAAGACACTGTGGTGGCCTCTAGCTTAGATGGTTATGAAAGAGGATTAGACAAATCTGGGGGAGATAATGTCTATTAGTGGTTTTTAGCTATCACGGCAACATAGAGTCTCCCTTTTCAGAGGAAGTGTATCACTGAATGCTAGTTGCTGGTGGGACAACAGTGGAAGAAAGTTATTGCCTTCATGTCCTGCATGCATACTTCCCAGAGGCAATGTCCTGCCTGGCCACAGTGGGAAACAGCATTCCCTAGATGGACTTTTGAGCTGATCTTTTCTTGTAATCCAGAAGTGGGAAACCTTTGGCCCCTTCCTGCTATGTCTTGATCAGAATCTTACACCTCTGGTATTCATGAATTAATCTGGTGTGGGTTTACATAGAACATGGCTGGCTGATGCATCTGTGGCCTTCCAGATGTTGTTGAACTCCAGCTGTCATCAGGCCTTGCCAGCACGGCTAATGGTCTGGGACTATGGGAGCTGGAGTCCAACAACATCTGGAGTGGGGCACAGGTTTCTCACCCCTGATCCTGATTACATTAGGAGAGATGCTTAAATAAATGCATAACCTCTCATTTTAAAAATTATTTTTGCACAATACACAGCTGGCTCAAACCCACGCGAAAGGAGCGTGTCTGTTTCTTCTGCTTCTCATCTCTGATAATAATCTCTTAAGGCTTGTTTTTTGGCACAAGGAAAATGACCTCATTGCAGAGGGAGCTTTTTTTGGCATCCATTTATACTTAGACAGCACAACAGTTCCACAACGTGAAGCATCTGTTGCCATACTTTAGGGAGACTGCAGCGGGAATGGAGTTGTCCTGGGAGACCTAAGCCAGCCCAGAAAAGCCAGGTGGCATCATTGTGGTAAACATCAGAACATATGACCATAGGTCTGCCTAGTCCAGCCTCTCACACTGCCTAACCACCTGCCTAGTTAAACTGTGGAATTTGCTGTCCCAAGGTACAGTGTTGGCCACCAATCTGGATGGCTTCAAAATGAGATTATTTGAAGCTGTTTAAGCTATCAGTGACTGCTAGTAGTCATAATGGCTGTGGTGTACCACCAGTTCCAGATGAACACCCAAGTAGGGAGAGTGCCTGTTGCCTTCAGGTTCTGTTTGTGGGCTTCCCATGGGCATTGGGTTGGCCACATAGCTGGACTATAATAGCCCTTTGGCCTGGACCAGCAGGGCTGTCACAGTCTGGGTTACGGGCAGTCGGAGTCCTGGCTTGGTACGTCGGGGCTGGGAAGCAGGAATCAGCAGTCCAGGGTCAGCAGTCCAGGAGTCAGGAGGCCAAGAGTCCAAGGGTCAGGAAACCAGGAGTCAGGAAGCTGAGGGTCCAAGAGTCAGGATTCCAGGAGTCGGGAAGCCAAAGCACAGCTAGGTGGGTAGCATGTTGCCATGGCAAAGAGCCAGAGGGAAATGCTGGCCTTATATACTCCTCCTGACCCTTGCCACCAGGTGCTACGAGTCTTCTGTCAAGCCTCACCTGTGAGGCCGCACCTTGCCCTTCCAGGCCAAACTCAGGAAGGCCCTAGTCCTGCGAGGCCCTACCAGTCACAGGGCCCGGCTCCTGCACGCACTCCTGACAAGTTCCATGTTCTGAACCTCGCAAGCAGGGCAGGAGAGCAATTGCACTCTTCTGCTACTGTTCCCCCATAACTGGTATTCAGAAGCACACTCCCTCTCTGATCTGTGGCAAACAAAACATACAGCATTCCCACCCAGCCTTCCTCTTTCTGCCTTGGCTCTCGCCTTCTTTCTGATTATTACCAGCACTTGTGAATCAGTGAAGGAGAATTGGATCAAACGGAAGGGCTCAGCCCTCTGGTCTGCTTTTCTGACATTACAGTGGTACCCCGGGTTACATATGCTTCGGGTTACATACGCTTCAGGTTACAGACTCAGCTAACCCAGAAATATTACCTCAGGTTAAGAACTTTGCTTCAGGATGAGAACAGAAATCGTGCTCCGGAGGTGCGGCAGCAGCAGCAGCAGGAGGCCCCATTAGCTAAAGTGGTGCTTCAGGTTAAGAACAGTTTTAGGTTAAGAATGGACCTCCGGAATGAATTAAGTACTTAACCCGAGGTACCACTGTATCTGAGAGGACCCTAGAAGCGGTCCAGCAAAAGCAAATTTGCAGAGGTGGCACCAGAGGCTGCTGAGACCCCCTGCTTTAAACCGGATGCTTCTTTGGCCACCCTCCAAGCTTCCTGGTGGCACTTTCACATACATGCAGCTCTGTTTTGGTCCTTATATTCACTCCCACAGAAACCATTGCCACAGAGCAGGCAAATGAGATGAGAGTTTGGAGAGGGTGGGGAGTGAGGGCTTTATGGGGCTATATCCAGCTTGCTGACCAGGGGTTTACTACTCCAGTTTTTAAAAAGCAGCATTTCAATAGTGGTAGTTTTATTTTCAATCCATTTCCTAGTGATTCCCAACATAGAATTTACTTTTTCCTCACAGCACACATAATGTTTTACCACATCCTGAAGATGTATTTTTGATGGCAAATACAGTTCAATGTAACTTGATGCCATTTATTTATTTATTTTCAATTCACCAAGCCTGGAAAGAACCGTTTGTAGCTCTTCATCATTCCTTTTTGTCTTTACTACCCTGAATTATTTACAGAACTGTTATCTGCAAATGTGGCTGTTTCACTGTTCACTCCTAACCTTAGAAACAAGTTAAAAAGCACCAGTCTTAATAGACACTGCCAGAGAACTCATGATGTATTTTTTTAAAAAATGGTTGCCCTTAATGTTTTTAGTGACAATGTAATATTTTAGCTAGATAATTTGAAGGGGTTTTTTTTTTTCAACACAGTGGAGAAAATATTCTAGATAGAGGTTTACAATGCTTTTCATAAGGTATGAAAAAGAAGCCAGCACTTCTTGAAGTAGGTGTGTACAAAGAGTTTTGATGCTGAGACATCAATAAAAATGTCATTAGCTCTAGGAGTAAGGCTTTGAGTAGATGCTAAAACCTGATGGATGCCAATGACTGCTATCTGCCCTTGTTATCTTTCAACAAGAGAGAATGGTTGCCTCCAGATATACTAGCAGCCTTCTAAAAAGAAGGCTCACTGGTTATTTTCCAGCTCCTGCTGTGTGGTATTTGTTCTCCTTTTGCAGGCAGTGAAATCAAAAGAGCCTTAAAAGGAGATCCACATCATAGGATTTCTCTGGACTACCTGTTTATTCAGCATTCATACTGATTCACTTGTGCAGTGTCAATCATTCATTCATCTCACTTATTCCAGTGTATTTCTCTGTCGCTTTCCTAACTGCAAAAAGTCTGCTTCTTTTAAAAAGTGGATTAATTGGGTGAGAAAGCCCTTTAAGTCGCTTTAATCGTACAAGCCTAAATTTCCAGTATGTGTTTTAATCCCTTCTACGAAATATTGCCAGACTGAAGGTGGCCACAATCAGGTTAGACCTACAAATGGAATCAAAATTATAGCAGAATCTCATAATAGACCAATTTTTGGTTACATGGAGATGTTTATACAATCCATTTTGATGAAGGAATACCACCATGAGGTGACATTTTCTGTTATTTTTTCCACAGTTACATATTCTCTATCTATCTGCCTACATCTAGTTTGGCCCTTAAGCAACAGGGGCATTGAAGTACCAGTGTTGGCTCAGAAATCCACCCCACTATGTTTTTTTGATAGCCAGCATATCCTGAGCTAGTCCCTTTAGGTTATAAAAAGCACTTTGTCGTGAGTCAGTGAAATAGCAGAGTCAGTAGCCAGATTTCCTGAGGCAGTGATTTAGGGAAAAACTATGATTTTTCCCTCTGACTGTTGGCAAAGTTTATGAGGAAAAACCCACCTCCTGGATAGGAAAGATTTGGTTGTACCGAGTCACCAACCCCTCCTACACACACACACACTCACTCATTTACTCATAGACTCATTCACTCTTTTGAAAAGAAAGTAAACACCTTTGTGTTCCAGATTATTGAAATTGTCCTGCAGTGTATGATCTGTAATTGAGCCCCATGTTCTATTTTTTTTGTCATGAATGTGGCCTGCCAGACCTCTTAGATTGGCCCTCAGGATTCTCCTCAGGCCCTAACCCCACCCCACACCTTGTGCTGGCTCTGCTCCATGTCATCTTCAAATGTTTTTTTCCTGACTGAGATGTGCCCTTGACCCATGATAATGTCTCTTGCTTCCCTGCCTCACTGGGGATATGCATTATGTGTTGTGTGTTGTGTTGTGTTGTGTTGTGTTGTGTTGTGTTGTGTTGTGTGTATATATGTTGTGTTTGTGTGTGTGTGTGTGTGTGTTTGTGTGTGTGTGTTTATTTGTGTAGTTGGACTGCAGTCTCCTCTACAAAAGCAAGAGTCCCATCCATTGCTCTGCCCATTTTCCTTTCTGGCCCCACCCACTTTTTGTTGGCCTATGTCCACCACTGACATGTGGCCCTCAGAAGGCTTTCCTACAAGGAGATTTGATTCATGGGATGCATACCACTTGGTTCCTCAACACTTGGTTACACTTCAGTTCCACGACTTTTCAGCTGAATGTCAGAAATCACCTCACTGAAAACTGTGGGCATTTGCTGTGGCATTGGACCATGTGGAAGTTCTGTCTATGGCTGTTGCTTCATGTTGGGTCATTCACACACGCCACTCATTCCTGGATTGGTACATTCTTGAAACTGGTATAGAAATACGACTAGTTGGATGAGATTTTGAAAATGGGCCCATACCTGGTTGGTTTTTTTAAAAAGTGCTGTATAAAGAAAAAAAGGGCATTGAAGAACATCTGAACTGAGTAGGGTTTGCATCTCTGGGTCAATGAGTTTGTGGGATCTTTTTTTTTTTTAATGCCTCATTTATATATTTTCTTTTCTTCCTTATACCGCTTAAGAAACACCAACACCACCCCTGGAAGTGGCTGGGTAATGGCCTGGCAGTCAAAAGCAACTGCTTCCAAATGCTGTAGTTAGAAGTCCCACAAAATGCAAATAAATTATGCCTCTTGACACATTGATTACTGTTTCCTGTTTAAAGCATGCTCTTCTTACCAAAGGCAGTGACTGTACTTTTCCTCTCAGTCTGACCTACCATGCAGCTTCAACTAAGCATTATAAGAGACACCAGGCTGCCACTACTTTGCTTGCTGGTCTCTGCTTCTCATCAACTGACTGTTGGCTGGGTGTGTGTGGTGGGGCCGGGGGTGGCAGAGTAAGGCACAGCCCAATGACATGATGTTAAAGAAAATACCTAAGGAAAGGCACAGAACAGCAGAAATTCGGTGTCTCTGGCCCCATCTTTTTAAACTCTAAGATAAAGGTTGGGGTTTTTTTTTTAATCATCTGGAAGTATTTCTGCTACAAGTTGAGGAAAGACAATTAACACATTGCCTTACTTGATAAATTTGTTTTTGCTTCTTTATTGTTTCTACACTGACTGACAGAGGTCCTGGGGTTCCCTATGGGAGGTTTCCCCCCAGTCCTACCTGCAGATCTTGAACCAAAGGAGGCCAGGAAGGCATACATGATGCAATCTCTGTGAAGCTCTAGTTTGAGTCACACATCTTAACTTGTTGATTAGAGCCAATAGGGCAAATGCCTTGCATCTTTAATCCAAACCTGCTTTGATCTTTGCTGCAACTGCTTTACATTGGGCTGACTTCCCCTCCTTCCTCCCCATCCATTATCAAAATGCTGAAGGACCAAGAAATAAACAGACTGGAAAGAAGGGCTAAAGTCCATTTCTATTTTTAGCGCGGACATGATTCATTATAAAAATAGGAAAAGAAAGAATCAATGAAAGCTAGGCTAGGAAGTCACAAAACTGTAGGTTAGCCACGACTGTGGGTGTAATACTCTCTCTCCCCCCCCCTTTCCAGGCGGGAAATGCATCTTCTCTTCCTCCCCCTGCTCCAGACTGTCTGCGGCCTGATGTTAGAATCCCTGAAGCTCAGAGCCAAAACTGCTCCAACTACCAGCCAGACCTGAACATCACCCACGGTTTCCTCTACCCTCCCAGTTAGTAGTTCTCTTTATATAGAAAAGATCATAATGTTGTAATCGGCTGGATGTGGCTGGGTGTTTAAAAACATATACACAGCACTGAAACAACACACTGGGGATAAGCATGGCATTAAAAAGGGAGAGAGGGGGGTATTTCAGTGGTGTTTCTTTTGTGAAAGAATAGCTTATTATAGTCACTGCCTTCTGTAGTACCAGACCACAAGGCTCCTCAAGTCATAGTCAAATATTTTTCTTCAACAGGCTTAGATTTACGTTGAGAAAGGAGATATGTAAACGTTGCATGGAAAGGAATCTGTTAGAAACCAGGCTCACGGTGATTCATTTGCACATAACATGGAGACATGGCTTGTTTTAACCATGCTTTGTTCATTGTACGATGAGGCAAGCAAACAAGCCACAGATTGTTTCTCCAAAGCTTGGTTTGTTTTCCAGTTGCTCCTGCCTTGTGCCTCTGTAGCTTGGTGAGCGTCTGGGGTGAGGTGGCCAAGCAAGCCATTTTTAAGCAAGGTGGTTGGTTTCTGGCATAACACCAGATAATAGTTAAAACAAGCCATGGTTCATAAGCCAACAACAAACCATGGCATCTCATTGTGCTTTGTTGCCAGAAAACCAATCATGGGAAAGGGCATGGTTGGCTGGCAGAAACCCTGAAGAGAAGAAATTCACTCTATTGCTGCAGGGTCCACATGTATCTTTCTGTTACCACCATGTTTGATCCTATGTTTTCATGCAAGAGGGCAGAAAGGATATTAAATAATAAAATTTAAGAGGTATTTTAATGAATAGATCCATCAGAATTGTAAACAAAATTGTGCTCAGTTTAAAATAATTTTGGTTTAGTTTTCATGACTTACAAACTATTAATCCCATTTTCCCCCCACAGACTTCAATTCAACTGCAGATGAACAATATGATGCTTTACTTACCAGCAACATTGTTCCCATGTACAAAGAATTCAAAAGTAAGTGCTGATAATGGCCTACACTTTGATATTGCATTATTTACCTGAGAGTTTATGCTTGCATTCTGGCCTCTTCTGGTCTGTGTGGTCATGGGACAGAGAAGCCATACTGATTCAGCATAACAGCTCCCCTTGTAGCTGATTCTATCTCACTGTACTTTCAATTGCAGGATTATGGGATTACTTGCATAATACACTGCTTCCAAAATATGCTACAGAGAGAAATGGGCTAAATGTGATCAGTGGGCCTATTTTTGATTATAATAGTGATGGACACTTTGATTCCCTTGATATCATTACACAGTAAGTAAAGAAAAAAGGTAACCAGTTTAAATGTTAGCATGTGGCACGAGTTTCATTTTTATTTATTCATTTAAATCACTTATATCCCACTCTTCTGTCAAGCATCACAGAATGGCTTACAAACAATAGCCAATCTGCCATCTGCTCAGAGTTTCCCAAACTTGGGTCTCCAGCTGTTTTTGGACTACAACTCCCATCATCTCTAGCTAGCAGGACCAGTGGTCAGGGATGATGGGAACTGTAGTCCATCATATATAGTCCATAAACAGCCAGAAACCCAAGTTTGGGAAACCCAGTGCTAGATTTTAAGCGAGTTACAGCAGGTGCTCAGGCACAAGTCAGCCAAGAAATCAAGTTACACTCTGTAGAATGACTGGCTGTATGTGAGCCAGCTGATACCAACATCTGGCTTGAAAAGAATAGACAGGTGTTTTGGCAAGGCAGCTGCGGCAATGCCTCTCCAAAGGGGTATAGGAGAATGTGATGCTAATGTCCAATACAAAGATGAAGGTCTGCCAGGCTTGTATGCTGAGCACACTGTTTTATGGAAGTGAGTTGTGGGCACTGCCAGGAGCGACACCTCAATGCCTTCCACATGTGCTGCATTTGGAGGATTTGGGGCATCACATTCCCACCATGTTCACATTCTTGTCTCAGCAACGTCTACACTGGCTTAGTCATGTCCACAGAATGGAAGATGGCAGGATCCCCAAGGATGTGCTGTATGGGGAGCTGGCTTCAGGCACCAGGCCCATTGGCAGACCAACTCTGCACTGCAAATATGTGTGCAAGCATAACATTGAAGGCTGGCAACATTCACCTCACCATGTGAGAATCCCTTGCAGACGACTGCAATGCCTGGAGACAGACAATCAGGTTGTACATCCATAGCAGTGACCAGAGGAGGGATGTCCGCTGGAAGGAGCGCAGAGAGAAGAAACGCCATGGTGCATCTGCAGCAGCACAACTGGACGCCTTTAATCTGGCCCTGCTGCAACAAAACATGTCTCTCCTATTTTGGTCTCTACAGTCACAGCAGGCACTGCAACTCTCCCGCAGTTTGACTTCACCTCCAAAGACACACTTCTCCATTGTCTCTCGAGACAAATGGATGCCAACGATCCAATGTGGGCTGGCTGATACCAGCATCTGGCTTGAATAGAATAGAATAATTCCAGCCTCACTCCCTGGATCTTTCCTCTGGGAACAACAGTTGCATTGCTCACCACAATTTACCTACAAATTAGGGGGGGCAACTTGAATGAAATATTGTGGGGGCCCAGGTAAGCCCCACCCCACATATTTGATCACATGATGCAGTGCACACAATATTTGAATGGGAATGCCCATCAACTTTGTGGGGGCCCAGCCCCTCAAATATTTTATTGTGGGGGCTGAAGCACCCATGGCCCCTAGAAGTTAGCTCCTATGCTGCAAATCAATAATTTATTTATTTATTTATTTATTTATTTATTTATTTATTATACCCCACCCATCTGGCCAGGCCTCCCCAGCCACTCTGGGCAGCTTCCAACAAAATATTAAAATACAGTAATGCATCAAACATTAAAAGCTTCCCTAAACAGGGCTGCCTTCAGATGTCTTCTGGAGTATGGAGTTCTGCTGATCTGTTTGATATGCTCTCTAATGGACCCAGGATAATTTCTTGCCAGCTGCCAGTTTTGTAAAGAGTATTTGCAAGTTCTGGACAGTTTGGCTGTGCAAATAGGTTTATGGTCCGGGTTTTACTGGATTTGCTGTTTTCTAGGCTAGACTTGATGCCACATTTTTCAAACATGGTTTGGACAGAGGGAAAGAATTTCTGCCACAATGTAGGTGGATGGATGAGATGACAGACTAGAGCTTCCTTCCAGTCAAAGGGCTTTAATATCCTGTCAGCCACACTGTGCTGTTTAAAAGCTTTTATAAACAGATCAAAATCTGTAGAAAGTTAGTCATGGCAAGATAACCCTACCCACTTTTTGAAGAGAGAACTCATACAGGAATTACCCTGTGCATTAAGGGACTGCATTTGCATGAGTATCTGTGACACTGCTTCAGTTTCAGCTAATGGAATCTTCTTTGTATGATTGATAAGAAAACTAATTCCAGGGGCATCAGAATTTTACTCTCACAGTTCCTTTTCAATTATTGTTTCTTGTTAAATGTTAATACAGTTTCAACTAAAAAAATAGAAAATCAGTGAAATGCAATGAAAAGGCAGAGGTTTATTCTTTCAGCCTTTTGACCCCAGATACAAGCATGCACATCAAAGGAATTATCCAATCTAAAAAACTGCTAAAATTGTATGCCTTTGTTGGTTAAAATTTTGGACAGAATATCAATCCACATTGATACACAATTTCAATCCCATACCCACTTGCCTCAAGTAAACCCAACTGAATTAAATGGGAGTTACTTCTGAGTAAATATGTACAGGATTGTGCTGTCAGTTACTGAAACTGAAAATTGCTGGTTAGGTATATGCAGTATCTGTTATGCAACAGACAGTGTAATCCTACCTAATGAGTGCTGATTTCCTTCTGCTTCCAGTTATGGAGCTATTCTCCATAATATTTCCACAGGGTAGGTAGTTGTAATTTCATTGAATGAAATGGTGTGAATATAATTTTACAAAAAGTATAGCTTTTGGTAAACAGCCTTTAATTGATCTTCTTTCACAGGCATGTAGGCAATTCACAGATTCCCATCCCAACCCATTACTTTGTTGTACTGACTAGCTGTGAGGACCAAACCAACACCCCACTGAGTTGCTCAGGCTCACTGAGTGTCCTGCCCTTCATCCTTCCTCATCGGCCCGACAACTCTGAGAGCTGTGGTGTAAGTATAACAGCATTCACTTCACATGCCCCTGCTCTTCTTATTGGAGATGCGGTTTCTACAAATGCGGCCATCTGAGAAGTCTTTAGTGCCCAGTAAAATCCAACACAAGGCCTAGCCTAAGAGATCATTCCATTTGACTCTCAACTTACTGACAGTGATTGTGTTCAATATTAAATATTCTGGAAGAATTGCACATAAAGCACAAATTAGGTGACATATGCCCTCTGTTATTCAGACCACTTGTGACATAGTGGAGACTAAGGACTTATCTACACTTCCATTTTCCCACCGCTTTTCCCCAGGGAAAGCCGATCTTTAGTGCTGAATTGGTACAAACAGCAATTGGGTTTTAAGTGGAATGTTATTTGTTCTAATTTATCACTAAAGAGCAGGTTTCCCAGGGGAAAATGGTGGGGGGAAAGTAAAACTGTTCAAACCCATGCCTAGAATGCGTGGGACAAGTGGAAAATCACTTGGACAAGTGGAAGTGTGGATGAGCCCTAACAGAACAATTCTAACCACTGATCTTCATTGCCTGCATGATTAGGAATGCACCACAGCTGGAGGGCTACAATTCCCCAATTCCTGTGTTAGTATATATGCATGAAAGTCAGAAATGCAGTTTTGAATAAGCAGGAATTAGATTTTTAAATGGTTCCTGAAGAAGAGTTGTGCCAGTTGTGAACAGATGTAATTTATCTGAAGTGCATTGCCATCTCTTGCTTGGTTTATCCTATTTCTTGACTGTGGGCATCTGGGACATGCTGTCCAATTCTACTCTCCAGTGAAATTGACACAGCTGGCAAAAAAGCGTTATCAGTTATGCCTCCCCATCACAATGCCATAGTGCTGGTTTATAAAGTAATACTTTCCTTTTGAAAAAGCACCAAGGCAGCACTGATGGAATTGGACAAGGCTTTTTTGCATTATTTAGTCTCAGGACAACGTAAGCCACATATAACTGGGTGTGCTTTGTAAACGACTGTAAGCCAGTGTGGTGTAGTGGTTAAGAGCGGTAGATTCGTAATCTGGGGAACCGGGTTCGTGTCTCCGCTCCTCCATATGCAGCTGCTGGGTGACCTTGGGCTACTCACACCTCTCTGAAGTCTCTCAGCCCCACTCACCTCACAGAGTGTTTGTTGTGGGGGGGGAATTGAAAGGAGAATGTTAGCCGCTTTGAGACTCCTTCGGGTAGTAATAAAGCGGGATATCAAATCCAAACTATTCTTCTTCCTCTAGCTGGAATGGCTGTAGTGGCATTTAAAATGAGAAAAGCATAACAGATGGATGATAGCAATGCACAGCATCCAGAGGGGAGATATGCCACTCAGTGGCTGTTCAAAGCATCTGAAAATGCATACATGATTTCTGCTCCCAGGGTCAGCACCTGGCATACTGTAAAGCACTAACTAGGTAGTGCCAATAGCTGAAGTAAAAAAAAGTAGTTTTTGCTTGTAGCATTTGCCTTCGGCCTTCCCCTCCCTCTCCCCAAATATGGCATAAAGGACTTGCTGTGTTTGTTCATTCTGATAAGTCATAGCTCATTGTACTGTTGTAAGGAAACTGTTAAAAGATAGTGAACAAGTTCCAAGGGCAAAGGAAACATTCAGCAGATTGCCATGGCCTAGTTACCCCAGTCCACAGTGACAGAAATTTAATTAGGGAAAATAATAAAGTTGTAAGGCATTTGTATGCAGAAATTCCTTGCACTACTGCAACATTGTTTTTTTGCCTGCTGATGCACAATTGAAGTTCTTGTGTTTGTTTGCTTTGTCAGGATGGGCAGCCGGAATCACTGTGGGTTGAAGAAAGAATTCGGACTCATACAGCTCGTGTCCGTGATGTGGAGCTTCTGACGGGTCTGGATTTCTACCCAGAGAGAAATCAACCTCTGCCCGAAATCCTACAATTGAAGACATTTTTGCCAATATTTACAACTCTTTTTTAATGAGTGTGTGTAATTTATTAGGTCTTGTTAAAATGGTTCTTTCCTTGCCAGTTGGAAGAACCCAGAACACAAACCAATGCATGTTTACTTGGAAGCAGGGATGCGAGGATATGACAATTTCATTTCTTATTTTTTTCCAGTCTTAAATTGGGTTCTCCACATTTTGCAACAATTTGCTGTTTTTCTTTTAAAAAAAAAGCCTCATGAAAATTCACCACATTTTAGTTCAAACATTTTAATAAACAGTTTTGACTCATGTACACATTTTGCAAGAAATTCCCCCTAATATAATGCATTTTTGTAAACATTGTTTGGTTGGAGAACTACAATGGAAAATTCAGATAAGGGTGAATTGGAACGGATAAGCTGTATTTGGATATTGTTTGACAGATTGGGCTTTAAATAAACAAACAAACATGCAATGTATACTGGATCAAATTTATCCTCAATCCTTTCTCAGAAGTCAGTCACTTGTGTATTCAGTGGGAATGAGTATGTTTAAGATTTCAGCCTCAATTACAGATCTTCAGGCGATTAGGGTAGTAAATGACGACAGGAAAAATCTCTCCCAGCATTCCTGCAGCTCCATGTTCCATGTGTTTTCCTGGAATTTGTCCCTCCCTCCCTCTCTCTTTTGATGGTACAAGGACTTCAGACTACATGAAACTACTGAATTTGAACTTTTAACATATGAATAAAATATAAAGATTTTAAAGCATTTTGTATATAATAATAGAATGTGCCACTGAAATTATGAACAGGAACAAACTTCAAAAGAAAGAAAGAAAGAGTTTCAGCTGCTGTCAAGAATATTGCTACATGTTACTGTGTTATCACGAGGGGCTGCACGCCTGTTCACTTCACTTGACAGCACCACCAGATTTGGGTATTTCCTAATCAGGACTCAGTCCCAACCCTTTAGTTGCAATATAGGGGCTAAAATGCCAGCTATGCAACTGAATTCTTTAGTGTGCAGGTTCATATGCAGAGCTGTTGATTTTTGAGTCGGCATTCAACCCTTCAAAAAAAGTAGCTTCTCTGAATGCTGTGTTAACCTTGAAAGCTTAATTATTGTCAGAAGATGAACACAAATACATAAACATGAGTGCATACAGTGAACACACAGGGATTTTCCAATACAGTACAGTCATACCTCGGGTTGAATGTGCTTCGGGATGAGCGCATTCGAGTTGCGCTCCACGGCAACCCGGAAGTAACGGAGTGCGTTACTTCTGGGTTTCGTCGCTCATGCATGTGCAGATGCTAAAAATGACGTCACGCGCATGGGCAGAATCGGTGAAAAGTGACGCGTGCGCATCTAGAGGTACCACTGTACTGTGTATTGTTGAGGACTACTTACTAATGGGAAAAGTTTTCTGTTGACGTCTGTGTCAGGGAGACCCAGCCCCTCAGTCTCACTTTTATAAACACAAGTTTAGGTGTCTGTGCTTTGCTAATTTTCTGCCACTAATATTTACTCAAAAAAACATTGTAGCTTGTGTAGAAGGCTTAGGCATGAGATGGACACCTACACAAGAGACAGGATGAACTTTAAACAAAGATTGTTGGTTTATTAAGGTGGGTGCTAAGCTTATAAGGGGATACAGAGACCTACGTTCAGGTCTTAAAGTGGCTTGATGACACTAGTTTTTCGCTGGTTTTTACCTCCGGCCAAATTCCTTAAACCTCTAACCCAGCCAAATACTTCTACAACCCAGTGCAACTACTGGGGATCCTCTGCCTTTGTAAAATTTCTCCTGGCTGCTTGGAGAGTTCAGCTAACTTTAGAACTTAGAACACTGCTTACTGGTAAGACATTGGTAAGACATTTAAAAAGGACAGCCTTTTAGACCAACTCAGTTACTTCCTCCCTGATCCAGACCCTGCCTAATAAATACTCAAATTGGCTGTGCCTCTCTCCTCTCAGAATGCTAAACAGCTTTGTGCAATATCGTAACAGTACAAGGCTTTAGACAGTCTCTGTTGTAAGGGGCAGGTTAAAAGAGCCTGCTTACACCATTTGTTGCACAACTGCCTGGCAAGGCAGGCCAGTCACATCTCTCAAATGATCCAGAAATCACTGCCACTATGCCCATCTTAACCTCTACAGGTTAAGTCTGGGAGGTCAAAGAAGCAGACAGAGCTGCTTAGTCAATACCTCTCAGTTTACACAGGGAGATCCCTGTCTTTCCCCAAGATCAGAACAGCCTGCTTTTCTCTATCAACCTGCATTTCCTATATCTCCATAGCAAGAACTTCGAGGCTTAGGCTCCTGAGAGGTTTTCCCCAACCCTGTGAGCTGGCAGCATTGCAGCATTGCAGCAAGACACCACTTGTCAAATTATATAACATTTATTAGGAATAAAAAAGACAAAGGAGAGCGCAAAGGGAACAGAGCAAAATCCTGAAAAATAAAAGGAACTCTTTAACTCAGACATACCTGTGCTCACCATATATTTGAAGCACTATGACACTATTTTAAACAGTCATGGCTTCCCCCAAAGAATTCTGGGGGCCGTAGTTTGCTAAAGGTGCTGAGAGTTGTTTGGAGACGCTATTCCCCTCCAGCAGCTGTAATCCCCAATGTTCCCTGTGAGGAGGGATTGATTGTTAAACCTCTCTCGTATTAACCCCCACCCCCCCAAAAAAAATATGGAAGAAAACCTGATACCATCAGGTATCAGGAAAGGAAAATAGCTTAGCGGTAGAACGTGTGTGCTGCTGATAATGCCAAGGTTGCAAGTTCAATACCCACAAGGGACAACTGCATATTCCTGCATTGCAGGGGGTTGGACTAGATGATCCTCAGGGTCCCTTCCAATTCTATGATTCTATGTGCTTTGCATGCAGAAGATCCCAGTTTCAATCATTGGCATCTTCAGGTAATACTGGGAGACCCAAGCTGAAACCCCAGAGAGCTGCCACCAGTCATTCAGTGCCGGATTTACGGATAAGCTAAACAAGCTATAGTTTAGGGCCCCACTCTCTTGGGGGCCCCACAAAAAATTAAAGGGGGGAAAAACCCTGGATGTACATTTCCAAAATATAAGATAAAAAAACAACTAAAATAAAACCTACATACAGCAACAGTGTATGTGTTGTGTAGTCTCCTATGATATACGTAATGGGCCTATAAATTACCATATAACAGGGGTGTCCAACAGGTCGATCGCAATCTACAGGTTGATCGCGGGGTGTCACTGGTTGATCCTGGTCGATCGTGGGACACTGATTACCCCCCCAAAAAAACCACCCTCCCCCCAAAAAGCTCAACAACTCTGGTCAATCCAATGGGTAGATCACTGCCAGTTTTTTTTACAGTGAGAGTAGATCGCAGTCTCTTGGAAGTTGGACGTGCCTGCCATATAGCATATATTCAACACAAAAAACAGAGACAATTTGTTGTTGACAAAGGACAGCTGGACATATAATGGGCCCCATTACCTTCAGTAGCTTAGGGCCTCAGCAAACCTAAATCTGGCCCTGCAGTCATTACAGAGATAATAGAGAATGAGAAGGACCAGTGGTCTGACACAGCTTCCCATGCCCATATTGGGCTTTCCACTGTGTAAATTAATAATAATAATAATAATAATAATAATAATAATATTTATACCCCACCCATCTGGCTGGGTTTTCCCAGCCACTCTGGGTGGCTTACATCACATATAAAAAATAGCAAAACATTAGACATTAAAAATTTCCCGATACAGGATTGTCTTCAGATGTCTTCTAAAGTCAGATAGTTGTTTATTTCCTTGACATCTGATGGGAGGGCATTCCACAGGGCGGGCGCCACTACTGAAAAGGCCCTCTGCCTGGTTCCCTGTGAGGGAACTGCCAGAAGGCCCTTGGAGGAGGACCTCTGTGTCCGGGCTGAACGATGGGGGTGGAGACTGAGGCTGTTAAGGGCTTTAAAGGTCAGCACCAACACTTTGAATTGTGCTGCGAAATACTGAGTTTACTTCCTAGTGTCTGATTTTGTGACCCTACCAAAGTGCCAAGAAAAACTGGTTTTTTAAACAGGCCCCCCACTATGTTTTCATGTAATTAGCTTCCTCATCTTCAGAGACCCACTGTGACTCGCATAAACAGGAACCCCTCTGTTTACTATGTACCACAGTGACTGCTGTGGCTGTTGGCAGGCATTGGTCTCTGATATCTTTTTTAAATGAAGTGAGGCTGGAGAAGTCTCAGAACTTGTTATATCCAATACCCCAGTTATTTTCTGTAAAACCACGTAGAGAAAATTAGCAACAGGCACTACGGCTTTTGATAGAGGTGGTGTGTGCTGTAGCGCTTGTGTTGCAATGGATGTCATAAATGTGATGATTGTCAGCATTTACAAGTGACTACTGACAATCCCAGATTGTGAAATGTCTAAAAATCAGGAAATGCAGGTGCGAGTGTTGGCAGCATCTAAATATCATTTTCAGCATTCTGATATTCAGTGGATTTGAGACACTAATAATTGTGCCCCAGGTGAGGTTCCCTAACATGTAAACTGGACTTTTCCTTTATTATTTGATTGACTCCTTATTTAATAATAATACTCTTTGATTAAATATGCATAATGGCAGTGAATGTTCCCCATCATTCCCTAGTCTACATTCCCATGTAAGGATAACAATTGGCAGGTAACTTAGTGCTTCAAAGGGTACCATCCAACCTGCTGGTCTCAAACACCCCACCCTTACAATATTGGGGAGCCCCTAATCGGCATTTCACTCCTCTGCTCTAGGCTGCAGTCCAACACGTAAGGTCATTGTGGCAAAAGCAAGGACAGGGCATTTTCAGAGAAGTGGCAGGTCAGATATGGAGAGCTGAGATGCATCTGCCAGTCTTGAGCCAGACCTCCTGCTGCTCTTTCCCCAGCATGCCCTGGGGCTGCCACACCTTCCCTGTTAGCACCTCCACATCGCATGGCTGAGAGAGCTGCAATGTTGCCTGCTAGTCATTCCTTAAAAGGAAGCTTACATTGATTTGTCATCTCTATTATATGGAACTAATCACAGGCAATCCAGAAGGACTGTTTATGAAATCCATCTCTGCTCTAAATGAGCAGACGACGAGTGTTCTACAGGAGCGTTGGCTGAAAATAGGCCTCTGAAATGTCAATGTATGATCTGTCTAGTCTTTGATCTCTCTATGATTTACCATTGATCTGTCTAGTAAAATTGTAAAGAGAAGCCTGAATTTATGGGACTGTTCCTGTTGCTTGGCTGTGGTCTGCTAATCCCAGGAGCGCATTGTCACATTTGACCTTTGCTTTGCTCTTCCTCTGGGATATAAGGAACTGCCGCAACTGCATGAGGAATGTTAGCTGGTGGTATGGAACTGTGATCCTCCCCTAAACTTCAGTTGGCAGAAGGGTTTTCTTTGTGCTCGTGATACAATTGGCTGCTAGTTGTAAGCAAATCCTACTGAACTCAGGGGCACTTTCTTCTGAATAAATTGCAGAGGATTGGACTCACATCTTTTTTTCTGGACTGAGCAAAATTTTAAATGTAATGCTTGCATGCCCATTGCTTTCCAGCATTTCATGGACACCAGCATCTATCTGTAGGCAATGCATAAAGCTTTTCCCAGGGTGAGATGACTTTCCTGGAATCACAAGAATCCATTAATGAAATGCTCCCTAAGTCTGTGTTGCAACTTTAGAA